TGTTTGTAATAGATGAAAAATGTGCGTGAATAATCTATTTATTTTCAAATAAATCCATTGTAGAATAGATGAGAGAGATTCTTTTTACAAGAAATAAAAATATTCCTATATAACAAAATGTAAATAGAAAAATATTCAATCTAAAGATTTTTAGATAGAATAAATATTGAGAAATATTATTCTTACGTTAGAAAAAATACAATAAAATAAACATAAATGAGATTCGTATATGTTGAATATGTTTTCAAATTTCAGAAACATTGATATTCTTACAAATTTAAATTTTTTACATATTCCAATAAAGAAAAAGAGAGAGAGAGAGAGAGAGTTTTAAATTCAATTCTCAAAATACGCATGATTTGTCTTTTCTTTATAGTTTAATATTTCACATCAAAAAATTCAATTTAAACGCAGAGAGAAAGAAATAGATTTTATTATTTGTTTTTCTTTCTTTTCATCCTATATTTATAGAAAGGTTTATTTTATAATATTACGTGTTATTTATATAGTATTAAAAAATGTACATATACAAAGAGTGTATTAAAATAACTTTTACTAAGAAAAGAATTTTAAATAGATACAGTAATTTAAATAATTATGATTTGAGAAACTTTTATTTTTATTTTATATAAATTTTAAAAAAATATAGTCTCATGCTTGAAATTGTTATAACTAAATTTTTACCTCTCTAATACATCATTTATTTCTGGAGAAATCTCTTCGATTAAAGATTAATAGTGCAAGGCGAAGAAACTCGTTTCATCGTACGGTAATCACACGCCGTCTTTGAGAATAAAATGGTAGTTGAACGTATTTTGGGATCGTCCTAAAGACTTCGACCTCGCTCGTTGGTCTCTCTCTTTCTCTTTCTCTCTATCTTAGTAATCGTTGTACACACACACACATACACGTGTATTTCTATTCGCGGCGGGGGTGTATACATTGCAACCGGTCCGCTTTGTCGTGGGTGGTTTTTAGGCGCAGCTGTTCTTCCGTCTCTCTTTTTCTCTCCTTGAGCATAGAATCGTTTTTGTGCGCGATTCTCTCAACAATATCCTACGAAGTTTTCATCCTACATTGCCGGCATCATCGTAAAGTTTATTAAATACGATGAAAGAATTATCACATCTTTCTGTTTTCATTTGAAAACTGACGAGATTCAGCATCTTTTTCATATGTATCTCACATATGAGAGAATTTATTATATATATGTAATTATTTATTATTCTGTGTCCGTAAATTTGTATTCATTTATTTTTAAATATTCTAACGATTATATATTGTTACAAGTATTAAGGACAGAATAGAAGCGAGAAAGAGAGAGAGAAAGATTTTAAATAATTATTGCAATGTTGTAATATAAGATACGTTTTTAACAATTAATCAATTAATATTAATAATATTAACATCAACACTAATAATACATAATATTAATATACTCATGTGCAAGTAAATTATGTTATTTCTATTAAAATTTATACTATATGATTGTAATATAAATATTAATATAAATACTTATATTTCACTATTAGTTTTTTTGATCGCCAAAATTTAAAATTAAAATCCCATGTCGTTGGACTCCCTGTATATTAATCGCGACTAACAATGCAGCCATAATTGATCAATCAGAAAGATCAGGACGAGATTGAAAGAGAACGAGCAGCCTGCATTGTACAGCCTATTTCTCTAATAGCGCCTCTATCGCGGTCTAGTTAATAATCATAGTAGGTCAATTCTCCGTCCCTAAAGTGCACGACGAGAGCGTCGCGGTGCTTCTCCTTCTCCTCTTCATGATCGGCTTCGTTGTTCGGTCGATCCGTTGTTTCCCCCCTCGGTTAGTAGCTTGTCAGTTAGTGCATCCGACCACGATGCACACTCTCGCTCGTTAGATGACTAACTCGGCGGGGGTGCTGCATACAGGGTGTCCTAAAGTTGCCGAGTGTTTTTTCGATCCTAATTTCTTTAATTAATCTGAAGATGGCACTTTATTTTACCGCATATTTTCATTTTTTTAACTTTAATAGATCTCTACAATCTTGTAAACTTTAAATAGAAATTCGTCTTATCGAAATTCTCTTTAAATTCAAATTACTTATATATGATTTTAGTATCCATTTTCTTTCTAAAAGATAGAAATTTTTAATTTACTGAAAACTTTTTATTTTTAATCATCAATTACATATAGAAATTTTATTAAGTATTTATCGAGGAAGAAGATTGACGTTGAATCAACCAAAAAAAATTACGAAAGATATACTATGATTTTGGAGTACCCTGTATGCAATAGTCGCGACTTTGTGTTGCACTTGGGAGTTTATTTACCTCCGTCGGGTGTTGCTTGCGTGTCTGCGTTTCGGGGTCAAAGATCGCTCTATGTCCTTTTGGGAAGGATGAATCACACGCGGAAGTAAGGAAATCGATAAAACTTTTATTCGACACATAGGGACTCGTCCTGAAAAGAAATCCTGCTCAAACTGATTATCTCAAGGCACTCAGCTTCGCAAATAAAACTTTTATTGTATCGTTATAATTGAAAAATATAAGACATTAATCAAAAGAAAACAATTATTAAATAGTACAGTGCATATATATATATATATATATATATATATATATATATATATGTTTAATAATATATATAACTCAATTATATTTAATTATTTTTTAAATAATTGCAATTATTTTGTGTCATTATTTAAGTAAATTTAGCTTTACATTTAACTCTAGCAGCTTTTTTATTATTGTATTTTATTTATGTAAACAATATATAATCGATATTATTATAATAATAATATATCTTATCATCTTCTGTAATACTGCACTATCATTATCGTAAAATATTTTTTTACTCTTTAAAATTATTTGTAGATGATTTATATAGAATATATATGATGATAAGATATATACAAAAAGATAATGTCGAAAATGTAACGACGAATGAAGATTGTCAGAAAGTTTTCTGTGGTATCTCCCGGCTCCCTAGTTTGAAATTATTCAAGAGATTATTAATCTTCTTCATTTTCAGAATTTTTAATTTATAACAATCTGTTAAAATCAGATAGATCCCATCAAATGAGTCGTAAAAATTTTAAAAATTATAAGCAAAGTTGCAAAATTGTGGAAAATTTAGTCAATGATTTTTTAATGTTTGAAAATCATCTAACCAACGGTAATAATCGAAAAAAGAAAATTAAATTTTTTAATTAAATATTTAAAATAATTTTTTTCCTCTTCTCATGTTTCTTTCCGTCAAGATTTTAATGGATTTTTTATTTCTTTTAACTTGGAGCCACGTAATGATTGAAAGACACGATTGTCGACCATAACGGCAAAAAACTGCGGCAGATCTTTTTTATCTGCACTTGTGGCATTTCCCAGAATCAACATTATATCGCCGCCGCCGGTTATAAACGGTCCATTCGTGAGTTTCGAGGCTAAGCCACCAATGAACTGATCCGTTTAGATCTCTCGATAATTGGTAACACATGAGGCGAACTGACATATGGCGTTTCTTCCCAGACGTCTCTGTTTTCTTTCTTTCGGGAGGGTAACCGACGATATTCCCGAAAACGTGAAGCGACGTCGCCATCAGAATGATTATACGTCCTCGATCTGTCAAGAACAGAACATCCATTTTGATTCGAAGCGCTCATGCTTATTTATCGCCCGACCTTTTTTTCTCTCTCCTTTCCTTTAATGAATCGTCGGATCGATGAGAAAAAAATGACTTAAAACCATCGTCTAGCCTCTTTCTCCCGACAATCATCCAATTACGCTGATTGATCGACGTTCACATGAAGACGGATATACGATGAGAAACGATATTTCCGCTTTCGGATTATTCGCTCTGTCAAGCGGATTACGATAGATTAAATCGAATAATTTAGTACAGTAATAGATTGCTTGCAAGTCTGACTTCTCGAAGACTCGAGATAATTAAAATAAATCTCATTTCTTAATTAGTAATAGCGACTCATTGACCGGAAAAATTTGAAATAAAAGGAAGCTCTCAACTTGAACAGATATCTCGATAGCGACTTTATTTATTTCAAGTGTAGAATGTATATAAAAAAAATGCCGTATTAAAAACGAAAATTGCCGCAACTTTCGTTGATGGATTATACGTGTAATGTATTCGCGATCGCGCTCGCTTTTGCGTCGTTTATTATCAGAGCCGAAGGAAGTTTCGGAACGGAAGCGAGATACGGCCGTGACAATAAATCACGCGGTAAGCGTGATCGTCTTTCTCCTCGTCTCGGTGAAGTCTGCGAAACGATAGATTGTTTCGCGTCGCGTACACCGTTTATTTTTAGCTTGCTCGTCTCGCGGAGTCGAGACATCGTTCCTCCTTCTCGTCATTGTCTCACGGATGACATTAACGGAATACGGATTAAAGGGATGAGAGAGAGAAAGAGAATCGGAAGTTCTACCATCGTGTCAAAGTCCTTCCTCGCGCGACATCCGTTATATCCGAGACATTATTATTCCGCGCAGCATCCGCCTCTCTGCCATTGTCATCGTCGTCGATGGGAGAATAAAACGACTTTGACATGCAAAAGAAAGAGAAAGATTACCATATCGATACGAAGAGCCTCGTCGAAATTTGCATCTCGAAACGAGATCCAATTGTATCTATAAACTGATAATACTTCAAGATCGTAATTAAGAAGAAATAATTAAGATTTAAAATTGGTTCTTCATATATTATCATAAAGATCCAAATTTCTGTCGATTCCAAGATTGTCAACAAAGATGATGAAAACATTTGCAATGTTGAGAAATTCATTGCCATCGATGATAAAAGATAGATTTTTATTACGACATTAAAAAATAGAAATTTTTGTTCATCGAAAGGATTATGTAATCTCGGAGACGACCAATTTCCAGGGATTACTTTTTAGGGTCTTCGCGTGGGCTTTCTGAACCCCATTTGAAACCCGAAACGCACATCACGATCAGACTCGAGTCTTAACATGGCTTCCCTTTTTTTCTGTTTGCAGACATACGGCTACAGCTGAACGAGCAGCTGAGATGCCTCGACGTGAGGATGGAGGCGCAAGTCGCCCTCGTGGCCGAGCTCCAGGACTTTTTCCGCAGGAGGGCAGAACTGGAGCTGGACTACAGCAAATCCCTCGACAAGATGGCCAGAAGCATACAGTTGAGGCATAAGGAGCAGAAACAAAAGTATGTTATTATGTTATTTCTTTTAAATGTTATACCTTCTTCTATCTTCCACATTTTAAATAAAAAAAATAATCGATTTAAAAATACAATATAAATAGATCGTAAGAAAACATAATAAGCGCAGTTAAAATATATGAATGTACTATTTTAAAAATATCATCTATTGTAATCACGCGCAAAATAATTTCACGAAACACGATTTTATATATTAAATAATCGTCAGAATCATAATTAAATAATTTAATTATTATTTAATGCAGCTAACTATGGAATTTTTAATTATCAGCGAATTAATTGTTTGCCAGAAATTAAAACGGATATATAATAATTTCAAATATTTGCCTTTTTACGCAAAGTGTAAAATTAAATTAACAACGCGGAGATTTGTTAGTCGGATAATTTTATAAAAAGCGAAACGGTAAAAGAGCGGAAATAATTCCGCTATGAATTGCGGCGTTAAATGATTAACGAAGGTGTATGCGTTAATTAATTCGCTGTAATTCATGCGCGTGCACCACGTGTTGCACGGCACGATTGAAATGATGGCGCGTATGCACGTAATACAGCACGATACATTTACTTTATTACGTTACGTTACGTTGCGCAACATGAATTATTACATGATTACGTTGCGTAAAACTTCTATCAAACGCGATTATATTTGGGTATAGACCTTGATCATGCATGATCAAATTCCGATCGCATAATTAATTGACGCAGAAATCGATCCAGATATTTAAATATTTATTCACGTTTCTCGCTAAAATCAGTGATAAGCGTTCATAAGTATTTACTATGTTTTCTAGAAATAATATTTCTATTTCTAAAGATCAATATTTCTCATTAATATCTGGGAAAGGAAAATCAATATTTAATATATATACAAAAGTATCTACAGAAGAAACGGATAATATTTGACATTTTATGTTTGCGGTGTTAAAATTATTTTAAACATTTGATTAATATTAATATCGAAATAATTTTCTTTGAGATATGTTTTTATTAAATATTTACATAATAATGAAATAATTTTAAATATTACATATTATAAGTAATTTGATATAAAAATATTGCAAGATTTTTTACACTATTATTAAAATAGTTTTATATTATCATTAATAATATATTCAACTATCTTTTCAAGTTCTATTTCCGTTCTTAAAGAAAATTTTTATAATGTCTTAAAAATATTTTAGAATTAGAAACATGTGCTATTTTATTCACAGATAAATATTTATTTAAAATATATTGATGAAAATTTTAAATTATATTATGTTTAATATCAATTTCTCAGTAAAATACTGAATATACACAATATTCATTGTAATTCTTGATGAAAAAATATAAATGTTATGTGAGTTGAAAATGCTTATCTTACAAAGGCTAAATAAAAGAGTTTATTTTAAACAATTCTAAAAATTCCCTGATTTTATCTGGAATTTTGAACAAAGGTGCTTGAAAAAATCAGGAAATCTTTCTACAAAATGTTAACACATATCTCATATCGATATCTTGAAATGCAATTAACGGATATGAAATCACGTCATTGTTAATAGATGTGTATGAATTGCGTGATAATTTGTATTTTCTCTATATGTCTTTGTTACACGCGATTGATATTTCTCGCGCTCCACTTTCGCGGCGGAAAAGCAACCGCAACCGCATTTTTCCCGCGTCCTACACGCGCGTGCCGCGTTGCTGCATCTGCGACATGCCCCAGTTCCTTCTCGTCATTCAACCCTGAACGCGTAGTGCCCCTTTTGTGCATCGTATTCAGCATCGTCCACAAAAGGGATGCTTCTCTCGCGATGTACGGCACAGATACACGCACACATACACACGTAATCCAGCGCACCGCGATGCCATACTCTCTTCCATCTCCACGCGTTTCCCTCATTTCGCTTCGGGAGATATCGCGGATCGATAATTTCTTCTTTGCGAAGCCGCATCCGGAGTCAGTATGGTTGCCCCGGCAGTATATTCGTTCATTCTCCTGTCGCGCAAAAAGTAATTACCGTAAACTAGGTTTCACGCATCATCGATAACCGGATGATTTTAAAGATGCTCCGTTTTCGGCTTTAAAATCCCCATGTTTATAAGTTTTACAATATTGAAATAATTTCTCAGAGAAAGATATTTTTTTATTTGTAATATCGAAGACTTGTTACACATATGCAATTCCCATCGTTACAATAATTTTTATGTAGAATATTAAAATAACTTTGAATATTTAATCTAATGTAATATCTTAAGTAATCTTAGTTTTAAACATGAGTCCGATTTTGGGCAACTTGCAATTAATTAAAATATCACGACATAAAGTATTAATTAAAGTAATTTTAGTTTTATAACATTAATTCGATTTGGGGCAACTTGCAATTGATTAAAGTATCACGACATTTTAAATCTGAAAGGAATAAAAGAGTACGTTATCTTTCCTCACTTTATCGTTACGACACACTTGCATAATATATTATCGCTACCGATAATATATTATGCCATATAACGCGCATTCGGTATGCATGAACGTGCAAGTGGAACGAGATCGCTGTTACGTGTATATAAACATAACGACCGAACGGTGCGTTCGAGGACCGCAAGATGAGAAGCGCGACGCTTTACCGGCTCGTTAGCGGCGATTTAATTACCGTGTAATTACGTCGATATATACATACATACGTACAAGTACGTGCGTTATCCTCCGTACAATATGTCTTTATCGATCGCTTTTCCGCAGGCGGGAACAATGGCCCCTGTTCTCCAGCTACGCCTGCTGGCAGCAGCTCGTCAACGAAACCAAGTCCCTCAGCAGGGACCACGCCGCCTTGTCCGAGGTCTACAGCACCCACCTCGTGGGCCGCCTCAATCAGGTGATGGAGGATGTGCAGCGAATTTACAAGCGTGTGAGTGTCATACACGTGATGAGATACGATAACGTCGCTCCGCAAGCAGTTAGTTGTAGTAGTTGCGCGATTGCATCGCAACCGCGCGACGCCGTGTCGTGAGAAGTTCGACTACTCCATTGTCTCGTCGAATTAATTGCCTCGAATATCTCTATTCCTGTTGCAGACAGTGTCGTGTCGAGATATGTACCCTGGGTACCGGGGACGAATCACTTTCTATAGATGTATCGCGATGCGTTCCCGTCTCACATTTCCTCCTCGTAAATATTTCTTTCCTCTCGCGTGTTCTTATCTATATGATTGTATAAATTAGCGAAAATTTTCTATCGCTCTTCTAATCCGCATATGACTTTCCAATTTCTCGTTATTAAATTAATTGAATTTTTGCAATTTTTATTTTATAGTCTTTTAATTTTTAGTCTCTTTATGTCTTAAATTGTTTTATTTTTTTTATTCCTGTAATACTTGTTAAATTATAAATCTGACATTGGAATATAATATTGTGCTTTATCATTATTTATATTTTTTTCATATTTTATTATTCTTTCCGACAATTTGAGTAAAATCAATTTAGCTATGTTTAATTTCAATTATAAATACGTGTTATATTAAATGTAAAATGTTTCATTTAAAATCTTCAGTAACACCAGAAAGAAAATTTATTTATATCTCTAATAATTTTATATTTTTTGGGATTGAATTTTGAAAGAAAAACTCTCTGTATCTAAGGAAAGTAAACTGTCTGGGGGATTAGGATTACATGCATATTTTAAATATATCCGACATTTTTTTCAATCGTACCTATGGCTTACCGCTCGGATGCGTTTCTTTTTGCTTGCAGTGTCGCGAGATTGGCTACGAGACGCACGAGGAAATACTCCGAGTGCTGCACGAGCTCCACACGACGATGAAGACCTATCAGGCTTACCAGGCCGAGTCCAGGCAGGCGGAGACCAAGCTCCGCGTCGCCGAGCAGCAACGCAACAAGCTCGAAGTGGCGAATGCGGATAGTCGCGATAAGCTCGCGCGCAGCAAGAAGTACAAGCTCATCGAAAAGGAAGTTAACAAGGTAGATCGAATAGACGTAGAGTAGAATATACTGAGATGGTCGAGTATTTCTATACAAGGGAAGTACTCGTTTCGAAGTAGTTTGATGATACTTGACCCTCGCGAGAGTTCGTGCAGTTTAAGCTCTTCTGTCTGGTTACATCAACTTGCTACTTCGTTGAAATTACATTGCGAGGTTTGTTTCGTTGTTAGCGTGATGGCAAGAAAAACTTGCGTTCTCAAGTTTTACACAAGGGTACTCTAACTTATCACATTTTTTTTATCTACAGTAAATGAACTCTTGACATCCAACGTTTATATAATGCACATTATATAATATGTAAATATAATACATATAAAATAATATATGTTCTATTATATGTATATATAATATTACATATATATTTGTATAATTATTTATAATTATATGCAATTATTAAATTTGTATAATGGATATTATATGTATTATGTAACTATTATATATTATATTATAAAATATATAATAGTTTATATGGATAGTCTCAAAATTAAAATTCTCTATCGGGCTAAATCTAAATAAATCCGACATTTCAGATTTAATAAAATTAGACGAGAACTTTAATGAAAAAAAAAGTATATATGGAAGCGCGACATCTTTGTGCTATTAAATAATATATTATTACATTCGCAATAACGAGAATTGATTCTTCGATTCACTTGAGATTTATTTTTACGGTGCGACCATGGCCATGGATAAATTCGGCAAATTGCGATCGTTCGGGCACTCTTCATATTTTGGCAACGACATGTCATATTACGAGAGAGACACGGTTAGTCGAGAAATTATTCGTCGAATTGCATATCCGCGTGACTTTCCCTCTCGCTTCGTCATTCTGGCAAATATTAACACCTGGCGCGGGCTGGAACGATCGTCGCTCCTGGCAAAGGATCAACGGTGATCTTACGTCAAAAGCGTACGATTTATTGCGATGATGAACGGTGATTCTCTTTTTGCGACGATAAACACGGTGACGCGGATTTGATGTGCTTTTTTTTTCGTCGTTACACGTTCACCAGCTGTTTGCGACGTCAACGTGGCACGCCAAGTAGGAAGTGCATCAACATGTTTCCGCTCTGCCGCATGATGACTTGTAAATAATGTCGGAAAATTGCTCGCATAATTTGTCCAGAAAGAATAAGAAATGAAACTTTTAATAACATTGTAGATATTTGTTAGAATTAATACTTTTTTCTCTTTTTTAATCGATGTAAATCAAGACTAAATTTATATTAATTTGATTTTTCGATAACATAATATTTCAGAGAGAAAAGTTTTCATATTTTAAGAATGCAGGATATTTTGTAGAAAAAAAATACATTTTATTTCTTCCAAAATTGAAATAATTTTATATCAAAGATGAAATGAATAACTTTGGAAATGTTATATATTTACTAAGAAATTTTACTTGAAATTTATTAAATTAGTCATTTTATGAAAGTAGTAAAATAAAACTAGTTCAATAACTTAAGAACTGATATTTGTGAAAAATTGAAGTAAATATCGAGGAATATTGGAGTTTCGTCATGTTCCCTTAAAGCGGTAAGACACTTCGCGTGGCTGGAAGTTCGCGTGTCTGGCCTTCGTCAATGCGATTGAAAGGAAATTGAAAGTACAGCTGGAACGAGTGGACTGCCGTCTGCTGCGTCTTAATAATTTTATTTCGCGAGCTCAACGGAAACGCGTTTATTACATCTTGACGGCCGTGCCCTTAATTTTCTCTGTCAGAATTCAACAATAAGAATATCATTAAAGTCAACCGTCGAATATATCTTTGTGAAAGCCTCATATTCGCTGTACAATCTGCTAATTAAAATTAGATAATTATGCCGCAAAATAAGCTTTCTTGTGTATAATAAAAATTAATTAATTTTATTTTCACGAGATTTTCTACCGCTAAAATAATATTTTTGGAAAAAACTATATCGTATTTTGAGGAACTGAAGTTTAGGAATATCATAGTAATCGTACGCATGTAAAAACACGAATGCTAAAATAATTATTGTTTTTCGTTCGGTCTAACAAAACAGTTTTAATTGTCACAACGTAGAGGAATAGTTTTTCAGGTATGTTCTCAGAGTGTATTTCGTTTCTAACATCTTCGTGTCGCACGTTGCGTGATGTACGAGGATTACATTATACCACTGCATTTTCCACGCCAATAAAGATTAAATTCGTTGCGCGATCGATGGTACTTTATATTTGCCGCACGCTAGACCCGCGTTATCGAGCGGAAATAAAGGTCGCGTAGAAATCGGCATATCGCCGATAAAGTACGAAGCGACGAAATGTGTCCGATGACAGGTGGCTGAGACACGAGAGAACCGAGACGATATCCAGGCCAGTGGCAGGATGTCCGAATTAGGTGTCTGCGTCATCAGTCCAGCAATTGTTCCGCTTTTTGTCCATCGCCGTCTATCTCCAACGCTCTCATTTACCGTACGATTCACAGAATCGGAGCGGAGAACTGCATCCGAGAACCGCACACTGGAGCAAATCTGTCTTCGTTCATTCGAAAATTCGTGCGACTCGCACGACAAGAATGATGATCGAACAACGAAAAATTTATAAGAGGAACTTTCAAGATTAAGAACTTTCAAGATAATAATTAATCTAATTTTATAATTAATATATTCACAACGCATTTGTCAAACTATGATCTCACGAGTTATATTTTAATTTGTAACACAATTAAACTTAATTTTTGTAAAACTATTTTTTATATTTAAGATACTTGAAATTTTTTTAGTTTAAAATTCTTAATTCGTTCATAGAGAGAGATTACAGAAATTTTAAATTTTAACGAGAGAAATATTTTGCTTTTATATCGATGAAAGTATTCTTGAAAAGATATTAAAGCACTCGCTATTTCGAATATCTACGACAAATGTGTTTGCATCCATATATTCGCACTAAGATTATATGCTTGGCTCTTTTGTCCATATGATTCAAAAGTCCCCGGGGACTCAAAGCATTTCCAGCCTATGTCGGGAGGGTATCATCCATCCTGCGGAATGAATCGAGAGAAATGCTAGGAAATCCGTATGAAGCGTATCTCTATCTTTCTATCTTTCTCTCTCTCTCTCTCTCTTTTCTTTCTTCCACTTCGTCCCAATCCGAGCAGACGCCGACCGAGGATTTAGGGTCGACCTGCTAGCGGCTTTTTTTTTTGTCGGGCACATGCAACTTGATGGAAAAATAAATAGCGCTCCCCTTGGCCAGCGCAGCTATAAGCGCGATAAGACAGATGGTTGAAACGGCCTGGAAGCAAAAGGGACATCGAGAGAAAAGTATAAGAGCCAAAGCGGCTTGAAAAAAAAAGAGATCGACAACACGTGCAAGCGACTCGTCGCATTCGATGTCATCGCTCGCATTAAAGTTATAAGAACGCAAACTTTATAAGAAATGTCGCAGTATTTTTTTACGTGATAGGCGTATATAGTCTCCTGAAATATGTACGATAATTTATTTATGAAAAAAATTAAGTTATTTCTTTTCTTCATTAATATTAAAAATTATATTGTAGTTACAAGAACTAATTAAAAGTTTCGTATCATATGTGATTACATTTTTACAATTAAAATATCGTTAAAAATGTAAAATGCGCAATAATGACAAAGTGACTTATCCGGCGAAATAAGGATTCTAACACGGGAAGTCTAGATTCCAATTCTCGAGGCGCATTATCTGATCCGGAATTTCCTTTTTCAGAGGAAGAGCAAGTACCAGGAGGCGAAGCTAAAGGCACTCAAGGCAAGAAACGAGTACATCCTGTGCCTGGAGGCGTCGAATACGACGATACACAAGTACTTCGTCGACGACCTATCCGACCTCATCGATGTAAGTTACGCACGTGCACTCCATTGACCTCGCGACCACGCTTTCTCCGGCCTCTGCATCGTTGCACTTGTTTGTAGCTCTATAACGTTCGTCGCTACGCAAATCATCCGAATTAAATAGAATTTAATGCTTACTGCGTTGAAAATATATTTTATATTTTTTTAAATGTAACTTTTTTTTACTTAGAAAGTAAAAAATATTGAAATAAAACTTGTTGTTTCAAGATTGTTAAAATGACAAAGACGATACAGTCGACTAAAAAATTATAAATGAAAAACTATCCATTCATACATTAATACATTGAATGCCGAGCATAAATTTTGCGTGCTTCACCGGAAATTTTATTGTTAAAAAGAATATAACAATAAAATGTAATTGAATTATTGCATGTGTATCCTCACATAGCACATTTATCTCGCAATATACAATGTTATTTAAAGATTTAAAGTATTATGATTTATTCCTTGCAAGTAATTTGTTTTAAATAATTTGAATTGATTGAGTTGACAAGATTACGACATTAAATTATTCAATATATTAACAACGACTTCTTTTACAGCGATTCAATTCGTTATGACTATACAAACGATAGATACGTACAAAAAGAATAACGTGTGTGTAATCACGTGTTTGTGTTCGCCCCTGCAGTGCATGGATTTTGGATTCCACAATTGCATAGCGAGAGCACTGCTGATGCACTGCAGTGCGGAGGAGGGCAGGCAGCGTTCCTTACAATCTGGCGCCGAACAATTAGCCGCGTTTGTCGGTGCGCTCGACTCTCGGGCGGATAAACAGAGATTCATGGAGTCTCATCACGCGGCCTTTATGATTCCCAAGAAATTCGAATTCCAAGGACAACGTGGAGATGAGGTACGAGTTTGTATTATTATAAACTTCATTAAATTTTTATACATTGTGTTTTTTTAAAATTGACATTAATTTACAACAAATTATAGTATGATTTAATTTATTACATTGTTTTAAAAAAATAAGAAATTTTTAATTATAATAAAAAATATACAAGTAGATTTTTTTCATCATTTTATTAGAACACAAAATATTATAAACAATATAAATTATATCTTAAATATTATAATAGATTATATATATAATGTAAAAGAAAAGACATTGATTAAATCTTCTTTGCAATTCCATTTCCACCGTTAAAATTTTTAACTTATCGATTTATCTGTTCCCGATAGTCGCCAGAGCCCGAATTACAAAAGATGCTACATTCGGAGATGGAGCAACGATTGCAGCAGTTGCAGCAAAGAGTGACGTCTCTCCGAACCGAGTCGGAAGAGGTATGGAAGACTTTGGAGACCGCAGAGGCGAGTCTGCTCGAGATGTTGACTGCCAAGGATTATGATTGTTCGAGATACTTTGGCGAGAACGCTGTGCCCACGTCTAGGCCACCAGAGACGTTGCAAATCAAGCTGCGAGCTGATAGACAGGAGACTGAAGAATTCTACCTCATTGTAAGTAACACATAAGTCTCCTCTCTCCTCTTCCTTCGCGACGAGCAACAGACAGACACGCGCCCATGCGGTAGAATATTGATCGTCGCATTAGCATTCAAAAGATAGAGAAAGTGCGCGTAGGGACAAGAATAGAAAACGACCGAAGAGAATAATGCCTCGAAATTATTCTCGAATCTATTATTTTCTTGAAATAAAACAATCCTTGCATGAAGATTTCGAAAAATAAGAATTCGGAAATAAATCCGCATATGGTAATTTTCATTTATACTTAGATTGTAGAAATAGAATTAAGAATCTTAAATTGTATTCCATGAAACAACGATTAATATAATAAGTAATAAATTTCAGTAATTATAAGTTCTTGAGTTCAACATAGAAAACATGCAAATAAAAATTCGCAGTACATGATTTATTATATCAGATATTGACACTCTTGACTCTCGCGTCATGTTCGCAGAAATTCAGGGAGTATCTTCTCGGCACGTCGAGAATAGCCAGGCTAGATGCAAAACAGGAGTACATCCGGCAGAGTCTGCTGGATGGCTCAAACGCCAGTCCGAATCCCTCGATCTCCGCGACGAAGCAGAAGCAGGCACGCCGCAAGCGAATCGGTCGTCTACAGATGAATGGACAGCCGAAGCTGTTTGGTGGTTCGCTCGAGGAGTATTTGGAGAGCACGAATCAAGAGATACCTTTGATCATGAAGAGTTGTATTCGGGTGATCAACCTGTATGGCTTGCACCATCAGGGTATCTTCCGTGTATCAGGTTCGCAGGTGGAAATCAACAATTTCCGTGAGTGGTTCGAGCGTGGCGAAGACCCACTGGCAGATGTAACCGACGCTTCGGACATTAATAGCGTCGCCGGGGTGTTGAAACTTTATCTAAGAGAGCTACGTGAACCGCTCTTCCCCATTATTTACTTTGAACATCTGATGGAGCTAGCGCAGCTCGAATCGAAGCAGGACTTTGTCAACAAGATGAAAGAGATGATAGCGAGTCTACCGAGGCCGGTCGTGATCGTCATGCGATATCTCTTCGCTTTTCTTAATCAGTAAGTATTATCGCCCTATGAGAAACGTGTATGTGTGAAAAAAGTTGTATCAGGTTTAAAATTTAATCTATGTTTGGACAGTCTGTCGGAATTCTCAGATGAAAACATGATGGATCCGTACAATTTGGCCATCTGCTTCGGCCCAACTTTGGTGCCCGTTCCCGAAGACAAGGATCAAGTTCAGTACCAGAATCAAGTTAACGAGCTTATTAAAAATATCATCACATTCTGCGAAGAAATCTTCCCGGAGGACATCGGCGGTACTCAGTACGAAAAGTATATCAGCAGGGAGCCTGACGATGCGTAAGCAAAAGTTTCATTTATTATTAAATATATTATATATTTTAAAACAATATATGAATATGTAAAAGACACAAAAAAAAATTATTTAATGGACATCGCAATCTTTCGATTATTTTTTAATATTCCTTTTTATTATTAGATCTTTGAATTTCTGTTATATTTGGATGCTGATGTTATTTTCATAATTTAGGGACGTGGGTGACTCGCCTACGGATCAAGTCCAAGAAGATATGGATTCGGAAGTTTATCCGTCTGAAGACGGTAATGCATTTTTTGAATATATTTTGCTGGAATATATTAAAAATATTTTCATAAAAGCCTATCGGCTATTTTGTTTAGAATCTGAGAATCTCGAAGCGACAGCGCAATTCGATTTTAATGCAAGATCCGAGAGAGAACTGAGCTTCAAGAAGGGTGACACTTTGACATTATACACGCAAGTTAGTAATGATTGGTGGCGGGGCGCTCTAGCCGGCAGAGAAGGACTGATTCCTGACAAATATATCATGCTCAAGATAAAGTTAGTAGTACTATTTTAATTGTAATAAACATAAACTACAATATATATTCGTACAATTTTAACAAAAAATTTATTGAGGTTGTTAGAAATTGAAATTTGATAATTTAAAAACTATATCATATTTAAATTGATTTATTATTCAAGTTGACTTATATTTTTAATTAAATTATAATTCAAGTTGAAGTTTATTATAGTTAGTCAATCTCTAATTGTTTTGTTGGCACTTTCTGCGTTTTTCTTAGAGATGAAGAGCGTGAGAAAGAACTTTTAAAATCGTCCAGCGAGGAATCCATGCGTAGAAGAGCGTCCAGCTCGGCAGACAGCGTACTGTCGAGCAACAACTCACCATTGATGGGTCCGTCGGCAAATCCGAGTACCTGGTCATCCGGCGCGGCGTCCGACATGTCATCTGCCACGACGAACATAATAACGGACAATAGTAACGCCAGCGGTATTATCGCGTCCGTGGCAAACGTGCCCTGCATCTCGTCGGCGCAGCCGATCATCAGTCGAGAGGTATTGGAAACCACCGTTTAATAGAGTTGACCATTAATCTGTGCCCAATTCTCTTCCCTTCTTCGTGTTCGTTTTCGCTTTTATTGATCACATTATGCATACTGATGTACACCGCGCGAACGGATTTTATTGTCTCGTCGTATCTCTTTCAAACGCACACCTCGGTGCATGCCTATCCAGAGAGCTGCAACGTACTTTTTTTCATTTCTATTATGTTCCTGTAAACGAAAGCGCGCGTTTGGAATGCACAATGTAGAATTGCCTACACGAAATCTCTTGCCTGCGCACTGCACTCGCATATTATCCACGCATCGCTTCGTTCTGGAATCTTTACTCGTAATTGATTGCAAACAAGTATTCTTCGTGAAAAGTTGTTTTCGGTTAAAAGATTGAAAATTTAGTGAAAATAAAATGATAAATTCGAAATAATTTAGCAAGTCTGTCGCGAAATGATATTTGTTGTCGTGATTCTGAGATATATAAATCTAAAATTTTGCGTGCGGAACCGATAAAATGCAGCCGAGCCCGTCAGAGAAGACGACGAGACGTGGGAGAGAACTTTACGCGCGTGAGAGATTTTTTATTTTAAGTTAATTTAAATTCGGAACTGCAAGTATATATACTTTATAGGACTTTATACGACACTTTGTACACATCTCTGTAAATAAAATATAAATATACATGTTTCATATATATTGTGCTGCATGTCTTGCCTTATGGTTGTTCTTGTCTTGCGTCGTCTGTATCCTTCGGTGCACCGTTTTTTATTGTGTATATTGTGTATTATGTGTGTGTGTATGTGCGTTTTAATTTTTGTTTTCCATTGCGATCTTTTTTTCTTTTTTTGTTAATGACTGTTTTAATGTTGTTGGGATGGTTGCTGTTTTTCCAGATATACGTTTAGTCTCTTGGCCCTTTAGTTGGCGAGAAAAGCCAAGCCGTTTCGCGCCGTACGTGCATATTACACGCAGAGCGAAACTCGGACTAAAAACTGTTCGATAAAACTGGCCGTCAGTGTTATTGTTAATTGTGTGATTATATTCTGTCATTGTTGTTTGTATCATTGATCGCGAGATTTCGATAGGAGAGTGTTCGATCTTTCTTTTCTTTTTTTTTTTTTTTTTTTTACCAATACTGTGAGTTTCTTAAAGTTTCTTCGTAGAGCATATCTTTCTTCGCTCTGTAGTTGATGAGATCAAAAGGAATGTCGTTCGCGCGGGGGCCTGCTTCCAGTGGATATCCTTTCGGCTTCCGAGGTGAGTAATGAGAGTAATCTCATCCACTGCAATAGCCTTATAGTCTAACTCTATTAATCCCTCGGACAATAAAAGGAAATAATCCATCGCAAACTAATCCATTGTATAACACCGATAGTACATTCGCTCTACGTTGTTTTCTAGCAGTTTTACGAGCAGTTTTTAATCCTTATACATAAATCTTTGTTAATCGTCTTAAATTGTACTGTTTTATGTATGTGCGTCAATTTATGCATGCGAGCGATTGTGTGTTTTGAAAATTATTTGTAGTCTCGAAAATTTTACTTCTCTGGATCAATCGTGGTTGAAATAAGAATTACGAATTATTTTCATCACTTTGCGTAAAACAACACATTATTGTTGGATGAAAACCTTTAAAACTATTTTTTTTATCGAGTACATTTTGTCAGATCGATCTCGGCACATTCCCCTTTATGTATTTTTATCTCACGTTATCGTTGTATCGTGCAATTGTAAATTTTTCATTGAATTTCACTCATTGTCCTAATTCTTATCTACACGTTGTTACATGGAAAATCGTATGCAGGGTATCCTACTACCATTGGATGGCCTTTCACATATTTCTTTGTACAATTTTATCGATTTTTTGGTCTGGGAATTTAATCGATGATTTCTCATTATTTTGCAATTCGTTTATATGTTTTTTATATTCAATATTAAGATACATATCGGCAACTAAATTTTAAAAAAATTAAGATTTACTTAATCAAGATAAATTGTATTTAAAAAGATTTAAAAAAATAGAAGATTTACATGTATTTCACGAATTGACAATTTTTTTCAGGTAATTTACATAACTTTAAATTGATCGATTTTAAAATATTAGAAAAAGGTTTCTTTCGCTTATGTGATCGAAAGAAAGTACATCCACTAGTGGCGAGATTCCCTGTATAGATGCGAAAAACGTGATTCGATAATAATTCGACAATAATTCGTATCTCATTACAGCGCGCACGATCGCTGATAGATCAAGACGACTCCGTAGTATCTGCGTATCCCCCGCAATAGTAAACGAGACTCGTCTGTCGGCTTCGCTCAGGCAACACAAACACCTATTTAGTTTCCCGCGAACACGCACGCTTCAAGCCTCGCTACGATTGTTCTCGTGATTGTTCGCAGGCTGATTCCGTGACTACGTCAAGGCTGGTCAGGGTGTCCACTCCTACGGAGAACGAGAAGCATTCGGAGCATCATCGGAACAACATGGATTCGATTTCGTCGGAGGACGGCATCGAATGCGTCGACGGCGGTGATAACTCGATTCAGCAGAAACAACGAGGTGGCAACGAGGAAATCGCGAACGAGAATTCGGTCGAGCGTAACATGTTGGCGGCGATATCTTCGCTGGATGGCATCGCATCGAAGCGCGGCGCCAGTCGGAAACAGCAACACTGGAAGTCGCAGAGCGTCGGCGAGAGTATGATGACGCAACAGCAACTGCAGCTGTCGCACGCGAACTCCCTGACGACGGCGACCACGACAACGGTGACGACGATGACGACGACCGTGACGCCGGACGACGAGTCTCAGCAGGAACAGCAGCAGACGCCGAACTTTTCGGCGAATCGGGAGCTCTGGCAGCGTCGTGCCACCTCGCAGACGCAGCTGATGAGCACGACAGTGGTACCGCCTACCCCCAAGTCGTCCTACTCTCGCGTATCCCAGGAATTCCGCGAAATGCGGCAGAAACACACGCCCGATCTAGTGATGGATCTACCGCTGTCGGCGCAAGACCCAGTCAGCAAAAAGTCCGCATCGTCTAGCAGTCTAAGTAGCTCGGATGACGAGACGATGATGATGCCGCCGCAACAGCAAGCGCCGCCCTCGCGAGCGGAAGCGGCTACTTCGCCGACTGGCGGTCCAGAATCGCCGGATATGAGCACTGCCGCCGAGCGTTTCGCTAAGCAGAATCAATGCACCCTGAAGAAAAATACGAAGACCGCAAATACAGCGGAAATTACCGGCAGCAAGTTGAAGCGGATCGAGACGGCGGAGCAACACGACGGGACGGGCGTCGTCGTCGTCGTCGACGCGGAGGACGACGAGATCATCCGGTCGGCCAGCTCGAATCAGATCGCCGTCGACGGCGGCAACGGGGGTGGGGAAGGTGGTGGTGGAGGAGGGGTGTCGCTCAGGTCACCTCTACCGCCGCGTTCCACCCCCAAAATCGTTGCCAAGTTCGCCGACATGCATCTGACCGGCGGCAGCCAGGTGGTTTCGTCGTTCAAGCCGCAGGTCAAGGTCAAGCCGACGATCCTGCGCAAACCGGTGATGCCGTTCCCGCATCCACACATGAGCCCCGAGCTTGCGCGCAAGATCGAGAAACAGGCGCAGAGCGCGGAGCAGGCCAATTAAAAGATTGCCATAATCGCACAGTTGAAAAAGTTGACATTATTCGCGATTGGTAACGCGGGCGGATCCCCCGGCAGTCGTCGAAATATCGTCCTTCCGACGAAAAATGCAAATCCAATTTCGAGCTTCAAGGAAATTTTACCTTTTCGACTTTTAAAGTCGACGCCTCGAAAATTTCAGAGTCTCCTTCTCGCCGACTCTCCTCGTAATCTTACATTTTACGCAAGTTATTCGCTCTCGAATGACAACTTGACAATAACCGCCTTTTTTTTCAGGCATACGTGAAATTGCAAATTGAAAAGATACAATAAATTAGGAAACTAGGCTGTTGCCGAGGGAAACGTCGTGCCGAGACCGATCGTTCTTACGAGAGAAAAGGAGATCGACCTTCAAGATTTCGCCATTTCGAGACGATAGCGTGTAGATTTAGAACGATTAGAGCGCGACCACACGTCCCATCGACCAGTTACTCCGCCCAGTCGCGAGGACTTCTACTGTATTAATTATCGTGCCCGAGAAGAAAGGAAAGAGCTACCGCGGTATAGCGCAGTGTGCGACGCGTGTTATAAATTCGCGCGACGGTGCTAAATACGGCACGCGCGCAAACTTACTTTATAGTAATCGCACGTAGGGCGAAACCACGGCGCTATCCTCGCGGGGGCGAGTTTATTTTTTCTACAGATGTTTTCCATTTTCGCATAATTTTTTTACCAAATGATCCGCGCGAAGTAATGTTTCTAGTCATCGAGCGAAGATAAGAATAAGAGAAAAAAAAATAATGAAAAAAGCGAAAGAAAGAGTATGTGCGTGCGTGTGTGAATGAGTGAGCGAATGAGAGAAAAAAAGAAATGAGGGAGAGAAAAAAAAGAGAGAGACGTAGCATCGAAGAACGTGAATTTGTAACGTTGGACGACATAATGTAATTTATTTTTTAGCGCGTGCCCGCATATATGTGTCAGTAATAGATTTTCCTGCTATCGCCACTCTTGACGAGTATTGTCGCGTGTCGCGAGCCGCGGCAAGCGCGTTCAATGGTTCCTTTATGTACGGACGAATGTTAGTATGAGTTTGAGAGAAAAAAAAAGGAAAAAAAAATAAGTGGAGAAAGAAAAAACGCAAGCTGTTCCCAACCCGCCCGATTGATCGATTAACTCTCTGGACGCGAGTCTAGATTTCTCGCGTTCTAGAGCAGAAGTGAGTGAGTGAAAAAGAGAGAGAGAGAGAGAGAGAGAGAGAGAAAAAGAGAGAAGAGGGTCCCGCGACTTTATCGATAAGTCTATTATAATAGGGTGCGTTATATATGTATATCGCGTACCGTCTTAATTATAGGTACTAATTAATCCAGCGATGTTCGATATATCCGCGATAAAGAGGAAGGAGAATCTAGCTAGATTATTATACATAACGACGACGACGACGACGACGACGCGAGTATTTATCGATTGACGCAACGTCGCGAGCCGTTACTCATCGTAATTCCGATATCAACAAGTCGTTTAGAAAAAAAGGAAGAAAAAAAAGACACTCTGTAACACTTTGACGTATTCCCACGTATTGCCTCTCCCTATAATCGATCGATTGAAAAAGAGAAACTTGTACTCGTGTTCTATACGATAACGTATAAGCGTATTCGAGAGGATTCGCTCGACGAATTCGCAGTATTCCCCCTCAACTTTATGTGTGTATCGATTAAATGTTTAGCACGCGATCCTCGCGTTGTCGGTGTTATTGCGATTGTGTTATTTTTTATCGATATTTCGTTACGCGAAGATCTCTACTTTTAATTGTGACAATCACCTTCGATAGATTCGGAATTGATTTTAAAGTTTTTCTGCTTGCCTCTTCTCTTTTAACGCTCAGTATTAAATATTTTTATAGACTTACAGAATTGATATTTGCGCGCATCAAGTCTGTTTAAACTGAGATGTAAATAACAATTATTGCTTATGTAATTCAAGAAGAGATAATTTGTACTTTTAATAATCCAAATTTATATATGTCATTTTCGATTGAGAAAAAAATCGATTCTTTTTCTTTTCAATCATTCATCATCAAAATTATCTGTCGGTGGTCCCGAAATATACGATATATCTCGAAGAATTGTCGATCAAATAATCGTCTCAAATGCAATAACACTGACCGAATGTGAAGTTCGTTGAGGCATTGCAGTATACCCACCGCACTAAGAAATACCAAAGCCAAGGATACGCTCCCATTGACTGTAAAAATAACGATCTTTCACAATTTCGGTTTTAAATGTTGCCCTCCCCCCTCGTCTCCTTGTGTCGTTCTTTATTTTTCATTTAAATTACTTTATGTCCGCGGACTATATATTTTGTATAATGATCTCCAGTCTTCGTATTTTTTTTATACGGTGCCAATCGCGCGCCGAACGATAACGATTTTTAAACGAATCTGTAAAACGTAATTTAATACGCGTTAATAATTTAGCGTAGCCACGTCTTATCAGTGGATGATCCGAGAGGAATGTAATAGCTTAATCGATAATCTCTCCCGTTAAGGCTAATGATACATATGGATATCGTAATAAACGAACTTACAGGCTGTATACTATATACTATATACGAGTGTACTTATTTGATCCGATTAGCACCGGCAGCGTCCTTTCGCATTTATCCTGAATTGCATCTCGATACTTACAGTAGTAAGTTTGAGTAGTAAGTTGAATTGTTATTTTATATTTTTTTTTTAATTTTACGAGTAACGATGCGTTTAAATTGGCGCGCGCTGATCATCAGACGGCTGATGCATCAGCTGATATCCTCCCCTCTCCCGCACCTGAAGCGCGATACGTCATGCGCGCGCGTTGCCTCTGTTGTCCCTCGTCAATAACGAGTAGTAATCGCGGCGGGCAGTGACTTTCGTCGTCGTCGTCGTGCATGACAGCGGACATGGCGACGTCGGCGGGTTTCCTTGTATAATACGAGCTTGAGATCAGTAACGTTGATTATTAATCATCTCTTATCACCTGCCGTTGCCGCGAGTTGACAATTAACGCGGCGAATGAAACGAGCTTGGTTGCAGAAATCTTCGCTCGAAAAATATTCCACGATGTCGCGTCGAGTTTCAAATTAACCTGCCTGTCTGCCTGCCTGTCCGTCCGATAAATTTTCAGTGGCAGCGATGGACGCGGACGAAATCATGTGCAGAATCTTCGGCGCGAGCCTCGTCGAGTTCCGTGTCGCTAGCGCTAAAGCCAATGAAGATCATCCTGGACAATCGAGGTACGATTCCCTTCTATGAAAAGGAGAAGGTTTATCTGTTTAAAGCTGTATTTTGTGCAAGTATCTTTTAGTACTTTTGTCTTTTAATCTGAATATCTTTATTTTATTTGTAATTGCTACAAATTCCATTATCTTTTTATAATCTTTCCTCTCTATTATTTGTTTTGCTCTAAATTATATAAAATCTATATATATAAATGCAACATATGAAAATATAGATCATATGTTTATATTAACTTTTTTTAAATAACTTATTTTATTTCACATTAATATATGTAATCTTCTTTCCCTTTTATAACACATTAATTTATTTTATTAACCAATATATTTTGGCCAATGTTTCAGATTAGTACAGGATTTGACTTGCATAAATGAGTACATAAGAAGATCCTTATTGAATATATACATTGACACTCAAAATTCTGAGGATAACAGAGAGGGTTGTATTGGTCCCCATATTGTTAGATTTGATATATCTATGCACCATGGTCTTTGTATCGTCTCCCCTGACAGATTGAGTGTCAATTCACAGAGTAGTTTCAGTACAATGCGTGCTAATACAGGAGTGTTCAAAGGAAAATGGATGTATGAGGTACAACTAGGATCCAAAGGAGTGATGCAAGTTGGATGGGGAACTGCTCAATGTAAATTTAATCAACAATATGGCGTTGGTAAATTGAAATATTATCATATAACTATATTGTGTTATATTTAAAATTTTTCAAGAAAAAAACAAATATAATTATTTTAAATAACTCATTTTATTCTCACAAGGATTGATTATTTCAACTGTTATAAATATTTTACTTTCTTTGTCAGGGGATACTCCAAACTCGTACGCTTACGATGGAAATCGTGTAAGAAAATGGAATGTAACCACGCACAAATATGGCGAATCCTGGTTGACAGGTGACATTATTGGCTGTGCGCTGGACATGGATGACGGAACGATAGATTTCTATAGAAACGGCAAAAGTCTAGGCAAAGCGTTCGAGAATATATCGATGGGCGCCGGAATCGCATATTTTCCTACCGTTAGCTTAGCCTTTACCGAAAACTTGACAGCCAATTTCGGCTCCATACCATTTAGATATCCCGTAGAGGATTACGAACCATTGCAAGCACCACCGACGACGCAAGTTCGCCAAGCCGTACTTCTTTTTCAATGGCTCTCGCAAGTGATCGAATTGTTTGAATATTCTAAAAACAAATCTGACAAGCAAAACATTTTATTGGAAGATAAAATTTTGAGCTCTCGAGGATTTCTCATGTGTCTGGCGAGATCTATTTTGAAACACATTGGCCCATTGCTTACTGTTCCATACGTCACAGATGCGGTTTTCGTACCGTTCATGCGGACACTTTGCAACATAAGCACAGATGATGTTACGACAAAGTCCATGTTCTCGAATAGTCATAGCACGCGACCGATTATCTGCCTGGATCTTTTATGGGCGTTTTTGGAGGAGCATGAGATTAAGATGTGCCTAGAGAGTACGGTGCTTCATTTATTGTCCGCCTTTCGACATGTTTCTCTATTGCTCGAATATCCAGACCAATGTAAAAGTTTGATGCTGCTGACGAAGATTTGCCAGCACACCGTTACGCGGCAACATTTGCTACAATATGTGCTATTCGATCGCGTGCGTTTCGCCAATTTCGTGCACGTAAAACCACTGGATGAAGGTGGACTCACGGACGTGGTGGAGAAGGTCTGGTGGGAAACGAATCCCTTGGATCCATCGATCGAGATGAACAAAACCAATTACTTATACGCCTGTGAGCGCATCAAAACTGCCATATCCGGTACGATTAAATTACTTTTGAGACGTTTATATTTGCAAATTATAATTATGCAATAATTTTATTAATATAGTTATTTGTATAGTAACAAAATTAATACAATTATTTATATATACAATAATATAATATAATTATTTTTATTAATAATAATTTTTTAATCGCTCCAATTTCTTTTAGAGAGAATTTTATTATTTTTAATAAGAACAATAATTAAAAATGAAATTGTAATAGAATTTATATATAAATATTCATATCAACGTTATCAAATTTTTTTTAGTATTCTTTGAGAAAATGAATATTTTGGAGCAATATTTTTTAAATTTACTAACGCAATTATATCATTTTTACAAATGGAACAATAACATTGTATTTTTTTTTGCATAGAGGTAGAAGCGTTACAAGTCGAGTTACTAGTCACCCTGTTAAATAATAACGACGGAACGCCTAAAAGACCGGCATCAAGGACTATATTTTTAAGGAAATTCAAACGTTTCGTTCAAGAAAACTTGATATCCAGTCGTGTAAGTACACAATGTGCGTGTCACGTACGATACGGATAGGTACTCTCTTATATACGCGAATCGTTCGCGTAATTATCAAACATTTAGTCAGCAAACCTGCAGACGTTTTACCAATTCTGCAGACACCCTTGCCGATCACATTATGTTGCTTCCATCGACTTCTGGTTGCATTCAGAATTTTATGGGACACTGAAATTGGAACAAGCCCAGTCTATATACCCTGCAGGTGATAAGGCATTACCACAAGAATTCTCAGACACGTACTTGCAAAAGGATTCGACTCTCTTTAGTAACGTAGACACCTCCAACCAAGCTTGTGTGTCTTATATACATATAATTTTTCTAACTTTTGTAGATCTAGACATACTATACTGTAAAACGCTTTAACGCTTGCATTATTATTTTTATTTTTCGCGTTTTTGCACAACGATATATTTGGGATTCTAGATTTCCCCTTTCTTTAATATCTCTTTTTAAGTATATATTCGCTTCTCTCATTATATATACGTTATTCGCAAGTATTATTGAGCTACGTTTGATTTACGTAATAGCAAATTCCTTATAAATTGGAATGGGCAGGGCGTTCTACGATGCATCGATCAATTACTCTGGAATCGACAGACTTGGCGGCGTAATAACCCACTTAAACAAGACATTCAAGAACGAATTGCTACGCCTCCTAGGTCCGAATCATGAGGTAATCCTTGCTATGGAACAACAGCAGCAACAGCAACAGAGTGCTACGACGACAACTATGCACGAAGCGTCGAATAACGCATATACCACCGCCGTGGTCGCCAGCGGCGTGAGGCCACTGGCTGATTTGCCTGTGGCTATACCGGCGGCTATTTTCCCGCGCCTAATGAACATCAATCCGCCGGCGGCGGGTAATCAAGGTAGTTCAATGATATTGGAAAGATTCGGATTCTTTACACATACTAGAGAAGACAGGACTCCAATACGTCACGGTCCCGCAGATCCGGCGACCTCGTTGATGGAATTATTAGACGGTATTATCCTATTCTATCATGTAGCGGCGAAGAAGCAGTTGGCCAAGGTGGCTAGTCTACGCGACAGTATGTCCGCGTATGTTAACGCGATCGCTGACACCAAGGCAAGACTCAAGTACGTTGAGCGAGAAACGTCTCCACAGACAAAAGATCTTGATGCAGAAGCGATTCAGCGAGAATTGCTCCGCACGACAGATATTTTCAATAAGAAACTCTCGGAGCAAGGGAGACATATGGCGTGGATCAGGGCTGCCGTATACTCGGCGGAAAAGCAAGCGCAATTGGCTTGGCTGCTTAAAGTAGTCACGTTGACCTTGCAAACTGCCAGTCAGCAGGGGTGCATGTTCAGTTTCGTGCCCGATTTTTATCTGGAGACACTCTCTGATCTGTGCGTCAGCCTGCGCGCTCATATGCATCCCACCGCGCCGATCGAGGACATCCCGGATTATCGAGAGATGTTGCGCAACGCCGCCGAATTTCTGTGCGATCACTTCCTCGATCCACGCATAGTGCACGCCAACTCCAAGGACGTACTGATACTCACGCTCGCGGGCTTCGTATCGAATCCATTGACGTTGGAAGCGTTGGAAAACGTACCGCGCGAAAGCAGAATAAAGGTCATCACGAATCTACTCAAGCCTTATGAGAATAGAGCGTGGGCGCAGTCCAACTGGGTTCTGGTCAGATTCTGGCAGGGCAACGGTTTCGCTTTCCGATATGACAAGAGTCCGCATCTTTCGAAGAAGGTCGGCCCAAAACTGTTGCAGCAGGAATCTATTTCTCAGCCAATAAGTATGTTTTTTTTTATTGAAGAATATTATTTTTTTTTATTGGAACATTGTAAAATTGATAAATTTATTTATATCAGTCTGCAAAATATCGAATAATGTCTCTACGAAGTTTTTTGAATTTTTATGAACATCAAGATTTTATTTTATTTCGATTTCACGAAATAGTATCTTCAAGATTTGTTTTAGAACCATGTCCATCGGCGGTATATCAAGCACATGTGAGAGATATATTATTGGGAAATTCTCAGGCTACCACGCAGTTCTTGAACTCGCTATTGAATCAATTAAATTGGGCATTTTCCGAGTTCATCGGTATGGTGCAAGAGATTCACAACGTGTCATCGAGGCCGGAGCGAGTATTTATCGAATCGAGACAATTGAAAATCTGTGCCACTTGCTTCGATTTAGCGATTTCATTGCTCCGAGTGTTGGAGATGATCTCTACGGTGGCTCCGGGTGTTTTTAGCGATCCCACACAGTCTTCCAGCGAGACTTTATTAGCCAGATTATGTCAAGTAAGCGAGTGATGTTATCTAGTAAATGATTATGCTCTAATTGTTACGGCCCATTTTGATCATTATGACTTGTGATTTCAGTTACTCTGTCAAGTGTTGAACAGAATGAGTTCGCAGACGAGTTGTTTTCAGCACGTAGTGCTATTGGAGATACCAGATTTAGAATCTGTAGATCATTTTCCTATATTAGCTGCCGTTATCGGTATTCTACTGGCTCTCCTCGAAAAAGAAATGAAAGATTTTGCAGGTAAATATTAAAATGAAAAAAGAAACTTCATCTATACGTATAGAACGAGTGTTAATAATTGTGCTTTTCTCTCATCAGCGAAACCGACGATTGAAGTGCCTAGAATCACGCGAAGTTTATTGACAGAGCCGAGCTTCCAGATCAGTTCTCTATATTTTGTTTTGGGTGATACAAAGTTGAAAAATACAAAAACGAAAAATGTAAAACCATTCTCATTATTAAATTGTAAGTATTTTGAGTATACTTAACACTATATAATCTTAAAAATATTTATTTCTCCAATACTCATTAATATTTAATTAATAATATTTTTAATTAATCATGTTTCGTTTTTTCTTCGTAGATCAGGAAGATGTGACGGCGGAGGAAATTAGTCGAATAACAGAAATGATAAAGTATCTCGATACTTGTCGCACGCTCTTACCCGATACCAAACTGATAAGCGACGACGATGACACTTGTACGATTTGCTACGCGTTTCCGATCGCCGCTACGTTCAAACCGTGCAATCATCAAACCTGTCGTACCTGCATAGATCGTCATCTGCTCAATACGAGGGAGTGTTTCTTTTGCAAAGCGACCATAGATAAAGTCGAAGATCTAAGCGGGAATACGTTGCACGATTTCATTAGCGAATTCGCAGTATCGAGAGTGACTTCTTGATCCAGTGATAAAGATCATCATGGACAGGTTGCATATATTGTATTAAAGTCCGCTAATCCTGCAATATACATACTCGTCGTATCGAGTATTCATAAAACTATCGTAATTTTTATCATGCTGAGAAATTCTGTAAAAATTAGAAAATCAAATGACAGAAAGAGAGATTATATAAAGTATTCAAGATTCTTTATTCATATATATTCACAAATATATTATATCCACCTGCTATATTGAGCAAATTTTGGCAATGAAGGATTGCAAAGGTATAAAAAAATATTGATTTTGCGCAAAGAAATTGCGCATGTGAATTTATAAATAAAAACTTGCTAATAAAAATTATATCAGTCTTATTCGTATCTATCTGAACGTTACAAAAAGTAAAAGAAAATATGGCAAAATTACAGATCGATTTCCTTAATTTTATTTTCTATCGGCAGTTCGATTCCATTCACATGTACGCTCCATGTACAACATGATACAGATGAGACAGATCATCGTTAACAATAATATAAAATCTAATTTTTCGTAGAAAAATAAATGCAATATATGTATTTCGAGTAATATTCATACGCATAGACTTTCTTTAAACTGCCTAAAACCGGTGACCAATGGCGGCAATTTAGACGGTATTTTGTAAAGATCCTGAAGAGTCTTTAGAAATACGAAGCCGCATACGAAAGCGCCGAGTGCAGTCAGGAAAATGGCAAAGACGATCAATAAACGGTTTTTGTTCAAGTACAATTCTGAATCCTTAAGAAGTATGTTTTGCAAGAGGCAGATACCTGGCAGTACGAAGATGAACGTGGCAGATAATGCTCCCAGTAAATTGATAATCGGTGAGATATCCGGTACGAGAATGGCGATTACCAATGATGAGATAAACCAAACCAATGTGACAGCTACACGAACGCCAATTCGATCGAGATTAACGTTGAAAATACCGAGAAGCGCGTCTCGTCCGCAGTATAGAACGATGGGATAAGTGGTGAAGTTTTTGATGGCGACTGCGATTATCGCCACAGTCAGTACGACGCTCTTCTCGGTGTAGCCTTGTAAGATATCGCTCGGTACCTTACCACTGCCAAATGTGAGGTAGCCAAAATAACCGACGATACTGTATGCACCAAAACAAATCAGCATACTAATCACGACGCACAGAGTGAATTTTCCCAGATGACGGTCCTTCATGCAGGCATAAGTTGGTATTGCGGTCATGTGACTCTGTGTTAAATATGAATATGAGTATGCATACTGTATATATACATCATTTTAAATATAATAATTTGTTTTTAATAGTATATCTTTTATAGATAAATGTTGATAAAACTTATATTAAAATTATGATACATAATAATAAAAATAAAAATTAGGAATATAAAAATCATGATACATAGTAACATAAATATAAAGATTATATATCATATATTAAACGTAATGTTTTTAAATAACATTACTAAGAGAATATATAAAATAATGATAGATTAAAAACTCAAATACCTGATAAGCGAAACAAATGATGGGTATTATTTGTAAAATTTCATATCCATTGTCTGGCCAAATTTTTATAGGTGGTACAGTATCAGTCTGTTGTGTAATGCTTTTATAAATTATTAACCATATAACATATATTATGGTTATGCATCCAATGGAGCTTGCATAACTCAAAATGTCCAATCTTTTAAAAAAGCACAAAGGCAATATAAATATACTGCAGGATAAAGCTGTCACAAATGGTCTGGATAAATACCTGTAATATTTTAAGTTCTTTCTGTATATTGAAGAAATTTTACAGATTGATATAATTTCTTCTTTTTTTTATTGTGTGTAATAGTTACCAAGTATGACAATAATCCAAACCATAATATGTAGCAAAGACTCTATCAAATTGATCGCCTACAATTATTAGGAACGTTAAGCAGCAACCAAAACTGTAAATAGCTACACAAATTCCACAGAAAATAAGATATTTATATCCACATAATGCAGCAAATGCATCTTGCATGGTATTGCTGCCTGTACTATCACTACAGCTGGCTAGTATGACCAGTGCCGATGTGATGAATATAAGAAAAACAAACTGTGCTATGACAGAAGTTCCTACTCCACCAGCCTTATCAAAAGCCTGTGGAACATTTAATAAACCAGCGCCCAATGTAGTGTTTACAATTAAGAAGATTGTTCCCAAGATACCAGCACCTGAGATACAAAAATAATATTGAAAAAATCTATTTTATCTTTATTAGTTCTTCCATATTTCATCGTGCTATTGACATTCTTTACATTATTATAGTTGTAATCAAACGGAAACAGAGACTATTTATTTAGTTTATTCAATTTTAATTTATTTTACTAATTATAACCAAATCATATATAGATTTCATTAATATAGATTTTACTTATAGATTTAACATTAACGACTCATAGGTTAAGGAGATAATGTTTCATATTATATTGTCATATTATATTACCTCTTCGAATCTCGTTATTACGCGCAGCTGAAGGACTCGGTGCAGTTGATAAGTACAAATCATTATTGCTCAGCCACTCGGAGTCTGTTAAATAATCCATGTTAGATAATTCACGCGATCAGTTTTCAATTATTGAAATTCTAACGAGATTTCGGCTTTGTTTTTCGTGGCAAGTATTTCTTCCGATACGCAAAGTCCATATGTTTCACGGGGCAAAGGTCAACAATCATAAAATGAAGACGAACGAATTCAACATTTAATCACAATGTCTCAGCCTCATTTGCAGTATGTGGTAACGCATGTTTCGTCTTGAAATTGCGTCTTCAATCGGATTACAAAAGTACAGATATTCACGACCAAAGAGAATTTAACTCTCTTTGTTCGTGACTTGACGATTGAATAGATGGCGTTTTATTTCTGGGGACCCGAGATCTTAGGGTGCAAAAAAACTCAATGATACATTTGGATATATATCGATCAGAGAGAAACCTGAGAGCGGCCACCTCGCTTTAACGGATATATTGTCCTAATGCGCTCCCTGACAAAGTGGACGTCAACTACATCCATTAAAGTCGATAATAATACATGGTTCGTGTCTGAGCTATGGTTCATGTCCAAGCTATGGAGTGACCCCAAAAGTGATACTCCCTCTATGGACATTCAAAACATGGACATGAACTACAAAGTCAAAGTCCATGAATGTTCTCAGAAGGAAATATATAATTGCACAATTTCTGGTTTTGTTCCGTGCTATGTACACGAAATGCCGGTAGCACCAGTGCTATATAACAATTAAATACTTATGTGTGTAAATTGATAATAAATAAATTATTCAATCGCGACAGATACTGTAATATTCAAAGATGAAATAAATATTTTTCAAAATAAATTGGTAAATAATACGGTTCTATGTATTTATCAACATGATAATTAAGTAAAGAGCATTAAGAGCCCACAAAACGCGGATGGCAATGCGTAAATTATTTCGAACATTAATTGTTCGCGAAATTTTTCTTTTTTTTTTTTTTTTTAAATGCGTTATTAGGAGAACATGATTTGTAAAGAGGTCATCAACGCATTATCGACCTCCTCGCAAAATATATTCTCCTGATAATATAAAATAATAAGAAACGAATTTTCGAAAATTTTCACACTTGCGTTATTAGGAGAACATGATTTGTAAAGAGGTCATCAACGCATCTTCGACCTCCTCGCAAAATATATTCTCCTGATAATATAAAATAATAAGAAACGAATTTTCGAAAATTTTCACGCTTGCGTTATTAGGAGAACATGATTTGTAAAGAGGTCATCAACGCATCATCGACCTCCTCGCAAAATATATTCTCCTGATAATATAAAATAACAAGAAACGAATTTTCGAAAATTTTCACGTTTGCGTTATTAGGAGAACATGATTTGTAAAGAGGTCATCAACGCATCATCGACCTCCTCGCAAAATATATTCTCCTGATAATATAAAATAATAAGAAACGAATTTTCGAAAATTTTCACGCTTGCGTTATTAGGAGAACATGATTTGTAAAGAGGTCATCAACGCATCATCGACCTCCTCGCAAAATATATTCTCCTGATAATATAAAATAATAAGAAACGAATTTTCGAAAATTTTCACGCTTGCGTTATTAGGAGAACATGATTTGTAAAGAGGTCATCAACGCATCATCGACCTCCTCGCAAAATATATTCTCCTGATAATATAAAATAACAAGAAACGAATTTTCGAAAATTTTCACGTTTGCGTTATTAGGAGAACATGATTTGTAAAGAGGTCATCAACGCATCATCGACCTCTTCGCACAATATATTCTCCTGATCATATAAATTATAAGAAACGAATTTTCGAAAATTTTCGCGCTTGCGTTATTAGGAGAACATGATTTGTAAAGAGGTCATCAACGCATCATCGACCTCCTCGCACAATATATTCTCCTGATAATATAAAATAATAAGAAACGAATTTTCGAAAATTTTCACGTTTGCGTTATTAGGAGAACATGATTTGTAAAGAGGTCATCAACGCATCATCGACCTCCTCGCAAAATATATTCTCCTGATAATATAAAATAATAAGAAACGAATTTTCGAAAATTTTCACGCTTGCGTTATTAGGAGAACATGATTTGTAAAGAGGTCATCAACGCATCATCGACCTCCTCGCAAAATATATTCTCCTGATAATATAAAATAATAAGAAACGAATTTTCGAAAATTTTCACGCTTGCGTTATTAGGAGAACATGATTTGTAAAGAGGTCATCAACGCATCATCGACCTCCTCGCAAAATATATTCTCCTGATAATATAAAATAATAAGAAACGAATTTTCGAAAATTTTCACGCTTGCGTTATTAGGAGAACATGATTTGTAAAGAGGTCATCAACGCATCATCAACCTCCTCGCAAAATATATTCTCCTGATAATATAAATTATAAGAAACGAATTTTCGAAAATTTTCACGCTTGCGTTATTAGGAGAACATGATTTGTAAAGAGGTCATCAACGCATCATCGACCTCCTCGCAAAATATATTCTCCTGATAATATAAATTATAAGAAACGAATTTTCGAAAATTTTCACGTTTGCGTTATTAGGAGAACATGATTTGTAAAGAGGTCATCAACGTATCATCGACCTCTTCGCACAATATATTCTCCTGATCATATAAATTATAAGAAACGAATTTTCGAAAATTTTCACGTTTGCGTTATTAGGAGAACATGATTTGTAAAGAGGTCATCAACGCATCATCGACCTCCTCGCACAATATATTCTCCTGATAATATAAATTATAAGAAACGAATTTTCGAAAATTTTCGCGCTTGCGTTATTAGGAGAACATGATTTGTAAAGAGGTCATCAACGCATCATCGACCTCCTCGCACAATATATTCTCCAGATAATATAAATTATAAGAAACGAATTTTCGAAAATTTTCACGTTTGCGTTATTAGGAGAACATGATTTGTAAAGAGGTCATCAACGCATCATCGACCTCCTCGCAAAATATATTCTCCTGATCATATAAATTATAAGAAACGAATTTTCGAAAATTTTCACGTTTGCGTTATTAGGAGAACATGATTTGTAAAGAGGTCATCAACGCATCATCGACCTCCTCGCACAATATATTCTCCTGATAATATAAATTATAAGAAACGAATTTTCGAAAATTTTCACGTTTGCGTTATTAGGAGAACATGATTTGTAAAGAGGTCATCAACGCATCATCGACCTCCTTTTTTTTTTTTTTTTTTTTTGATAACGGTGGAGAAATCCTTTATGGATACCCGCACTCCCCGGGGAGGGAGAGCGGGTTATGTGGGATTCCTGGTCTGAAGGACCAATATACCCACTAAAACTCCACCGGATGCCTACTCGGATGTTTGGGGGGAGGACCGGGTGCGCCGTAGCGATGTCAACCGGTCGTTCTCCACTCACCCACACGACCTAACCTCGTGGGCGAACCCCCCCGAGGAGGGGGGGGCCCGCCCACTCCGCCTGTATGGCGGTTTCTGCTCTAGTTGTGGCGCAGAGGGGCATCACCTCCACGCCACGCCCTCCACGGTGTTTTCCGGGGCGGCGGGGTCGGGGCTCGAGTCTCCCGCTCGAGCCCCGGCCCCCCGAGCCACAGGGTGGGCCACCCTCCCTTCCTCAAGAGGGGTTGAGATTCGGGCAGCACCCCAGGGCTCTTTCTTGGTATATCCCTCCGGGGGCAGGCTCCCTCTTTTCCCTTTAGGGATCAATCATCGACCTCCTTGCACAATATATTCTCCTGATAATATAAATTATAAGAAACGAATTTTCGAAAATTTTCACGTTTGCGTTATTAGGAGAACATGATTTGTAAAGAGGTCATCAACGCATCATCGACCTCCTCGCAAAATATATTCTCCTGATAATATAAATTATAAGAAACGAATTTTCGAAAATTTTCGCGCTTGCGTTATTAGGAGAACATGATTTGTAAAGAGGTCATCAACGCATCATCGGCCTCCTTGCAAAATATATTCTCCTGATAATATAAAATAATAAGAAACGAATTTTCGAAAATTTTCACGTTTGCGTTATTAGGAGAAAATGATTTGTAAAATGGTCATCAACGCATCATCGACCTCCTCGCAAAATATATTCTCCTGATAATATAAAATAATAAGAAACGAATTTTCGAAAATTTTCACGCTTGCGTTATTAAGAGAACATGATTTGTAAAGAGGTCATCAACGCATCATCGACCTCCTCGCAAAATATATTCTCCTGATAATATAAAATAATAAGAAACGAATTTTCGAAAATTTTCACGCTTGCGTTATTAGGAGAATATGATTTGTAAAGAGGTCATCAACGCATCATCGACCTCCTCGCAAAATATATTCTCCTGATAATATAAAATAATAAGAAACGAATTTTCGAAAATTTTCACGTTTGCGTTATTAGGAGAAAATGATTTGTAAAGAGGTCATCAACGCATCATCGACCTCCTCGCAAAATATATTCTCCTGATAATATAAAATAATAAGAAACGAATTTTCGAAAATTTTCACGCTTGCGTTATTAGGAGAACATGATTTGTAAAGAGGTCATCAACGCATTATCGACCTCCTCGCAAAATATATTCTCCTGATAATATAAAATAATAAGAAACGAATTTTCGAAAATTTTCACGCTTGCGTTATTAGGAGAACATGATTTGTAAAGATGTCATCAACGCATCTTCGACATCCTCGTAAAATATATTCTTCTGATAATATAAAATAATAAGAAACGAATTTTCGAAAATTTTCACGCTTGCGTTATTAGGAGAACATGATTTGTGAAGAGGTCATCAACGCATCTTCGACCTTCTCGCATAATATATTCTCCTGATAATATAAAATAATAAGAAACGAATTTTCGAAAATTTTCACGGTTGCGTTATTAGGAGAACATGATTTGTAAAGAGGTCATCAACGCATCATCGACCTCCTCGCAAAATATATTCTCCTGATAATATAAAATAATAAGAAACGAATTTTCGAAAATTTTCACGCTTGCGTTATTAGGAGAACATGATTTGTAAAGAGGTCATCAACGCATCATCGACCTCCTCGCAAAATATATTCTCCTGATAATATAAAATAATAAGAAACGAATTTTCGAAAATTTTCACGCTTGCGTTATTAGGAGAATATGATTTGTAAAGAGGTCATCAACGCATCATCGACCTCCTCGCAAAATATATTCTCCTAATAATATAAATTATAAGAAACGAATTTTCGAAAATTTTCACGTTTGCGTTATTAGGAGAACATGATTTGTAAAGAGATCATCAACGCATCATCGACCTCCTCGCAAAATATATTCTCCTGATAATATAAATTATAAGAAACGAATTGGTTTGTGGGTTCTTAATGCTCTTTACTTAATTATCATGTTGTTAAATATTTTTCTATATCCGAGTGTCACCGTGTGAATGATGGCAAAGCTATGACATGTATAGCCGCTTGCTATACGTCGTCAAGGCCAAACATATGATATTAATTGATAATTCTCTGCCGAAATATTTTGCGTACTATATATACACGCGACATTTTAAATAGAAGTATATTTTATTTTAAATTAATTAATTATGAACGATTGATGTATCACGGAACAATCGCGATATATCGCAAACCACCATCATGTTTCGGAGAGCGGCCCGCCCACCGCTTCGCCGCGATCGTAGTATCTATATTTAATTAATTAATCGAACGATTGCATTCCGATTCATCTTTTCGTTCGGTATATATAAGTATTTAATCAATTAATCGAACGATTACATTCGGCTTGCCATTTTACTCGCCGCGTTACAGTGAATATCGCGCGAGATAGGCAGGCAACATGCGCGGCGTCGTGCACGATTTCGACCGTCCGCGCGCAGACGAAAAACAGCGAATTTATATCTCGACTTCCAGACGCGATTTCGTTCTTTTTGCATAAAATTCTACACCATTTCGCGGCACTACCGTTTAAATCTCGTCCCGATCGCCCGAAGAGCGGCTGACTTACAGTGAATATCCGAAATTTGCTTCTTGGACTCACACTTAAATGTAATATCTATACATATAATATAAATATATAATATAAATATATAATATAAATAATAGCAAGGAAAAGAGAGAATATATTAATATTTTTATATAATAAATTATTATTAATTAAATTATTTATATTTTTATTTATATTATTTATATTATCAGAGGGACATATATGTTATCCTCTGAGAACCTTCGTGGACATTTGTTTTGTAGTTCATATTTTGTTGTTAATGTTCATGGAGGGAGTATCACTTCCAGGGATAAAGCGAGCCACGACATCTCTCAGTCTCTCTGTGCACGCTCGGTCGGCTTCGGTCAGCTCCAATCAGCGTTGAGCGCATGCGCATCGCGTCGCCTCCACGCTGTTGACAGATAGGACCAGAGAGAAACCTGAGAGCGGCCACCTCGCTTTAACGGGCACATTGTCCTAATGCGCCGCCTGACAAAGTGGACGTCAACTAAACCATTACAGTCGATAATAATACATGGTTCGTATCTGAGCTATGGTTCATGTCCGAGCTATGGTTCATATTCGAACTATTCACATGAGATGGACATGAGAGTTAGACAAGAGCCGATAATCTATCGTTCTGCTTTTGTCTCACCAATGATGGCAAATCACGCGGCGGTAGGCATGAGGCGAGCGGTGATTTTCTATCGTAAAGCTCATGTCTCCTTCCATTTCTTGTCGGCCCCGTCTCATATTTCACGCGCTACATTTTACATAATTCGGATAGGATTTCGAGACGACTTCGGGCGCCCAATATATAGAGACAAATTTATTTATTTATTATAAAGACATTTATTAAAAATGTTTTAATAAAACCTTTTCTTTTTATTTAAAATAATTATATCTGTATTTCATAAATGCTTACAACTCTCATATTATTATAGTAATATTTTATTTTATATATTTTTTAAATAATTAATTAATTAAAAAAATATACATATCAATGCGAATGATATCTTACTTTGATGCATTTGCGTGTTAGTGTTAGACATGAAAAACATAATGTAATATAACATCTAGTGTATCGAATGATGTGAATAATTTTCTTGTAAAAAAATAAAGTTTTAATAAGATTGCTCACACATATACGGCACAATACAGCATCTAATGCGCTAGATATTGTATTACATTATGTTTTTCATGTTTTTATGATAAATATCATCCTGGCTCATGTCTTGATGAGATCGATAATTCGGATGATTAATTTTATGTAATCATTTTTTATGTAATTATATTTAATTTAGAAAATAATAATAAAAAAATAGATAAATCAGTTTGTGAAACTATAATTCTTTGTATGATGATATACAAAATAACTTTACATTAACAATACAGATTCTTTAATCTTTTATTAATATATAAAAGAATTACGTTTCACTGTCGTGATTTGTCTGTGATACTTCATTATCTGTGCATAACAGATCTCTTCTATTGTTTTAAATTTATATTTTTTTAACGATCTGTAAGATCTGTGTATTTTGCAACACGTATTATCGTTTCTTTTATATAACACGACACATTATTTGTAAATATTTCTGCGTGTACACGTACATGCGTATATGCTTTTATTGTGTTGGTTGTGTAATTTTTGTATTTTTTTATCACGTGTTGTATTTCTTTTTTATTTCTATTTTTAAGTTTTTTTAATTTTATTTTTATATTTTTTTGTTTTGCATTATAATAAACAATCACTATGTCGAGTCAGTGCTCTATAGATAGTTATTATGATAAGTGCGTGTATAGAAATAAAGTAAATAATGTAAGAATGGGAGATTTTCGCATAAGAAACGGCTATTCCGATTTCCAATGCAGAAGGATACAAGATGCAATACATGGATAGGCAATACAAGTATGTTTTTGTGCAATAATTGTCATTATTTTATTAATTTTTTGCCTTTTCTGCTCCCAAATTCAATACATATTATTTGTTAGTTTATTATTTCAGAAAATAAAAATAAAAAAAACGACAGCAGGGAGATTCGAACTCGGGTCAGCGCCGTGACAAGCAGTCATCTTACTTGCACTGCTACGCGCTATTATGAAGGAGCACTTTATCGAATTGATCATAACCAACACGCCTGACATAAAAAAATTTTTTTTTACCAAACATTCGGTATACCAATTGCTATGGCAGCTTGAAGTAAGCATGTAATCGTAATTTTCATAATGTGTTGTATTTTTGTTACAGGACATACAAAGTTGGAAAACTTGTCTGCCAATACCCTTAAAAAATTAGGATTATGTGAAGATCATTTCGTTATTACATCATAACGAAGAACGTGAAAGCGCGACGAGTGAAAGAGAAAAGCAAAATCGTAAGCTCGTCGCGTGGCAGTCGCGTGGTCTGTCATTGATGAGTCAAAAACAGAACGATGAATTATCGATTCTTATCCGACTGTCCATCTCTGAATAGTTCGGACATGAACCCATATCAGACACAAACCATGTTTCGTTACCGAGCGTAATGGACATAGTTCACGTCCACTTTGTCAGACGGCGCGTCAAGCATCGAGAAATGTGCCCGTCGAGGCTGGTGGCCGCTCTCAGGTTTCTCTCTATATCGATGATTTGGATACATTTCATTAAGCAAATTTATTGAATCAAGAGATCTTAAATCATATATTATCATGATATTAAATTAAGAGTTCTATATTATTATTTTAACTTAATTAAGTCTGTTTTCTTCTTGTTGTTTGATCACACATTTGAAAAAAGTAAAAATTGAATGATTTTTTTTTTGTTGAATTGTTATTATTTAAATAAAAAAAACGCATGTGGCTCGTGAACAACCTCGAACTTACAACAAAAATGAAATAATCTCTTCATCGAGATCTCCACATGCATTAGTCTAATATTACATTTGTCGTACGACAAATTTTTTAAGCATATTGATTGGCTGTGAAATAACAATTTTTTGAATCTTTAGAAATTTTCTATCCCGCAGCCAATCAATGTGCTTAAAAAATTTTTCGTATGACAAATGTAATAGCCTAGACCTAGACAATACATGTGATCAATTTTCATTCATATAGAATAGTACTCGTGCGTAATCAAAAATCAGCTGATTGGTGTTAACCCAACCTAACATCCGCGTGTGCGCGTGGGATGAAACAGAGGTTAGGTTCAAGTCTGCCGGCGACACGTTCAGTTCATTTCTTTGAGTATCCTCGACAAAAAAATATTGTCAACAACGAGATTTCGAGGAAAAAGAATAAACACGGGACGCAGAATAACCGTGTTTCGTCCAACTATGTTTCAACATGTATTTAGATCAAGTTTTCGCGGTATATCGGTATGTTAATTACACATGTATATATATCTCTTTTATATATTTTAAATCCTATCTCAGCTATATTTTATTTCAATTTTTTTCTTCTTCTGATTATATACTTGGTGTATTGACTACGAATAGTATATATAACGCAGCTGAAGAAAAGCCTTTAAATTATTAATAAATACTGCATTTTCTGCATTCAATAAGAAATAATTCTGGATTTTAAGCAGAATACAGAATAAAACTAATTTTTGAAATTAAATATTTATTAATAATATATTTTATATATATATATATATATATATATATATATAATTTATATTATTTAAAAAATTATTACTTACAGATATATATTTATTTTAACTATATATTTCAATATATTTTTATATTTATTTCTTTTTTTTTATTCAAATATTAATATATTCTTATATAAATATAAATATTATTTGTTTATTATAAATTTTATTACAATTTAAAAATATAAGAAAGTCTATTTAAAAGATAAACAAGTAATAATATATGAAGTACATTATGAAAGTTTGATAAAATTAACAAATTTTTTGCTCAAGCTCAATTCTCTCTATCCCTCTTGAGCAATGTTTTGCATGCTATAGATAAGCGATGACATTTGGGAAGACCACAATAAGAAAGATGAATAAAACCAAACTGTTGCAGTTACTATCTCGGCTATGGAACGGACCTAATGGTGTGCTTGCAGGTAAACAGGCTGAGCAAAAAATGATATCCATCCTAAGGAACAGATTTCCTCAAGCTCAGTTGATCGAAGTTACTGATGTTTCAGGTGAACATTATTTTGTATTCTATGTAATATTTTTTTAAATATAAAAAGCATTTGTTTTGATTAATATAATTACAATTATATTTTAGGAGGATGCGGTGCTATGTTTGATATAAATGTAATTGCTCCAGAATTCAAAGGACTCAATACCGTAAAACAACATCGAATTATTAATGAAGTAAATTTTTTCAAGAAAAAATTATAATTATATTAATGGAAATACAATTATTTTATTATAAATTATTTTATTATAAATTATAAATTTTATTTAATATTTATAGGTACTCAAAGAAGAAATTAAAGATATGCACGGTCTTCGAATACATACAAGTATCCCGCAATCATAAAGTTTTCTACACATAATTTTAGTTTCACAAGAACAATATTTAATATTAATTTTTAGTACAAAACTTAAAAAATCCATGTTATACATATTTCTATATAGGATAAATTTAAATTTATTAATATAAATTTTAAGAGAATGTTATAAAAAGAAATTCTGTAAAAAAATAATAGATATCTTTAGAAAGATAGATAATAGATATCTTTAAAAATCTTTAGAAATCTTATTTTTATTTAATTAAATGGCCTGATTCATTTATATTTATAAATCAGGTATCTTAAATACATGAAAATTATTATAAAGGTATAATTTAAAATTTAAACAATGAGTTATATATATATATATATATATATATATATATATATATATATATATATATGACAGAACAATTACTGTTATTAAAAATTTGTAAAATGTATTATTGCAATATCTCTTATATAATACTTTTTTATTCTTGACTGTTATATAATTATTATTATATACACTACATATGTAAAATACAAAGAAAGATAATTGAAAAAGTGCACTACAATGTACTTGTGAATATTGTGAATATATAAAAAAGATCTATACTGATTATGGGATAATTAAGATGTAAAAAAATATAATTTTGATTAATTTTGATTTATATATTTTAATTAATATCTTATTTTGAAACTATAATTATCTCACTTTCATAATACTTTGTCGATGACACAATCATTTTTCATCATAGCAGATTACAAAGGTTTTTAAATAATTGTTTATAATAATTTATCCAACAATTCATACACTTGTTCAGAAATCTCAAGTTTCTCCAAACTTTGAAATCAATATATGATATTTCTGAATTGAAAATTTCTAAAAAATGTGCATGATTGCGTTCCTTTATTATTTTAAAATTAAGAACTAGATATTATATCAGAATTATTAGATAATAATATTGTCCAATAATTTCCGCGTGACGTATGCGTAGAACACAGTACAAAAGCTCACATTGAAATTATTACATCATTAAATAATACAGCACGACGATAAAACGTTAAATGAATGTCAAATTATGAGTGTTTTATCGGTTAGGTTAAATAATACAATTCATTGACAGTAATGATATATATTCAAGTTATAATAAGGTATAAAATATAATTTTATAATGTATAAAATATTTTTCCCCAGTATAAGCAGTAATGAAAATTAGTTAACATTATAACTTGAATATATATCATTACTGTCAATGAATTGTATTATTTAACTTAACCGATAAAAACACTCATAATTTGACATTCATTTAACGTTTTATCGTCATGATGTATTATTTAATGATGTAATAATTGCATATTTGCATCTCTAATATTGGAACTGGATATTTGCATCTCTAATAACTGCTTTTCATATTCCAGCGACTATCCTTAGTGCCCATGAAGAATATCTAATATTAGTGAATATCTAATACTAATTATTTTCTGGGTGAAGATCTGTTCTTTATAGTTGAAGTTCAGAAATCTTTTTTATTATAATACATTCTTTATTATAATATAGAAGTCTTTTTTATTATAATACATTAGGTAAAAAAATATAACCTCTGAACTAGTGTAGCCCAGAGCAGCCAGTTCAGCTATAAACAACAGATATCATGTGTTATTTGGCACAGTCAGTAGAAAAAGCTGCTTTGCAATTGTGTAAAATTCATGAATCTGATTGGCATATGCTCTTAGATTCAATCAAAATTAAGAGCATACGATAATTAGCTTTTTCTGCTGAATGTAACCATTAGATCAGCTGAGAATTCTGTAAAGTGATAATAGTTGCTTTCCATTTACACTGAAACTCAGTTAATTCTCACTTGTGACGTTATAACTCAATTGAATGCACGTTCCTTTTTATTTTGCTAAGTGAGATTCAACTAAGTTTTTACGTAAAATCTGCACAAGTTTGAGAGCGTGTGCTTTACTGAGTTTTATGATCTCACAATTAAAAGTGAGATTAAGAATTTGTGTCCTGTTGGAACCTTAAATCATATCAAACATTTATGCAAGTTAATGATAACGTCATTATCTGAGTATAACATACTTACATAATTTTAGACTCAGTCATTATCACTTGTGTGAAAATGGAAAGCAACTAATATGTTACGTAGGAATTTAGAATCCAATGTTTGCGATCATTAGGATCGCTGTTCATCAGTTTCGCTAGTTTAAATCATTGTTATTGTGACGAAGGAAGGATTGACAGAGGAATTGTGAACGAATACGAATTGTGAAAAATATGAAAGCCTTGCAAATTCGGAGATGTTTCAGTGGATCGTTAATAAGTCTTCAAAATTCATTCTCTAACAGGTATAAATTAATTTTATCTTATTTATTATTTAATTATCATTTGCAACAAGCTATTTTATTTTTTTGATTGTTGTAATTCGTTTCTTTTGTTTATTCTCTACTTTTGAAAGTAATCTTTAATTAGTTATTAATCTTATTATTATTAGTTATGTCATCTTGGGAAAAAAATACTTATTTAAAATTCATAGAAATAGGATTGATGTTTATTTTACTTTACAGATTGTTTGAAGATAGCAAGGTTGATAGAATAGAAAGAGCAATATCGACAATTGATTCTAAAGATGTTAAGCATCTTTCTAATTTTAAAAATAATTGGTGGGACGAAAATGGCCCAATGAACCTCCTTCATTTATTCAATCCATTCAGAATAGAGTTTGTAAGAAAAGGTCTGGCTAATGCTGGATTCAAATTACAAAATTCAGCTCTTCCGTTAGAAGGAGTCAAGATTATAGATATTGGCTGCGGTGGTGGCATATTGACTGAAAGTTTAGCCAGAGTAGGAGCACATGTAACTGGGTTAGATGTATCCACAGAATTGATAGATATTGCTAACGAGCATATAAAATTGGATCCTACTATATTAGAGAGAGTAAATTACATTCAGACAAGTGTAGAAGAATTTTCTTCGGAAAATGAGAAATTGTATGATGCTGTTATAGCTTCTGAAGTCGTAGAACATGTACAGAATCCAGAAATATTTTTAAAAGTAAATTTTGTGATATAAAACTACAAGAATTATTACATATAAAAACTACAAGAATTATTACATATAAATATGTTACTTTAATCAAATTCTTTACAGGAATGTGTGAAACTTTTGAAACCTGGCGGATCAATTTTTATAACAACACTAAACAAAACTTTAGTATCTTGGTTTGGTGCTATTGTACTAGCAGAATATATTTTCAATTTTATACCACGTGGTACTCATGAATGGAATAAGTTCATTTCTCCATATCAAGTACAACATATATTGGATAAATGTAAGTTTAATACATGTTATTTACATAAAAAAATCATTAAGAAGCATTTTGCGTTATTATATCTATATAATTATAAGTTTATAATTCTATCAAAGTTTATAAATAATTATGTTATAAATACTATATTATATAATAGCTTTTTATTATTATTTTGTTATTATAATTAATAGATGGCTGTGAAACTAAATTAATTCATGGAATAAAATTTAATCCCTTAACGAATCAGTGGTCTTGGTCATCATTTACAACTATTCACTATGGACTTCATGCAATCAAACAAAGGGAAATATGAATTAAATGGGAAATTAAAATATGATAGTTTTTGGAAAATTAAAATTTTTTTTTATAAAATACCAAATTTATATTTTTATACATTATTTTTATGATGCGTATATATATATATATATATATATATATATATATATATATATATACATCATAAAAATAATATATATTATATAATATATATATATATATATATATATTGTAATTTAAATTGATATCATGTGATGTTTTTCTTTGTTTAATTTTATTTTGTTTTATTTTAAATTATAAAAATAAAAAAAAATTATATATAAATAAAACAGGTGAAAGATTAATAAAATAGATAAATTATAAATAAAGGATGTATAAAATATAAATAAAAAGATATATGAAAGAATATATATATATATATATATATATATATATATATATATATATAAGCATATTTATTTAGAGAATATATATATTTAGAGAATGTACACCTTATAACAATACAATATTATATACTGAACAATATATCAAATAACTGAAAGATATTGAATATCTTCTATCGTTTTGAAAAATATTACGTCCATATAATATGTACTGTTTGGATAATTATAAGTAAAAATGATATAAGACAAGCATCGAACGCTATTTGAAAAAAAATTATTCGGGAGATTGTAAATTATATTTAAGACATAATAGTAACTTTAAGAAAAAACGATCAATGATTTATTTCGCTGGGGCGAATCCCACTCGATCATTGTCTAAATCAAATTCAGTATAATAACGTCCGATAAATACATCGCCCAGAATCCATTCCAATCCATGTGATCCAATATCAAAACCCATGAAACCACTCATACAGATTGTGGTACCAAACTGCTTGATCTGAAGAATTAAATATACAAAAATTGAAGTTTTCTATCTTTAAATAATTTAAATTAAATTAGGATTTATGATACTCACTTGAAGAACATAATCTTCACCAGAGAGACTGAATTTCTTATTACCCAGATTAAAATTGATTTCGGGCAACTGAGGAATCTTATTACAATCCACCTTTGAACAAAAATAATATTAAATTAATTAATAATTTAATAAATATTAATTTATATTTCAATAACATTTCATAATCTTTTTATAGAAATTTGTCATAGTGAATAGTATGATGATTAGCTTACTATTGCCTGTCCAGCAATAGCACTAGCACCAATTAGCTTATTAATGGCTGCAACATCTGCTACTGGTCCAGCTATCAGAGAGGTGCCTGTATCAGCAATAGCTTGGCAGCCATTATTACAGAAAGTGCGATTACCTACTTCGATCCTATTAACATAATAATATAATATAACATATAATGCGATAATATTAACAAATTGTCCATATATAATCAATGTAATTTAGAAAATAATGTACCCATCCATTGAAAATTGCCAGTATCCTTTGCGAGTAACAGGAACATATGTTAAATCAGCCTCGTAATGATCGGGATCAGAACCACCCAATATCAACTCGCCACCTACTTCGGCTGAAGGATCTCTGTATATTTTGTATATATTTTTTTAATATTGTAATTATATATATAGATATATATATATATATATATATATATATATATTTATGAAAAATACTGTTAAACAATGCTTAAACATGCTTATTATGAGAAGATATATATTTACCGATTTAAGTAAAAACTGAAAACGGCTTTTGGAACCAGTTTTTGTTTAACCATGTTATAGAAGACAGGTGTCACTCCATCAACAGCTATTGTAGAATAACCCATGCCCAAGATACCATCAAACTTTGCAGCGACGAATGCTAAACCTGGCTCACTAATAGCTTCCGCGAATACTTGACTCGTAACATTGAGGCCGGCAACCTGCAAATAAAATGTATTAATAATAAAATGCTGCGCATTCCTTTCAGAGGAAAATAATACGAATGCTTAGGAAATGTTTATAAACTATAATTAAAGCTGAATGTATTATATTACATATATTTATCAATGACTCACATTCACTACATCAGCAGATAAATATCCAGACAAACTGCCAGAACCATATTGAATAGCAAATGAAGCACCATTTGGTTCATATGTGCTGGATTTTTTACTATTATATTTATGATGTAACTCTGCAAGTAATAGTAAAAGTAAAATCAAGTTAGTAACATTAAAGAAATAATAAAAATAGATTTTTATTAATTAATATGCAATTGTATAAATCATCAGTATGTAAATATATTTGTCGCTTTAATTCGCTTTTATCTTTGGATGTCAAAGGTTACATTTGTATCTTGAAAGAGCAAATATGATAAAATTATAAATATGATAAATGTCTGCCAATGATAGAACTTGGTAATATTTATTCTATCAATAATTTTAATTCTTGCAATTGTATCTATTCAACTTTTTTAAACAATTTATTTTACTTAACTAAATAAAATAAATAAATAAATAAATATATATATATATATATATATATATATATATATATATATGATGAGACAGAATAGAATTATGTATATTAATATTATATCTCATTTCAGTGTACATTATATTTTAATATTAATTGTTATATAAATAATTAAAATTTTCTTTACTGTTATTAAATAATGATATTATTAAATGCAATATACATGTGTATAAATAATGAAATATTAAGTAAGCAATAATATATTCGTGTATGTGTGTGTGTGTATACATTAAGGTACTTACGGCACGCAATGTTGGTAAAATGGCAATTTTTTGATGGTACCCAAAGATTTGAGGAACCAGTATCAAAAATTACTTTAAACTCTTGTGGCGGAGTTCCGATGCTAATAACACCATAATATTGAGCATCCAAATAATTAGACAAAGGTTCTGGTGTAATACCTCCAGTCAGATGTACTGGTTGCAAGTCAGCGTCAACTTCTTTTAAACTATTTCGAATAGAATCCATCTTGTGCAATGGAATTCTTGAAGTAACATAAAAGATATCCTGTTATTGCATATATATTTGTCTTATATTTATATATTTATTAATAAAACAGACACTTCAAGAAAAAAAAAATGAGTCATGAGGAAGCTATAGATGTTCATTCTTTGTTTAAGAAATCCACATAATCTTATGTATTTACAATAAAAATATAGGAGATAATGCATTTAAAAATAATTATATCATAAACTTTTTAATTAATTAAATCGATGATCTGTCTAGATTATGATTATATCTAGATTATAATTTATATTGCATATATATCTGACATGTTTAATTTATAAAAAAAATCTTACGACATCGTTATAATAAACTCTGATTTTTATGTAAAGATGAAACTTTGTACAAAAAGATAACATTGTACAAAAAAAATAACTGAAAATGAGACTACATTTAGATTGCTAAAAATAGAACATGAATATAGAGAGCATCAACAGTAAACAAATAACAAAGAACAACTCATTGTTATCTATAACTTATTTATGTATCAGAAAATAATTTATTAGATGTTTTGATTGCAAATCGTAATATTCATGCTAATCTCATTTAGAAACGCGATAAAGTAGTCAAATTCACAGAAAATCTATCAATTCATGAACATTTTAATTCTTTATTAATGAGTAAAAAAATAAGTTTCTTTTATAAAGATATTTTGTCCCATCATTAGAAGATTAATTGTATTGACGCAGGTTACGCGTTAATTCCAGGAAAACTGAGTCATCAACGAGAGACTAATCTCTATATGTAATCTCGATGTTTATCAGCTAATACATAATGCGATACAATATATAAGCTCACCTTTGAACATGTGCGTTGATCAGCACAAAAAATGCTGCGACCGCCACAAAAAGTCGAAACATGTTTTCAAATTTTTCGACAATTAAAGCTTCAAATCGTAAAATTTTAAACTAATTTCGGGATTACGACGCACGAAGAGACACACAATCGACCATTGCCTCGTCACAGCTGTTTATCGACAAGCGGCGACGTTATATATATACCACCGCGCGCGCCTGCGCTTGGAGCAGTAAGAGAGACAATAATATGATTACGTGAATATTCGAAAAACGATAGTTTCCATCAATCAATCAATTCTAAAAGTACTCTGATCTGCAGGCACGTATTTCTTTTAGCGCGCATTGTATTTAAATTAATCGTTAAGTAATTAATGAGGAAAAAGCAATTAAAACTTCAAAAGAATACATTATCTACGATGATTAAGTATGGACAATCATGCAACAATGGAATTTGCAAATAATATTTTATTTAAAAAATAATTGGCAATAAATCCTGATATTATATTAGCTGCCTAATATTGATATTAGCTGCTTTCACAATAAATCTCGCGTTGTTTTATGCACAAATTCATATTATATGATATGCAATCTTTATTATTTCGCGATAAGAAATGATTGATGAAATTGTTTCTTATCCAAATCTGCGGATGAATTTTAATGTACATATACATACAGACAATGTAATATAATATTCTTTTTTAATTTAACAGATATTTGTTTCAGAATATATGTATAATTATCATTATTTAGAAACATTTTTTGTTATTTAAAAATTTTTGTTTTTTTATTTATGGAAGCAAAGAATAATCTATTTGTTTTCTTTGTTTATTATTTTTTATCTCCATAAATATGTATTTTTGTTCTATTTATCATTTGATCAAAATATTGCTTGGCTTCTACTGGATTTTAAATTAGAAATGGGTAATATTTAAAAGTAAATTAATATTTCAAAAATCTACTTTTGGAAGTCAAAAGATCGAAGATATATTTTTAAAAGTATAAAAACATTAATGAATTATTTTATTTTATTTTTATAAACTTTGTTTTAACCTTAACATATATTATTTATTTTGTAATTTGTATTTCAATTATTTATGAGCAGTTTTTTAAATAAATCTGTAAAAAAAACCGATAAATAGGGCTGGAAAGTCCGTTCGATCACTTTATAATCGACAGTATTGACAGTATAATAAACTTATTTAAATATGAAGAATGCTTATATTTCTTAGATTCGAATCAGATAGTCCTTATTATGAAACAAGATATGATAAGCATCAAACATCACATATGTTATCGTCGTTGTCATCGATATTGTAACGAATATCTTTAAAGTAAAGATAAATTTAATTATAGACAACTATGTAGTATTCTGATATTAATTTCATAAAGACATTTAATACCGATTTTTATTTTGAGACTATAGAAAATCCAAAATTCTATATTATATATATTACCATCATAAAACATAAAAGGAGTTACAAAAAAATTTACAAAGAAAAATAATAGATATCTTTCAAATGTTTTATTTTCTTTTTTTTTAAGGAAGCGTAATTTATTTATCGAAATTATTCGAATTATTTAAAATAAAATAAAATTTAATCATGAGAAACATTGCTAAAAAAATAACTTAAACATATAGAATCATTATTATTGTTATCAATAAACGAAGCACGTGTGATTATAGTGCTTAATGTTGACAAATGTTTCGACCCATTCCGGGTCCTTTTCAATATCACAAATTAATGTTCGAAACGAAGAATTATCAAACAATTTTTCGCAATTTGTTAGAACATTTTAGCGCATTCGCAAAAAGGCGGTCAAATAAAACGAAACATCTAATCGAAAAAGATGCAAAAGGAATAAAAAGAATAACATGAAACGTATGTAAATGCCTGTGTTCCTTCGAGAACACACAAGTCAACGTGGTAGACTATTACACACAAAATTCACACAAAGGGATTCTACAAAATAGCATCATGTGTTTAACAATATATATCTACAATTACGCGGAGGTGAGCGGCCGAAGTTTCATAGACAAGCAGCACTCTTGATTTACATGCGTTGCATGTTATTCTTTTTATTCCTTTTGCACTTTTTTCGATTGCGAACGATTAGATGTTTCGTTTTATTGTATTATTTGACCGCCTTTTTGCGAATGCGCTAAAATGTTCTAACAAATTGCGAAAAGTTGTTTGATAATTCTTCGTTTCGAACATTAATTTGTGACATTGAAAAGGACCCGGAATGGGTCGAAATGATGTTTGTCAACATTAAGCACTGTAATCACACGTGCTTCGTTTTGATTATATTATATTAAATATTTTATACGCACAAAGGATAGCGTTAGGTTCTTGGCTTTCTCCGTTACCATTGATTTATTTCTTGTGAACCTCGATTAATAGTTTGAGTTGAATATCGTATATTTTAATTTTCGAAAATATTACATACATTTATCTATAACGATACACTGCATAGATAATTATAAATAAAAATCGTAAACATTACAATTAGCATGAAATGCTGAAGAAAACATTTTATTTAATCATTTGCGAAGTTATTATTTATATCTAACAATAACTTTCAAAAAAGCAATTATTTAAGCAATTATTTAGATTGGGCAAATCCCACACGATTCTTTCCCAAATCGAATTCAGTGTAATAACGGCCAATAAATACATCGCCTAGAATCCATAGCGGTGAGTTAGATCCTACGAAGCCGCTCGTACATGTCGTGATGCCATACTCTGTATTCTGAAAAATTAAATATACAGAGTGTAAGCTTATATTCTTAAATAATTTATATCAGAAATAACGATCTATGATATATTCACCTTAAGAATATAATTATTACTGTTGAGAGGGAACCTCTTACCACCGAGAATAAAACGAATTATAGGCAACTTATGAATCGTATTGCAATTTACTACATTCTATAAAAAAAGATAATGTAAATTAGTAATTAATAATATATAACGCATATATATTTATTTATATTTTAGTAAGATTTTACTATAGTAATTTTTCTATAGAAAATTATGCCATTATGAAAAGTAATAATTGTTTACTTACTATTATGTTTCCAGAACTATCAGTAGTCTTATTAGCTCCAATATATTTGTTAATAATGTCGATCTCCGATGTTGGTCCAACTATTAGTGACATACCTGTATCAGCAATAGCTTGACAACCACCCATACACAAGGTTCTACCTTTGTTGAATTTAGTTCTAGTTATTCTGACCCTATAACGCGCAAACATTAATAGTTTGTTGGAATATAACCAATATAATTTAAAAAAAAGATGTACCTATCCATTAAAAATTGCCAATATCCTTTCTTAGTAACATCAACATATTTGAAATGACCGGTGTAATAAGCGGGATCGGAACCACCCAATATCAATTCACCACCTACTTTAGCTGAAGGATCTCTATATACATTATATATTCTTTTTAATATTGCAATATATATATATTTTTTTTTATTATATATATATTTGTTAGAAATACTTTTAAATATACTATAAGAAAATACATGCCGATTTAAGTAAAAGCTGAAAACAGGTTGTGGCACTAGTTTTTGTTTAATCAAATTGTAGAAAACAGGCGTTACTCCATCAACAGCTATCGTAGAATAACCCATGCCCAAGATACCATCAAACTCCGCAACAACGAGTGCTAAGACTAACTCGTCAATCGCTTCTGCAAATGTTTGACCCTGAACATTGAGGCCAGCAACCTATAATAAAATTGAAATATTGTCACCGTGCATGAAAAAATAATATAATTGTCTAAGAAATATTTAAATTACGATTATAGTTGTATGTAAAATGGATTATTATTGACTGATTGATTGTTTAATGATGACTCACATTCACTACATCAGTAGATAAGAATCCAGACACACTACCAGAATTAAACGGAATACTAGTAATATCATATTGAAGAGAACATATAGTATTATTCACTTTGTATGTTCTGGACTTTGTACTATCATATTTATTATGTAATGCTGTAAAAAATGATAAATAATATCATAAGTTAAATTTAAAAAAATAATATTTAAAACATCTTAAAAATATATAGATTATTTCATTAAATTAAATCCTTGGTCGAAATATAAGATGTATACACATAAAAAATTATTGCTTTAATTCTTAAATTATCTTTGTGTAGAAAAGCTCATTTTTTTATCTTTAGGAAGTGAATGTAATAATCTAAATAATACAAAAAAGAGGAAAAAAAGATGTTTAGTAGACGATAATATAAGATATGTATATCTAGAGTGTGTGATAATATAAAATGATAATAGAGGATGCCTTTTAGGGATGTATCATTTGAAAAAGAGAGAGAGAGAGAGAGAAGAGAGAAAGAGAGAAATTGTGTGCTTGGTTTTGTAATATTTAAATTATCAATTTTAATTTTGATTTTAATGTTTGAAATTGTTATTCAGCTATTATTGGAATTGCTATTCAAATTTTTTAAAAATTTCCAAAGGAGGGGTCAATAAGACCGTTTTTTGGCCCCCATCAGAATCGCTTTAAACTGTGGCATTTTCTTCCTGCCGATGTATCTTACAACCTCCTATTCTATAAAATTAATTATCTCATTATATTTTTTACTTTGATATTAATCATTTTGAATAATACATTTTATATTTTTTAATTTGATATTAATTATTTGAAATAATAAATTTTTTTTTCATCCTTTTTTAAGCAAAAATATTAACTAGTATACGTACATATAAATAATAAAATATTAGATAAATAATTACATTTATATTACATTTATCATACTAAATATTAATTAATTAATCAATTAATTCGCACTCACCAAGTACATGATAATATATTTTGATAAATATATAAATAAAGTTTACTTCTGCATTGTTTAACAGATATACCTTTAATTGTAAGAGATTGTTGATAATATATATATATATATATATATATATATATATATATATATAGTTATATATATTCTCTTTTCAACATATAATGATGACATAGTATGTTTATCTACAGAATGATGTTAATCATATGAAATTTAATAATTCCTTCTTCTAATTCCTCTTTCAGAATTGTAGAAAAAATAATTCCTTTTTAAGAATTGTAGAAAAAATAATTCAAAATTTTTTGACTTATTGATTAAAAATCGCTATATATTTATATTAGTAATAGTAAATATATATCAATTATCAATCTGTATATATCATATAATTGTAAATTACTTACCGCAAGCAACATTGGCTGTGCTACACAATATAGAGGGTATCCAAAGATTTGAGGAACCAGTATCGAATAATACTTTAAATTGTTGCGGTGGAGTTCCGATAGTAATATTGCCATAGTATTCAGAGTCTAGATAGTTGTATAAAGATTGCGATGAAGGATTACTTTTAGTAAAATTAATTTGTTGCAAGTCGATGCCAATTTTTCTCAAACGTTTTCGAATAGGATCCATCTTGTGCAATTGAATCCTTGAAATAACGTAAAAACATAACAAACATTTTCAGAAAAATATGTCATAAGGAAATTATATGTATAAGTTCAACTGTTGTAGAAATCAGTATAATGCATAAAATCATTACAATGTATACAATATTATAAGTACATTATGTATTAAATTTAATAATTCATTTAATAAATCAGAAATTTTAATAAATCAATGATTTTAGATTATTTGATTTATAAATTGCGTATATATCTAAAATATTAAAATTTAAAATTTAATTAAAGTTTAAAATTATAAATATATAAAGTTTAAAATTATAAATATAGTTCTTAAATTATATCTTAATAAAGTCTGACTTGTAGTTAAAATTCGAATTTGCATGCAGTACACAAGAAAGTAATTTATATGATTGTATTTACTATTAAAAGTGATGTATATTCAAAGAACGTTAAAAGAATAAAAGCAAATTATTATCTATAATTTATTTATTTACGGATTAAAAGATAGTTTAAAACTATATGCTTTGATTACGAATCGCAAAATTCATCTTGATCTCTTATAGAAACGTAATAAAGACAAATTGCGCACTCCATAAATTCGCAGAAAATTTGTTTTTCTGGAATATTCTATCTCTGTTTTTTGTATTATTAAGTAAATACATATTTTTAAATTTATATTTATACTCTATTGAATATTATATTTATATTTTATTAAATAAATATAAATTAAATAATATTTATTGTTTATTATTAAATAAAATTAAATTTTTGTAAAAAGAATTTAATCATAATTGAAACGAAATTGTATTTATGTAGATTTTGCTTTGATTTAAAAAAATCGGATATAGCTACGAGAAAGATTGTTTTCTATAATTTCGAAATTTTATTATACTAATACATAATATGTGCGATACAATATGTATGCTAACCTCTGGAGTTGTGCATCGATCAGCACAAAAAGCGCTGTGGCCATTAAGAAAAGACGAAACATTTCGAATTTTCGTCAACTGAAGCTTCGAATCGTAAAATTTTAAATCTTCAATGTCTTCTGCACTATACAACTGAATGCACAAATAATTAAAGTATAGTCATTAGCACTTTGCTTATTTATATTATTGCACACTGCTTAAGGCGAAAAAAGGAAAGAATTTGGTAATACGACATGCGAAACGTTCGAAAAACTTCCGATAAGTTTATGTCAATCCATCAAAACTAAAGATATGATATTTCGTACGTATTTCGTTAATTAGCGCACAACATACACGTGTATTTAATAAATTATTAAATGTATGTGATTAATGAGAAAAAAGCGATAATCTTTTTGAATATATTTTTTATATCACTTAAACTGACAGCCATACAATAATGAATTTTGCAAATGACTTTTCACTTGAGGGAATAAAAATAATTAGCAACAAACTTTTTTAATTGCTTTCATAATAAAATAATGTACTATTCAGGATTAAAACACAATTACATAGACATTATGTATAAAATCATATTGTGACATGTAAACTGTATCAGTTGCCGATAAAAAAATTTAATTTTTTTTATTGAAACTTGTGTAAATGATAAATTTTAATCAAATTAATGGCGAAAAACACAACGTGATATGATACTTTTTTTAAATTTAATAATGTATGTTGGTTTGGGACTCACAATCAGTTGACTATTTTGAAAAAACTTATTTTGTTATTTTATGTTTTTCTTTTTATTTATGTAAATGAAAAACTGTGCACTCATTTTTTATCTTTATAAATATATGTCTTTTGTCCTATTTATCATTCTTATGAAATATTGTTTGTTTTCAACGGACTTCTGATTAGAGATATGGACAAAATTTCAAAAAGGAATCAATGTGTCAAAAATCGATTAAAAGAAAGGTCGAAAATATAGATAAAAATGTATCTATTATATTAAAAAATATGTGTAGAAATGTCAATTAATTGTCTTATTTTATTTGTAAGTAATATTTATCTTTTAATGAGATCTTAAAATTATATTAATTGTAAAATTTATATTTTATTTTTATTATTTTCATACAGTTTTTTATATTTCACACACACACACACACATATATATATATATATATATATATATATATATATATATAAAATAATTGATAAATAATTTTAAAAATTATATCTTCGAAGATAATGGAGAAAGAATTGTATAAAATCTTATGTCTTCTTAAATCTAAATGTAATATTCTCTATATATTATGTATTGTTTTTGTCTCTTTTGATAAATTAACAATAAAAATCAAAATTGTATGATGCATGTTCAAAGGAAAATGGATATATAAAAAGTAGAAATCCAAAAAAATGATGTAAACATGGGAAATTGTTGAATGCAAATTTAGTTGACAATGTAGTGTTGAAATTCTGTAAAAGAGATAATGTAGACATCTTTAAATTGCTTTATTATTTTATTATAGTTATTATATCATTCTGTTTCTATGTCACTATATTTTTTACAGAATTTTAATATCATATTGTTATCTAAATTTGCATTCAGCTATTTCTCATGTTTACATTACTTTTTTATTTATTTATTTATTTATATCAGTGCTATCAAATATTTTCCAATATTTTCTAAAAAACTAATATTTTTGAAATAAAAACAATATTTTTTAATAATATAATTTTATAATATTTATAAGCGCAATAATATATAACGTTATATCTTGTACATTATAATCTTTTGTAATAAAAGCATTACTAGTCACTTTATTGCTAAATAATAGATGAAAGTTGGCGTCAAAGATAGTTCCGAAGTAGTTTATATACTTCGTTCAAGAGAATCTGATATTCAGATAAGTACAGAACATTTGTATGTTATGTACGATATAGAAGTATGTAATCTCTTGTATGCATCAATCATTCATATAATTATGAAGCATTGAATCAATAAACTTACAAATGATTTACCACTTTGCAGACATTCTTGTCGATTATGCTATATTGCTTTAATGTAAGACATTTTCACACTTTCAATTGGTTCTTTTTATCTATGAAAAAACTTTTATTTCTTTCATATATGTATACATTATGTATATATATATATATATATATATATATACATATATATATATATATATATATATATATATATATATATTAAAGTTGCAACGAATATTCGGCTAACTATTCGATATTCTGTATATTTGACAATATTTGTAAAAGTCCAAATTGAAGGAAATCGTAAATAGTAATAGCACGATTTCATGAAAGAAATAGTAATGGCATGACTTGGCTGAATATTCGATTAAGTACCGAATACCATATACTACTCATAATTCCATAATTTTACTATTTTTTTTAATTTGGACATTTAAAAATATTCGGACGAATAGTGAATTGATATATTAATAGCAATAATATTGCCGAATAGAATTGTAGAATACCGAAAAATATTGCATAGTTAATGCTAAATAGTTAATACCGAATAGTTATAGCCGAATATACGTTGCAACTCTAATGTGTGTGTGTGTGTGTGTGTGTGTGTGTGTGTGTGTGTGTGTGTGTGTGTGTGTGTGTGTGTGTGTGTGTGTGTGTGTGTGTGTGTGTGGTGTGTGTGTGTGTGTGTGTGTGTGTGTGTGTGTGTGTGTGTACGTGTGAAATTATTGAGAAGATATCGCATATATTTTCGTTTTAATTTTCGAATGTATTGCAAATATCTATTTATAACAATACACACCGTATGGATAATTATAATTAAAAATACAACACAATATGCATCAAAAATAATTTTATTTAATTATTTGCGTGATTATCATTTATAATAATGGTATAATAGTGGTTCTTTAAAACAAGGCAATTTTTATTTTGAACGAGCGAATCCTACTCGGTTATTTCCCATATCATATACGGTATAGTAACGGATTAGAAATCTATCTCCCATAATCAGGAAAGGCAAATTAGATGCTTGAAAACCACTGGTACATCTTGGGAAACCAAATATATCTTTATCCTGTAAAAAATTAAACACAATGTGAACTTCATATTCTTAAATAATTTAAACGGAAATTATCAATTCATACTCACTTGAAGAATATATTCGTGATAGGTAAGATTGTATGATACACCATTTATATTAAAATCAATTACAGGCAATTTATCAATCTTATCACAATCCACCTTTGAACAAGAGATAATATTAAATTACTAATTATTAATTTAACAAATATATATATATATATTGTCAAATTTTATGATTTTTTTTACGGCAAAATTATACCAATGTGAAAAATTGTTACTTACACTTCCATCACTATCAGCGTGAATGTCTTTGTTAATGGGATCGATAATCTCTGATGGTCCAACTATTAGTGAAGTACCTGTGTCAGCAATAGCTTGTATGTCTTCAGCCACAAGCTTTCCACCTACTGTGATGCTACAGCACAATAACGTTATAAGAATTTGTTCCAATTTGATCAACGTAATTTAAAAAGTATACCTTTGTAGAGGATATTGCCAATATCCTTTTTTAGAAACATTGACATATGTGAAATTGCCCTCGTAATACTTCGGATCGGAACCACCCAATATCAACTCACCACCCTCCTCGGCTGAAGAGTTTCTATACATAGTGTATATTTTATAGATTATAATATATATTTTTTCTTTAAAACGTTCTTAGACACGTGAGAAGAAAATACAAACGGATTCAGATAAACGCTGAAAACAGGTTCTGATACTAATCCTTGGTTAACTATGTTTAAGAAGACAGGCGTCACTCCATCCACGGATATTTCGGGATAACCCAGGCCCAAGATACCGTCAAACTGTGCAGCAAGAAATGCTATGCCTGGCTCCTTATGGGTTTCTGCGAACGTTTGATTTTTAACAGTGAGACCGGCAACCTATAATTAATAAATCATGACACAAATGTAAAAATATAAATACTTGAGAAATGTTTATAAACTATGATTATAGCTGTAACTGTATTGGATTGTTTCATGATGACTCACAGTCACTACATCAGTAGACAAGGTTCCAGATACCATGCCACTGCCATATTGGATATCGAATGGAGTATTATCATGTGATTTATATGTACTGGATTCACTACTGTCATATTTATGATGGAGTACTAAACAATAATAAGTAATACTACAGGTTAGTTATATGTTGAAGTGATTTTAAAAATAAAGAAATTCTTATTCAAATGTTTGTCCTTAGATACACATGAATACATTTATCGCTTTTACTTTTGAGTTTTTCGAAATTCATTTGTACGTTGAAAAAATAAACGTACAAATTGTATAAATAAATCTGTGCGTGTACAAATTGAAAAGCTTGATTTTATGGTATTTATATGACCAGTTATTTTAATTCCTAAAATTGTATTTGTGCATCTTCTTTAAATGTTCAAAAGATTATGTTTAAAAAAACATAATTAGAGAGAGAGACAGACAGAGAATAGAATTTTATAACATTTGTAATATTTTAATTATAATAATATAATATAATTTTATAACGTTATAATATATGTATATTTTAATTTATAATATTTTAATGTTCACTTTGATTTGATAAAAATTATTTGGAAAAAATTAAGATTTTCTTTAATGTTTTTAATATTATTAACTACAATATGTGCACATGTAAATAATGAAATATCTAATGAATAATAAAATGATAAATATTAACAAATTCATATACAGAGTCATAATTAATTTGCACTCATTAAGTACATATTTCTTAATGAAAAATATCGAGAAGTTACCATTTTTATTTACATAAAATAAAAAAGAAAGTAGTAAAAATAGTAAAAATTGATTGAAATACTAGAATTGTTCTTAATTCGTATTATGTTAGATAAATTGTATATTCGTGAGCTGCGCAATTTAATAAATATTATTATGTATTTTTATGCACAAATTAATTAGTATCCTGTGTAATGATTTTAATATATATATACATATATATATATATATATATATATATATATATATATATATTAAAATACTTACAGCATCCCAAGGAGTAGCATTTTGTTGATGGAACCCAAAGATTTGAGGAACCAGTATCAAATATTACCCTAAAGTGCTGCGGAGGAGTTCCGATAGTGATATTACCATAATATTGAACATCTGCATAATTGGACAAGGGTTCCGCTGAAATATGATTTTGTGTCGAAAGATATTGTTTGAAGTCAATACCCTGTTTCTTCAATATTTTTTGAATAGAATCCTTCTTGTGTAATGGAATCCTTAAAAGAATATGAAGAATATTTTTTTTGTTACATGCATACATCTTTACATATATATATAATGTATAGTTATATTTTTACTTATATATAAAGGACCGACATTTTAAAGAAATATAAGTTGTGAGAAAGCTATATATTTTCTATTGTTATAAAAAATTAATCACTTATAATTACTATAAATGCGTCATATAAATACAATATATATATATAAAAGATTATGTAAACATTATTATATAATAAACTCTAATTAATTATACAGATATTGTTTTTAAATTGTAAAAGATTTATACAATATATATATATATATATATATATATATATATATATATATATACAGGATGGGGCATTTATCTTGAGACAAGATAATATCTCGATTGGAGTCGATTATTTTGAAAAAAGTTTTAGATAAAAGTTGTATGGTTTCAAGGGGGACATAAGATGGTGTTATTAGTTTGATCTTGAAGAGCCACCTGAAGGACACGCGAAGGTCAGCTCCAACTTTTTAAATGGGACACCCTATATGCTTTTGCATATTCTTGTAGCTCATCTCAAGAGCTTTCCAAAACACTATAATTAAGTTAGTTTTCATTAAGTACTTTCCAAGTTATGAGGCTTGAAATCATTTTTTAATTTTACATAAACCGTAAAATATCTTGTAAAATATTCATTTTTCGATTACTTTACCTTAATACTTTTATGTACAAAATAATGAGAGGAATCAATTGGTGTAAAGAAAAGACATAGTTATTTTTAAGAAAAAATATGTAATTGTTAATTGCAAATTACATTTTTTTTTTCGAAACAACTATGAGTTTTCTTTACACCAATTGATTTTTCTCATTATTTTGTACATAAAAGTATTAAGGTAAAATAATCGAAAAATGAATATTTTACAAGATATTTTACGGTTTATGTAAAATTAAAAAATGATTTCAAGCCTCATAACTTGGAAAGTACTTAATGAAAACTAACTTAATTATAGTGTTTTGGAAAGCTCTTGAGATGAGCTACAAGAATATGCAAAAGCATATAGGGTGTCCCATTTAAAAAGTTGGAGCTGACCTTCGCGTGTCCTTCAGGTGGCTCTTCAAGATCAAACTAATAACACCATTTTATGTCCCCCTTGAAACCATACAACTTTTGTTTAAAACTTTTTTCAAAATAATCGACTCCAATCGAGATATTATCTTGTCTCAAGATAAATGCCCCTGTATATATATAAATTATTATTTAATTTATAATTTAATTTTTTAAATTAAGCATTATAATTTAACAATTCCTAATTTTTAATTAAAGATAATATTGCATGCAATCTTATAAAGAAATAATTCAAAGTAAGATGACTTATTATATTAGAAATACGGTATAGAGCATAAGTTAAATATAAAATAGCTCACTAATATAGTTTATTTGCTTACACGTTAGAAAATAATTTACCATTAGAACGCTAAAAATATTGCAAAAAGCATGAACTTTACAGATTTACAAAGAATTATTTTTTTCAAAAATGCTTACTTTTATTTTGTTATTACTAAAGAGGAACAAGAAATTTTATAATAAAATTTCATTCAATTCTGATGAAAACGCAATCGAATTTAAGTAGGTTTTGGAATTCAGAAAGTCGAATCACGAAGAAGATCGAATTTTTATAAATTCAACATTTATTGTACCAATATGTAATGTACACACATAATATAATATATGAACTTACCTTTGGAGTTGTGCGTCAATTAGCGCAAAGAGCGCCACAACCACGAAAAAGCGAAACATATTTTCGAAATTTGTGGCAAATTTCTTTTTGTATGTTATGACTGGATACACAAAAAATAAGTTGAACTCAACTACTAGAGCTCTCGTTTAGCGACATGCGGTGCGGCGTTTATATATACGATCGCGCGCATTTAAAACATCCGGGTTTCTTCGATTAATCAAATTTGATAAATATTTTGTTTAATATTTTTTTCGTTAATTAGCACAAATTGTATTAAAATAAATTATTAAATGTGTGCGTGTTTAATGAGGAAGAGATTAGCATTTCGAAAAAATGGATTATTTATACTGATTAGACAGCCATGCAATAATGAACTTAACAAATGACACTTTGCTCGCAAAAATTAGCATTATAATTATCAATAAGCTCATATCAGCTGCTTTCATAAGCATCGCGCTATTGAAAAATAAGCCGTAATTATGTACAAATTGTATAAATTTACATTAATGACATGATAGCTTTTTGTCAGTTGATGATTAGAAAAGACCGAATTTTTATTCTTATCAAAAACTGTACAAATAATTTTAAAAATTGATGATAAGGTACACAATGCGATGTGACAAGGGAAAATTTTCTATATATTTTGATAAATGTTTTTACTTGGCACACATTTGAGCCTCGTCTTTTTGAAAAACTTTTTATTTATTCTACATATTTTTATTTACTTTAAATTGTACCTTCACTTTCCCTTTTGGTTATTTTTGTTCATATATATGTCTCTTATGTATATATATAAAACTTATGTATATATAACTTATGTATATATATAAAACTTTCATCATTTTTATACATTTATATATTTATACTATATAAAATGTAAAATATACTGTTATATATATATATTTATACTTATTCTATTATCTTATATACTTATCCTATCAATTATACTATCAATTATATCCATGTAATAATATTTATTACATAATAATAATGGATAGATTGTATAATAAGACATATATAGACAGTATCATTGATAAATATTATTATCTTGTTTTATCGTGTAATAACGAAGAAGCAAAGTGTATAATTTATACGACAGCGTGTATGTTTATATTAATGCTATAAAAATTATTTTGGTCTATGTGTAATTTTTGATATTAATTTATTTTTAACAAGAGTGATGTGATAGTAAAAAAAAGTTATTTAGTTTAGTGATATTATAATTGTATTCTAGAAGGATGAGATACTATTTGAACTAATAAACTTAATGTTTTAAAACTTAAAGAAGTCATGAAACTACATCGAATCCTTAAACACTTGCATTAGTGAAAATATATATTATAAATTACTCTTTGTTTGAGAAATGTTTTCGTAGGCCTTTAAAAGCCTTTACTTGTTGTTTAATGAATGTTTTTGTAAGTTTTCAAAAGAAATTAAAGATGTGTGCGCAGTCTTCAAATACGTTTACGTATCTCGTAATCGTTAAGTTTGTTATGAATAATTGTTGAACGTTATGTTATTTTGTATAAGTATAATATTTAATATCAATTTCGAATCCAAGATTGTACACAACTCATGAAATATACCATCTAATGTCCATAACTGCACAGTACATTTTTATTATGTAAGATGTATATTTTAAAAACGTGCTAGAGAAAGTTTTATTTCGCCAAAGCAAATTCCATTCGGTCATTCTCAAATTCAGTGTAGTAATGACCAATAAAAAATAATTTTTTTTTTTAAATAATATAATTTTATAATATTTGGAAGCGCGATAATATATAATGTTTTATCTTGTATGTTATACTCTATTGTAATAAAAGCGTTACTTTGTTATATAATAGACCAGGAAATTGACGTCAAAAATAGTTCTGAGCAAGTTCAAATGTTTTATTGAAGAGAACCTGATATTCAGTCGGATAATTACAGAACAAATATATGTAATGTACGATACAGAGAAGTAATCTCATATATACATATGATCATCCATAAAATTGATAATAATTTATAAATGAAACATTTACTCAATAAATTTGCAAATGTTTTATCATTTTGATATGTTTGCTGCGATTATATTGTATTACTTTTTAATGTAAGACACTTTCATTTAATTCATTGTATCTATGTAAAACTTTTATTTCTTTTATATATATGTATACATTTAGTATATATATATATATATATATATATATATACATTATATATACTAAATATGTATCATATGTATAACGCTTCATTATATAATACTATTTACAAGTTTTCTTAGAACATGTTTAATTTACAAAAGTAAATTTTTTATCAATTAAAAGATGAAATAATTTCTGATTTATAAGTATATTGGTTGTAAATTTTTTAACACAATCTTTTTTTAAAGAGAGAGATGTAACGCAAATTTTGCCTTACTGTTAATATAGTTCTATTTTAATTGATTGCGATACAATGTTCGAAATATGATTATATCAAAATTTAGAGAAATAAATATTGTGAAATTTAAATAAAAATAATTTGAATAGATTTAGTGATTTTTAAGAGTGATGAGTGGAGATATATTGTAAATTATTTCGTTTATAATAAATACTTGCAAGTTTTTAAAGAAAAACTATATATAAATGGCAAAATTCAAATTTAAATAATGTTATATTGTTTTATCTATTAAACAATATTATTATCATATTAGAAACTGTTATATAATAATTATTATAATTATTATTATTAACATCATTATTATGAATTAAAGTATAAAAGCTTAATAAATAAAATATTATTATATTGTGTAGACGAAAAGATTATTTTATTTTAGCAGATTTATTTATATTTGGACATTACAATAGATACATACATACATACATATATATATATATATATATATATATATATCAAATTATTCATGGAAGATATATATGTTTTAATTTTTAAATGTATCACAAATATCCTTTTTAACAGAGAGTACACCGCAGAAATATAATTAAAAATTATCAAATAAGCAATCAAAAGTAATTTTAATTATTTGCGAGGTCATTTATATATATATATAGCAATTAGTCGTTTTCAAAGCGATCAGCTTTTATTTCGAATGAGCGAATCCCACTCGGTTATTTCCCATATCATACTCGCTATAAAAAGGACGCAAAAATACATCGCCAAGAATCCATGCCGGACCATACGCCTGAGATGATTCAGATGAATCAGATCCGCTTGATTGAAAGCCGCTAGAACATATCTCATAGCCATTCTCTTTTTCCTGTAAAAAGTTAAACACAATGTGAACATCTTGTATTCTCATATAATTTAAATGGAAATTACCAATCCATAATACTCACTCGAAGAATATAATCGTTAGGGTAAACAGTGTGTTCAACACCATTCAGAACGAAAGTAATTGGAGGCAATTGGTCAACACTACCACAATCCACCTTTGAACAAAAGATAATATTAAATTATTAGTTAATAATTTAACAAATATATACATATATATTGTATGTATATACATATAATAATAATTAATTTGTTCAGTGTTTTATTTTATGATTTTTTTACTGGAAGACTATACCAATGTGAAAAATTGTTACTTACAAATCCATTCTCGTCAACTCCAATTACTTCGTTAATAAAAGCAATATCATTATCTGGTCCAACTAATAATGAGGTACCTGTGTCAGCAATAGCTTGGGTGTTTTTAGTTATCTCGTAACCAGCCATCAAGACACTAGAACACAATAACGTTATAATTTGTTGCAACTTGATCAATCGTAATTTAGAAAATATACCTATCCATAGTAAATTGCCAGTATCCTTTCTGAGTAACAGGAACGTATGTGAAGTCACCCTCATAATGATTGGGATCTGAACCACCCAATATCAGTTCACTTTTCTCGGCTGAAGAGTCTCTATATATTTTGTATATTTTGTAAATTATAAAATATATTTTATTTAAACATTTTTAGACATGCGCTGTGCGTATGGAAAGAAGATACAAACCGACTCAGATAGAAGCTAAAAATAGGTTGTTCTACTAAGTGTTGTTTAACCATGTTTACGAAGACAGGCGTCACTCCATCCTGGGATATCTCGGGATAACCCATGCCCAAGATACCGTCAAACTCTGAATAAACAAACGTATCACCTGGCTGCTCGACGGCTTCTGCGAATCCTTGATCTTGAACAGGGAGGCCGGCAACCTATAATTAAATCGTGACGTTCAAATGTAAAAAAATACTTGAGAAATGTTTATAAACTGTGAGTGTAACTTGAATTGTTCCATGATGACTTACAGTCACTACATCAGAAGATAGGAATCCAGTTAAACTGCCAGTGCCATACTGGATAGAAAATGGAGTATTAATTGGTTTATATGTACTGGATTTGCTACTGTAATATTTATGATGGTTCACTGCAAGAAATAATGTTACAAGATAAGGATAGTTTTAAAGATAAAGAGATTTTCTTATTCATCTAAATGTTCGTTTGAATTATCCAACATAAATGCATTTATTCGCTTTTGAGTTTCTCGGAACTCGTTTGATACTCGTTGAAAGAATAAAAATAATAAATTGTTTAAATAAGTATATTCATGTGCAAATTATAAAGTTTGGTTTTATTATATTTATACAATCAATTATTTTAATTTTTAAAATTGTATTTGTGCATTTCCTTTAGCCAAAAGATTATATTTGAAAAATATAATCGAGGAAGAAATAGAGAATTTTATAATATTTATAATATTATAACGTGTTCATTTTTTGATTTGATATTATAATATATTCGAAAAGATTAAGATCTTCTTCAATATTTTTAAACAGTAATTTATATTATTAAATATAAGTGAATGTGTAAATAATGAAATATTTAATAAATATTATCTAATGAATATAAATATTAACATATTCATATACTGAATCTTAATTAATTTGCATTCATTACGTACATAATGATATTTCTTGATGAAAAATGTCGAAAAACTTATAATCATTTTTCTTTTTAAAGTAGAAAAGAAAATATAAAATAGAATTGTTCTTATTCATATTTTGTTAAATAAATATATATTCGTGATTTGCACATTTCAATCAATATTGTTATGTATGTTTATATAAGTACAACTTAATTATTATCCTGTATATATATTCTAATACTTACAGCAAGCCTCATCGTCACTTGCGCATTTTGCCGATGGTACCCAAAGATTTGAGGAACCAGTATCAAATAAAACTGAAAACGATTGCGGAGGAGTTCCGATGGTAATGTTACCATAATATTGAGCATCATAATAATTAGACAAAGGTTCTGATCCTCGTACGTCAAAATGAGTTTTTTTCAAGTCAATACCAGCTTTCTTCAAATTTTTTCGAATAGAACTCATCTTGTGCAACGTAATCCTTGAAGTAATACAAAGATCATTTTTTTGTTAAATACATATAATTTTACACACACACACACATACACCCACACACACGCATATATATATATATATATATATATATATATATATATATATATGTGTAATGTATAGTTTACTGACATATAAAGAATAAATTTTAAATAAATATAAATTAAATGACTATGTTCAATTGTTAAAAATCTAAATTATTATACAAACTTTAATTATATTGATATATTTTTTTTTAATTGTAAGATTTATACATTACATATATATTTGAATTATTATTTAATTTATAGTTTAATCTCCTAAATTAAGCATTATAATTTAACAATCTCTGATTTTTAATTAAAAATAATATTGTAATGTGTAGCGTGCAATCTTATAAAGAAACTCAAAATAAGACTTATTTATGTTAGAATTATATAGATATATATAGAAGAAGCATAAGTCAAATAAATGAATAAGAAAAAATAGTTCACTAATATATACAGTTCACCTGCTTATACATTCAGGTTATCATTAGAACGATAAAGATATCGCGATAAAGCAGACAAAAACATGAGCAATTTACAAAGAGTGATTTTTTTTCAAAAATGCTTACTTTTGCTATTCTTTTTTAATAAAAAGAAACAAGAAATTTTATAATAAAATTTCGTCCAATTCTGACGAAAACATAATCGCATTTAGGTAGGTTTTCGATTTCATAAAATCGAATGCAATTACAAGGTAGATCGAACTTTATATATTCAACATTTGTATCGATATGTAATATATATACATAATGTAACATATGAACTTACCTTTGGTACTGCGCGTCGACCAGCGCAAAGAGCGCCACAGCCACCACGAAAAAGCGAAACATATTTTCGGATTTTCTGGCAAATTTCTTTCTGTACGTTGTGTTCGATACACAAAAAATAAGTTGAACTCGACTACTAGAGCTCTTGTTTATCGACATGCAGTACGGCGGTTATATATACGATCGCGCGCATTCCAAACTTCCGGGTTTCCATCAATCAATCAAATGTGATAAATATTTTGTTTAATATTTTATCTTTAATTAGCACAAATTGTATTAAAATAAATTATTAAATGTATACATGATTAATGAGGAAGAGATTAGAGTTTCGGAAAATAAATTATTATGCCAAATAGTCATACAACAACTGAACTTAACTGATGACACTTTGCTTGCAAAAATTAGCATTCTAATTAACAGTAAGCTCATATCAGCTGTTTTCACAATAAAATATTACGCTGTTGGAAACTAAAACATAATTATGTACAAATTATTTCAAAAGTTTATATTAATAACATGCGAATTTTGCTTGGTAATTAAAAAAGATTGATTTTTTTTTTATCGAAAACTAAACAAATAATTAAAAAATTGACGACAAAGTATATAATACGATGTGAAAAGAAAGACAATCAAAGAACGACAAGAAAAAATTTTCTATATACTTTGATGAATGTTTGTTTCGTCCTGAGATACGACTGAGCGATGTACTTTTGAAATATTTTAATTACTCTACATTTTCGTTTTTATTTATTCAAGTAAAAATTGTACATTCACTTCTTTTTTGGTCATTTTTTTCTATATATATGTATGTTTCTTATGTATATGTATATATAAAACTTTTATAATTTTTATACATTTTATGTATTTATACTATATGAAATATAAAATATACTAATGTTATATACGTTAATACTGCTATATACCAAATATATATAAAGAAAAAATATATATATATATACATATATATATATATATATATATGAAATTACTGTTATATATTTTATACTTATTCGATTATCCTATATACTTATTTTCTCAATTATACTATCGATATAATGTATTGGTATTATTGATGACTATTATTATTATCAAGGTATAAATAATTATACGTAGAAACGACTCAACTAGCACAAATTAATTCTTTATTATTCAAATATACGACGTTTCGACCATTTGGTTGTGGTCCTTTTCAAGTATAAATTTCAATAAAGTTGGTCGATATTGTAGATAAAGAATGCAATTAACAATTACATTTTTTTTTTAAACAACTATGTGTTTTCTTTACACCAATTGATTCCTCTCATTATTTTTTACATAAAATTATTAAGGTAAGATAATCGAAAAATGAATATTTTACTAGATATTTTCTGGTTTATGCAAAATTAAGAAATGATTTCAAGCCTCATAACTGATTGAACTGTACTCAATGAAGAAATACTTTATTATAGTGTTTTGGAAAGCTCTCGAGATAAGGTACATAAATATGTAATAAAAAATAGGGGATTCCATTTAAGAAATTGACGATGATCTTCACGTGACTTTTAAATGACTCTCCCATGTCAAATCATTGCCACTATCTGATGGCCCCCTTCAAGCCATACAACTTTTGTTTGAAACATTTCTTTCTAAAGTGCATAGTTTATGAAATATATTCGACCGGTCCGGGACTTTTGGGACACTCTGTATACGATCGCGCGCATGTCGATTCAAAATATCCGGGTTTCCATCGATCAATCAAAATTGATAAACATTTTGTTTAATATTTTTTCTTTAATTAGCACAAATTGTATTAAAATAAATTATTATATGTGTGCGTGATTAATGAGGGAGAGATTAGCGTTTCGGAAAATAAATTATTATGCTATAAATAGTCGTGCAACAATGAACTTAACAAATGACACTTTTAGTTTTATTTCACCAAAGCAAATTTCACTCGGTCATTCTGCATATCAGTATAATAATGGCTAATAAATGTACTGCCTAAAGATCCAATCTATTCCATCTCCTACGTCAAGTCCAAAGCTGCTCATACATAGTAATATCATTGTAAGAACTGTGCAGAATTAAATCGGCAATGTAATCTTCTTATACTTAAATAATTTAAATAATTTACTTAGCACTCCTCTCATCGATGTAATCTTTACCGGTAAGTGATTATAGGCAATTGAGGAATTCGATCACAGTCTACCTTTAAACAAAAGATAACATTAAATTAATAATTAATAATATTTAATAAATATATTAAGTTCGTCCAACGACATCTGTTTAAGTGATGATCCGAAACGTAGATTAATATCGTTGTTCTATAGAAGTCTATAATTCATTTAAATGTACTTAATATTTATTTTTATCGCTATCATCAACTTTTATCATTTTTTTCAAAGACTTTGTTCTCAAAGTGCTTTGTGAGAGATCGTATAACTATTTATCACTTCAATATGATAGTTCTTGAAAAATTAATCTTTTTTTTATAAAATACTAAACTTATATTTTTATATATTACTTTTAGAATATATGTGTGTTTGTATATATATATATATATATATATATATATATATATTAAAAAATTATTTACAATGTATATACAGGGTATATACAGGGTGTTTCAGACGTATCATCTATTTAAAAACTACAGAAGTGGTTATTTCAAAAAAGTAAAAACATTTTATTATAAATCGGGTACGCTCTATCCTCTATCGAATGGTGATATTTTCAACTTCTGGTTCCGGCCGGAAATAGGTGATCCAGACCTGAAATGCATTTTTTTAAATGGAACTGCCTATTTTTCATTGCATATTTTTATAACCTACCTCGAGAGCTTTCCAAAACACTATAATAAATTATTTTTCCATGAAGTATTTTTTGAATTATGAAGCTTGAAATCATTTCTTAATTTTATATAAACTATAAAATATCTTATCATCATCCAGAAAAACTCATCGAAAGAAATTCTCATCATCCAGATTAAACTCCACTTCAGGTAATTAAGAAATATTATTACAATCCACCTTTGAAAAAATAATATTACATTAATTAATAATTTAGAAAATATTAATTTATATTTCAATAGCATTTTATAATCTTCTTATAGAAAATTCTTATAGAAAATTGTGTCATAGTGAATAGTATGATGATTAGCTTACTATTGTCTGTCCATCAATAGTAATAGTTCCAATTTGTTTATTAATGGCTGCAACTTCTGCTACTGGTCCAGTTATCACAGAGGTGTTTGTATCAACGATAGCTTGGCAGCCATTTTTACAGAAAGTGTTATTAGCTACATCGATCTTATAATGCGATAATATTAATAAATTGTGCATATATAATCAACGTAATTTAGAAAATAATGTACCTATTTATTATAAATCGAGGATATCCTTTGTGAGTAAAAGGAACATTTGTTAAATCATCCTCGTAATAATCGGGATCAGAATCACCCAATATCAACTCACTACCTACTTTGGCTGAAGGATCTCTGTATATTTTTTATATTATATATTTTTATATTATATGATAAAAAAGATAGATGAAAGCGGAAATTTCGCGCATTCAATAAACAAAATTTTTTTTCAAGAACACATTCTACGCTATTTTTTAATAAATAACAATACATTTTTATAAAAAAATTTTATTTTATTATTATTGAAGTATTAATCATTTTTACATCAATTCTAGAAAATTCAATACGGGTAACAAAATTTGGAATTTCCTTCCGTATTTTGCGAATACACTCATAAAAAATAAATGCAATCAACCACTAGCGCTTTTGCTTCTATTATTTATCGATATGCAATGAAACTATACGTTCGATTATATACGCTTGCATATTAAAAAGTATTCGATGTACTCTTATTTCGTAATTTTTAACGATAAAATCGCTATTATAATGGATTCTTGCATAGCTATTCTCAAATATGTTTTATTTGCGCAATGACACATTATCCTTATCATTACGTATCGCAATGATACATTGTCCGTATCGTTACATTGCTAAAAAATTATTAAGCAACTTACGAAGTTAGAAAATAGGCTACTGGAAGGGAACGACAATGTTTGATAAATTCTTATCAATTAATTAAATTTAATAATAAGATATTTTGCACTTTAAATCCTACAACGTGTGTATTTAATTATTAATAGTTGATATGAATAAAATAACGCTTCGAAAAAATACATTTGTTACGTCAACTACGTAGACTAATTATACAATAATAAGTTTCAAATGATATTTCGTTTGCGAGAAATGCCATTATAGACATAATTTACAGCACATCCATATCAGATATTTTCACAACAAAGTATTACGATATTCATGGTTGAGACGCAATTATATATAAATTATACAAAATTTAGCTGATGATGCAAACTTCGTCCGTTGACGATAAGAAAAATTGAAGTTTTTTTTTTCGAAAGATGAATTTTAATAAAACTGACGCAGTACGCACAATAGAGTATAATTTTATTTTATAATTAAATGTAGGCTTCGATTTATGACACAACTTGTTACACATAATTATTTAGAACAATTCCTATTATTTTATGTTTTTATTTTTTATGTTTCATTTTTGTTTTTATTTATGAAATAAATCTACATCAATATATGCTCATGTCAGAGTATTGATTGATAGCTACAAACAAGTATTAATTTCATATTTTGGATACATTCTACCCACAAAAGCAGCAATTATATTCCGCCCATTACAAGTGACCGTCCCAACTTCGCTCATCGCTTCGCATCGACTCGTTAGCGCTCTAGTACGATAAATAGTCGTCCGTGATCGGATCGAATTTTTTCGCGCACAAATTCAGCGTTTGTTTTTTCGCGCGTCATCTCGCAGGGCACGCCGGGCCGATAGAGGCACCTGATAGAAGACCCTACCGGCCGTCCAATCGCAGGCCGGCATCGCGCGGCGACTGTCCGCACTCTCAGTCTCGAGCCCGATTCGCGGAGTTATCGTTTCTCTCTCTTGGCCCCCGGAGTCAGCGAGCCCAAAATTTCCCGAGTGTGCGAAGCAGCGGCAGCGTGAATCGGACAGCAAGCGGCAGGAAGCGACGATCGCCGTCCGTTTATTATCAAGACTCGTCTCTGTCGCGTCTACTCGCGGCACGCATTCGTCGCGTATCGCAAACGCGCGCGCTAAATAAACGGCCGGACTCACGTACGGCCAGTCACTCACACGGACCGGAGAGGAGGGCGAGCCCCGTTGTATCGTGCGATCCGCTGGAGACGGTGTCAACGAGAAAAGGTAGAGAAAACGTACGCGTGGGAGCGTCATCCCGGTCGTATCGCTGATACGCGTTGCAACAGAGATATACATATTTGTATTTATATCCCCCTCTCCCTTCCTCTCGACAGCTATAGAGCGGCCACCGGATCCTCGCCGGATCGGTTGTCCGGCTCGCGCGCCTTCTCTTACGTCAAAAAAAAAAATATACGAGAAAAAGATGTAAGCCTCAAGATCGCCCTCTCTGCTCTGGGGATGAGAAGGATCGGCGAGGGACGTTGCTCGTCGCCGTCAGCGCTTTGACGTCGCGACCCACTTTCGCTATCCGTGCACCTCGCGTGCCGGCCAAATTGTTATTTCTTTATTGTCTCATATCGACAAAACACACCGTCCTCCCGCGCCTTTCGTCCCTCCCTCTTTAAACCGTTCGCTCGCTCGCTCTGTCTTTCCTGCTGCCTCTCTTTCTCTGTCTTTCTTTCTCTCTTTCTCTCTCTCTCTCTCTCTCTTTCTTCCTCCCCCTCATTTTCCTTCTTTTTTCCGAATGCCTCGCTCTATCTATGTCTATCTAGCTCTTTTATCCTTCTCTCTCTCTCTCTCTTTCTTATTCACTATTTGCGCGAGCGACAGAATTCTCTTTCTCTCTCTTTCTCTCTGTCTTTCGGTTCTATCTGTCTTTTTCTCTCCTTGTCTTGCTTACGAAGCGAGAGTTACCCGCACTTAATTTACTGCCGTATTGTCATGCCGGCGTCGAACGTGTATGCTACTGTCAAAGTCGTGCGCTTGCCTCGGTCCAGGTTTATCTTCTCGATTTCTCGATAACGTACGCGCGTGGGGAATGCCAAACAGTCCTTAATTTGCGCGTGGCATTTAACTCTAAGTTCAAAATGCGTGGATAATGTCATTTATAAATAAATCACTTATTTTGAAAGTGGTGGAAATGTAGATAAAAGTGATGGAGCCCCATCTCGTGTGTTTGCAATTTATTTAAATTTATATTTCTCTCATAATGTGAATTTACACCACTTTCAAAATGTTCATTTGTAATATATTTTCTTGACACACACACACACAAATATATACACATACATAATAGATTTTTTAATAGTGTTACTTTCATAATACAAAACATATTGATAATTACTTTTCATATAATATGTACATTAAAAGTATTGTATTTCAATAAATGATGATAATGATTATAGTTTATTTGTTCTAGCACAGACAAAATGTCGGACCGAAAGGCAGTAATCAAGAATGCTGATATGTCAGAGGAGATGCAGCAAGATGCTGTGGACTGCGCTACTCAAGCTCTTGAAAAATATAATATAGAAAAGGTATGTACTTTTCATAATTTTATTTTATATATATCGCTGAATTAGAATGCATTCTGAATATTATGTTAACATATATTCTGAGTGAAACAGCATATTGAAGTCATGATCGTAGTATATATAGATATATTTTACATAGATATATATTAAATTTCTAATATAGTAAGATTTATTTTTATATTTTATATTTATAGTTTAAAAAATTTCAATTCAAATTATACTTTAAGCTATAATTAAATTTATCTGTCAAAATTTGTTTCAAAAGACTCATTAGAGTCCTAGATTAGCCTTTATATTTGGCAAGAATTTTTATTTGTATACTTGTGTAGGCTACATCTTAATAGAAAGTATAATATTGCATTTATATATCGAGAATTTATAATTTAAGAGAAGTGCTAAAGAATTCAAGGAATATCAATTGATATTTGGAATAACTTATTATAAAACATAAGATTTTTTTCTTTGTAATAATTTAATAAATCTGAAAGCTTCTTATATATAAGAAAATTTAATATTTTAATTTAATTATCTTAAAATTGTTAAAAATGGATTTTGTTCTCTGAAAGTAAGAGATGTATTATATATATGTATCATTATATGTAAATTCTTAAGTAGTACATGATGAGATTGTTAGATCAATATCATTATATTGATTTAACCATTAATATCAATCTTGCTTTTTTCAGGACATTGCGGCGTTTATCAAGAAAGAATTCGATAAGAAGTACAATCCAACGTGGCATTGCATTGTAGGACGTAATTTCGGTAGCTACGTGACGCACGAAACAAGACATTTTATCTATTTCTACCTTGGTCAGGTAGCCATTCTCCTCTTTAAGAGCGGATAAGCTCGTTTCTCTATCCTCCTAAATTCCATCCTTCCTTTTTCCTTCCTCCCTCCCTCCCTTGCTCACTACGTAAAATACACACATTTAAAATCACCACCATGTGTAAAAGGAACTTCATTATGCATTATGTATACATTAAAAAAATTTATTTTAAAAAGCAACGCATGTGCCCGATAAGCAAGTAAAGAGAAATATTAACGTTTCCAACTTGATATATTGTTCGTCGTTATGCGAAACAAATTCTAGAGAAACACATACCGAAGGGTAGGGAGATAAACTGGGAAAAAAAAGAAAGAAATGACATACAAATCTTACATGTTAAAATGTATTTTGTATGCCAACAAGTTTGTTGTGTTCTTGTTTTATATTATTAGGTGAATATGCAAAATATGGTTGAGTTCAATACTGGCGATTTTAAATTAGCAAATTTTAGCGTAATTGTTTAATATATAGTGTTCAAATAACACTCTAAGTGCACTGCATATACTTCGCGTTAGATGGGTTCACACACGAAATGTGCCCTGCTTTATATTCTACGTAAAACTGGAAATACATGGTATCCGTAGCTAATCGCCAATAATGAATGTAAGCCCAACGAGATTGATTGTCTCTGCAATTGTTATTTTATATTACTCAGAAACCATAGTCTCTTGCGTATACTACATAACTTGATTTTGTATTTCCTACAGCGACTGACATTTTTGATTAGATTAAGAACTGTTAAATAATTGAAAGCAAGAAAAGAGCTCAATCTTTCTCTCGACGTACGATATCATCATCGTACACAGACTCTTATTAATAACAACTTTATTTCGATCGATATAAAACTAATATGCTATTGAATAACAATATCTGACTCGTTCATTGCTCTACCTTCATAATTTTTATATCGTGCACAGACTACAATGCAAAAAAGACAAAAAAAACATTTTATCTCGAAACGATGTATATACTTAAAATATAACATTCGTTTCCAGAGAAAAAAATATCACCTTCTGCATATTAAATTTTATCTTTTATGTAATATTCAACACTCCATATTATGGTACTTATATATATATATAATAAATATAGATTATACATATAATATACTATTTATATATAGTGCAATCTTCAAACAATTTTTCATGCAGTATTTGATTATCTTAAACGTTGCTACATTGTTCAAATTTTAGACTGACTATTAAATAATAACGAAAATATTATCACCATGCATAATTTTTTTTTAAATAGAAATATTTACACACAAATGCCACTTTTATAAGTAGCAAATATGTGTAGCAGAAAGTGTTCAAAACTAAAACCATGACGGATAAAAAAAAAGAAAAAATCAAATCAAATACTGAAAATCGATTTGTTACCGAGAATATCTGAAAATATCTGAGTTGATTGATATGTTATTACGTTTTTCTTTTTAATTTATTTATATTGTACATATATTCCAGCAGTTTTATTGAGATGCATAAATATTGCATATATAAATAGTAACACACAGGATGTGAGCTGTATCTTTACGGTGTTATATGATGTACGTTATGCTTTCGCCGTTCTTGCTACATGAGATTGGTTCAAGAAGTATGTTGTTAATAGACTGTTCTAAATGAACTGGCCGAAGAACCTGTTATGCTGTTAGGCGGTGGTTGTCATACTCGCTTGCCTACATTTCAAAACACTGCAAAGTATCAGAAATCGAAATATTTTTCGTATTATCTCGAAGATCTAATAAGTGAAAAACTAAATGTGTTATCAGTATGACAGTGTATGTACTTTTTGAGGAGTCGAGCTTCTCGACGTGGGAATCACTCTGTATTTTCCACTACCGCCGATCCCGAGAAATACTTTCGCGATCGAGTCTGCATGCAGAAGATGCGGTAAAAGCAGATGGATATTATTGTGCTTAACAATAAAAATCAGTTCCACACAACGAAACGATGTACTTTCCTTTTCCGCGAGGCGCAAAATGTATAGGTAGCTTAGAAGAGAAAGAGCGAAACTTTGTCCTCTACACAGTGCGATGTTGAATGTCACGAGATCGAAGTTTCTCAAAAATTATGAAGCTAAAATAACAGAGAGGGGAAAATAAATTGGAGTCGCGAATACACGTGTTCGCATGCACACAAACATCTTCCTACGCACACACTGACACCTACTCACATGATATTGCGAGAACATCAATAATGCGTTGTCTCGATAAAATTCAACCTTGCGATTCACAATAGAGTGGTCGACTAGGTAACTACCTGTGTGTCCTGTATAATTTGTGTAACTTCGTTAAGTTACCTATATTTCACATTTCCGTCCCTAACAATATATCAGCGCAATATCATATATACGTTTGTATTTATATACACATATATAATCTCTTTCTTGTACATGTAAAAGCAATGTTTATTTTCTTTTAAAATTTCCTAATTTTTGAATTATTATAATTATTTTTCTGTGACATATCCATTTTTCCTTCATTTTACTTGAAATTAAAATTCGTATATACGTCAATAATTATATTTATTAATATACATTCTAGATTATTATTAGCTTATTGATATATTATTTGATTTTTAATGAATTATATACTTTTTGTATATAATTATAGATAAATATATACTTTTCAGTTTTATAAAGACACATAAATTAAAAAGTTATAAAAAAATACTACATTTTTCTTCAATATATATATATATATATATATATATATATATATATATATATATATGTATGTATGTATATATATAGAAAATTTATTTTTAATTTATTATCACATTATTTTTGATAACTGGAAATTGGAATAATTAAAGTAAAAAGTGGATATCGCACGAATAAATATTATAAAACATTAAAATATTGCTTATATATAGCGGGCCATAGTTAAAGATTTATTTAAAAGTGAAGTTTTAATTATATTACTAATTAAATAAATTATTTCATGGACGCGCAAGATTAAAAAAAATAATTATTAATTCTTCGCAAACATTATCAGGTTTTTTTTGTAGAATCTTTATGCTAAGGCGAATAGAGAAGGATCTGATATTGGTTCAGTGATAGAGAGAGTTTATTCAGTAATCGCAAACTTGATCTGTGATAAAAGTCTTGATCGAACAATTTCCTTAATTGATCCAATGCACGTAATCAAGAATCGGTCTCTCCTAATAAATTTTTAATAAAATTTCATTAACAATTCATTAAACAATTGGACGTTTATCTTTAGAAATGTGTCATTAGACTCAATATCTTGTCATACAGAAGACTCTTTACGTCTTTAGCCCACAAAAAATCCAAATGGTTAAATTTATCATACGGCACACGGAATTTACCGAATGGATTGCCAAGTTTTGTGTATAATTTATCCACATCCTATGGAAAAAACGTAATACAATTATTTGTGCAATTACAATCATATCGTATATGTGTTATTTAAGTTTATCTAGAATTTACATATATATATATATATATATATATATATTCCAAGATATTTTTTATTTTATCTAAAATTTTGTAATGTGATCTTGTATGAAATGTAGGAATATTTCCATTATGTTTCATCTCTCTGCTCTTTCTTCGTATATATATAGTATCATATATAAACTTATATTTCTTTTTTCTTCACGAGAAAATAGTATCTTGACAAATATTAAACATACGTGAAATAAATTAATATGTGTGTGAAAAAAAAGTTACGAACCTTGACGTCCGCTATCCAATCGTTGCTGCCGTAATGCAATGAAACTGGTACATGTATTTTTTTCAAATCGTAAATTGGTGGTCTAAATGAACCATATTTTATTTTATTATAGAGCAATCCATAATCGAATTGTCTAAACTCTCCTGATGTAATAAATCCTCCTGATAACAGAAATGTTCTATTGTTTTATATTATATTTTATAAAATTTTGAAAGATGTTTTAAAATTTCAATATAATAGAGATATGTTGTTTTATTTTTTTAAGCATAACACGAGCACATTAATACAAATAAATGCTTACCACTTTTGACAAGTTGTGCAAAGTGCACCATTTGCTTCGTTGATGCACCAGCAGGAGCATGTCCTAAGATTATCGGTAGAAGAGTCTGCAAAGATAGCACATTAATATACATATACAAATATATTTGTCACATCAATAACATGATACTATTTAATATATATATATATATATATATATATATATATATATATATATATTTAATTATTAATTTTTAATTAATGTTTGAAATTATACTATAAATTATGTTACAAGTATTATAAATTTATGTTACACAAGTGCAAGATAGAAATGATAAAATGATAATTATAATAGAAAAACTATCATATTTTTTAGCAAATAATCATTTAAATCTTCAAAGTATAATTAAAAGACATTAAAAGCCTTATTACATTGTTAAATTGTTCCTTGTCAAATCCAGTGATCAAGAAAAGCATGTTTGAGCAAAAGGGTTGTGTGATGGCGTCTTCTCTGCATATTAATTCTTGGAATACTTTCATCCCTTCGCCGGTAGGCTCGAATTCGTACAGACCTATTAATTTCATCATCGTCTACAACAAAACATTTGATCCACGAAATCTTTAAAGTTTATTATAACTGTAATTTTTCTATTTAGATTAGAATTACACACGGTAATGGAATTTGTAAGCCTTGCAAGTAACTGCATAAGTGCACTCGATACTTTGCCGCAATAAGCGACAGGAGCCATGGCAAACATCGCCTGAATCTTGTTTTGGTATTCAGGCATTTCCGTCGCCATCACAAAGAAGTTTGTGGTACCCTGACTATGCCCCAAGTAAAACAGTTTTTCTTGACCAGTAGTCTCCAGGATATGATCTATCATCGCAGGGAGGTCGCGTATGCCAGTCTCATGCCAGCTGTAACAAGTAAAAAAAAAAGATATAACTGTATGTAAGCAATATTTTTAAATATGTATGTTTATTTAACAAACATTATATATATTTAATCAATATTTAATAAATATTTAAATAAAAAAGATATCAATATTAGAGATAACATCAAGAAATCATAATATTTTATAATACTTATCATAATATTTAGGTCATGAATAAAAGCTGATTAAAAAAGAGATATATCTTTATCGCTTTTTCTGATTGCACTTGTATAAATATTCTATTGTACTTGTATGATTCTTAGATTTTGTATCATTTTTGTCAATTTTTAAATATCCCATATAATTGTGTTTACACAATACATTATTCGTAAAGTTTAAATTATTAATCCTATTGATATTATATTTAATCATAATGTATGTATGCGTCTAATTTGACGTTATATCAAATAATTAAGAGAGAGAAAACGTGTGATAAATTATTATTTTTAAGACTTTGTTATTTAAAATATTTTAAAATAAAACTTAAAAAATTTCTCTGTGATAATTTGTCGTCACATTACATTTCCAAATTGAATAATTTTCGATGAGAAGAAAGTATCTCCTATCTCTCTCTCTTATCGAGTGATGTATAAAATTATTTATAGTTATTTATACATTTTTATGCTATTTTATAATAAGGCTACAATGGCAAGGACATAATCTTAAGTTATATAACAAAGTTATTTTAACACAAGACAAGTAACAAAGTTATTTTAACACAAGACAAGTAAAATTAGCATGTGCTTAAGTTTAAACTCTCTCATCTGACGGTAATAAAAGCACATAGCGTATGTTTAAAAATAATATAAAAGATGTTGTAACAACCCTGTATGACAAACTCTGTATCAACACTTTTATACTTTCTAGGGTCTTGATTTTAATTTTATCTCGAAATGTTTTAGCATTAATAGTATTATATATTTTTAGTAATGTTTTTTCTTACATACACACGCGCGCGCGCGCGCGCGCGTGTGTGTGCATGTGTGTATGTATGTTCTGAAATACCTGAAATCCCAATATTCTTTGTCAAAGGTAGACAAAGACACATGTTTACGTGAATATAAGGTGCCACGCGCGTTACCAAGCCACACGTCATATCCCGCATCCGACAAAATGTATGCTAGAATTAAAGATAATTCTAACATAATAAAAGGCAAATAATAATAAATAATTAATAAAAACAATAGAAATTAGAGAACGCTAAAAATTTTTGAACTCTTTGTAAATAAAAATTGTCAACTTATGATTTTTACGCGCTATTCAGAGACAGAGATATTAAATCACTTAATTTTAAAAAAATATTTTTTTTTTTTTAATTAATATTTTACTTCCAAAGAGAGTTTACATATACATAGTAAATTTACCTAAACCTTTCTCGGGTCCGCTAACGACCCAAGCTGACGAACTACACATAAGACCAGGCATCAAAAATGCAATAGGTTTTTGCACTTTCGAATCGCTGGAATTAACTCGTCCTATTAGCCGATGTAATTCCAAAATATAACCATCAGATGTGATTACTTCGTGCAGCTGACCATTATAGTTATATTTGTTCACTAATTCCAGCTATAATAAAATGATAACTTCCTAATTGACATCGTAAGAAATTGTTAAAAATTGGATAAAAAACTATATTATGTAACGATCAAATCTATAATTAATGGATTGTAAAAACTGGATAAAAAACTGTAGTCATCAAATCTATAATTAATATTAAACTTAATTATCTAATATATAAGACGTTTTATATTAATGAGATAAACTAATAAAATTTAATACAAATTTAGAAGAAGATATATCTGCCAATATAAATATAAAAAAGAAGAGAAAAAAATCAAATCTGTTCAGTATACATTATTTTATCACTAAAAAATTTAAATTTTTACAAATAATTATAGAAATTTTTCGTTATTTTTTACAAGAACCAATATAAATTAATTAAATAAATTTTAATTTTAAATTTTATTAGAACATTGATTAGAACAGCTCAAATTTTAGGTAAAAAAAAACGATAAAATTTACGAAATTTTTATGCTTTAACCAATGTTTCTCGAAATTGACATCATACATTTTTGATGATGAAACATATAAATCATTTTTGATGATGAAAATATAAATCATTTAAGAAATCGTTTCAAACGATGAAAATTATATATATTTTTGTACAATTTACACACACATACACATTTTTTTTCTTTCTTTCAAATTTATTTTTGACGCACAAAATTGAAAGATGTAATACTTACAGTGCTCAGCTTCGCGTCTGGGTGTACGGCTTGCGGCTCTACAAATTTCTTGATTGCCGATATTTGGTGATCTATCAATGAGATATCCGGTTGATCAAACACTAGATTTGGCATTGTCCTAACGGACGTCAAAATTGAGAAGAGAAAGATTGGCAGTAGCATCGTTGTCGTTCGATGAGATTACTGTTGCATGGATTGTTGGACATGAAATAAAATTGTGTAATTTTCTTGAATGCGCAGCGTGTATATATGTATATGTATATATATATATATATATGTATATAAATATGTATATACTTTGATACACAATTGATTCCCTGACTCGAAGATCCTCGGGCGCTATCTCCGCATTTGAATCTGCGGCTGGAATGGAAGCGCCGTTTCGGTTGAAAGATTTCTCCTCGTTCCGATTCTCCGACGGGTTGCCCAATGTACAAAATGAATGACTCAAAAAATAACAATTAAGAACGCGAAATAATAATTATCACTCGTTTCTCCGGAGATTTTGATACGACTCTCGTAATCCTGTACGCAATCTGGCGCGGGCGCTCGGCTCGCGCCTCCTTAGAATTTCGGGGGCGAATGGACACGCGTTGAGACGACAACGTCATAGCATACATATGATATGGAGCTATTAAATATATCATCAATTTGTTTACAGTTTTATATCACCTTATCGAATGCTTTATCGAATGTTTATCTGTCATAATTTCTGATAATGATTTGATAATGAAATGTGATTGATAGTGAAATGTGATTGACATGTTGTAACCTTAAGATTGAAACGAGATTCGAAAGAGATTTATGGATCTTATCGCAAGGCGCAGGTATAAATCGATTGTTCGTCTCTACTCGATCGTTCGACTGTAAAAGTACTTTGATTTGGGAATGCTGGTATCAGATCTGATATATCTAACAAATTATTCGGTATATTTAACAAGGTATCTATTAGTAATGCATTTGTGGATGCTAAGAACGGAAAAAGGAAGATTGGTAAGAACATAGCTGTTCTTTGATGTTGTCGTTGCAGATAGATGAGATCCGAACAAATCATCGAAAGATTTTCTCAAATTGTACGGCATGCATATATATATATATATATATATATATATATATATATATATATGTGCATGCCGTACAATTTGATTTATATATATATATATATATCAATGCCGTACAATTTGATTTATATATATATATCAAAATGTCTACCGTTTCTGCTTTTATCTTTTAATCTTATTGAATGCCATCTGCTAATTTGTTATAACTTTTGTTTCAATAATTCAAAATTAAGCGCATTTATAAACGATATGTATCGTGAAAAAGATTCTTTGATCTTATCGTCATTCATGGGGATTGGTTTACGTCACGAATTATAAATAATTCTCTATAAAAATATTTCCGATCGATTTAAAAATTTGTAAAAAAATAATTAAATTTCAAAGCTTTGGATGTGTAATATATAAAACAATGCATTTTTTAATGTTTCAGTTATTAATATTTGTATAGTTAAATATTTCATATGATTGAATGTAAACACTTGAAGAATTATATATCAAAGGTCACGGATAAGCAACACTAATGTACTGTGTTAAAGCTATGTGTTGGTAAAAAAAGATAATGAGCGTTTTAATCGCGTGAAAGGCATATTTATTGCACCTGAATAAATATGCCGAACATATGTTGCGAATATATTTTGTATCAATTTGAATTTTTTTCATGTATGCAGTTCTTCTGCAATCTATTCGTAATTTATTAATAAAATTGTAACACTTCGGTTGCCATCCCTCGAGCAAAAATATTTGGCCGGCATTTTTCCCTAGATCGCTCATAACGTATTTACGGAAGTTAATATATTTAATTTAGTTAATGTAGTTAATTTATTATTTAATGTTACAATGATATATATCTCACAAATAATCTGAACAAAAGTATAACATGATAACACCTAAATAAACATTAAATAAATGCGCTGTAAATGATAAGAGACTGCACGAGAGCAAATACAAGTGAAATCGTGACGCCATCAATATAATTGAAAAATAAAAACAAGTTCACGTGACGACAGTTGTCAAAAGATTAAGATATTTCAATATTAATTCCAATATTATCGTAGTTTCCACGCACAATATAGTTTCATGCATTTATTTTGGATTTCTAAAGAAATATGATTAATTTAATATAGAAATTAAATTTTTTATATGCCAAAATAATTATATATATTTATATTTGAGTATACATGAAATTTTTTCCTCGTATTATGAATTATTATAAATATAAATATAATTTTTTATAGATTTTCATGTCTTCTTATATCTAAGCTTCGAAATGTAAAGAAAAAAAGAAACAGTAGAAAGAGCTATGAAAAATATAAGCTATTTTTTCTTGGAAGAGTTTTATATTTATAAATGTTTAATTAAATAAGCTTTTTATTCGTGCACACCTGATTTTTGTAGAGAGAGATTATATAATTTGTGAGAGAGAGCATTAATTTTAAATGCATATTGAAAAACTTGGAAATAATTTTATCTCGACGAATATAATTTAATGCACGATTTTTTTAATGACACACACACACGTATAAATAAGTATACAAGTTTCGAATTAAAATTTAAATAATATGTTTAAAGATATAATGTGAATCCTCGCATTATAATAGATCGAATTATCATTATGCATTCATTATGAAGAATATGATTTTATTCGTCAATTTTTTCTGCTTCTAGATAAACAATTCGAAATCCCAAAAAGGAAATCAATAATTTTAGTGCAATTTGTATAAGGAATTTTTCCAAAATTTGTCACGAAATATCAATAATTATTTAATCATTTAGTATTGTTCACTAAATCCAAAATTAAAATGATCGGCGCCATAAAATTGCGTAACATTTTCTTTAATAATGTCAATGTTTCTGACTTTTATCTTTAATTATGTGATTTATATTTTATTATCTATTATCAGATAAAAGAGCATACGGCAGTGATATTTCTTAATCTTTTTAAGCCTATATTAAATAAACGTGATTTTTCGCGTTACACATGATAACATCACACATAATGGCAATTTTAATATTCAAAATACTTTCTACGATACTTCGTTTAAATCAAAAGGCATTAATGATTGTTATCATAATTTGTAAATAGATGACCAGGAAAAAATTCCATATATAATTATAGACAAATATGTATAATTACATGTATATATAAATACTCTCTGTCCGTTTACATAGGATAATAAAAATAATAAAAAATAATAAAATAAAAAAAATATTTGTGCATTGTTTTTTTTTAAAAAGTAAAGTTTACAATTAAGTTATACAATATTCTATACAGAATTATATGTATTTAACTACGACTATATGTGAATAATTTTTTCTCGAGTGTGGTTGTGCAATTTAATTGCAAACTTAATGATTAATCATAAAACAGATACATGATAGTTACGTGAATTAAGTACTGTGTTCGAATTGATACAAGTGATATTGCTACATAATTCTTGCAATTTCGTAAATCTGTGCATAATATATTTCATACATAAAAAAGCTTAAAGTATTTTATAATAAAAGAAATATTTAACAATGCATATGTACATACATGAGAAATCTGAAATTATATATATCAATAATATAATCTAACATATTATTTCTTGTACGACAATTAATTATTTTATTTCGCGCGATCGGTTTTTATTATTTATACAGTATCTTCTAGATTTTTTTGTACCCTTTGCCACTTTGCCACCATAGTTGACATTTCCTTATGCTTTTTGCTGATACTAAGTCTCGCCTGAAATCATATAAAACATTCAATTTTTGAATTAATTTATGTGTATATGTGTATGCGTGTGTCAAGTGTGACAAGAACATCGTGCAATATATAACTAAAAACCTTTTTCTTTTTCCGTTCTTTCATAATTGTATCATTCGATACGGTTTCCGATTCCGTTTCCGGTTTCATTTCCTCTATCGGGGCGGGTGCTTGTTCCGTTACACTAACAACAGGATCCTGTTGTTGCACTGTTCGTTCTGTTTCCGTTTTCTCGATGCGCGCAATATCATTATAAAAGGAATCAAGAGCGGATCCCAGAGATTCCTTCGAAGCCTTAACCGGCGGTTTGGCGATGATTTTATTATTTGTATAAATCGGCGTGTATCCCACCATAAATTGAATTGCATTCTGCCCACCGTGCTTGTTCGCAACAGCGATTGTCTGTTAAGTATAAATATATAATTTATATTCCAATTTTTATAAAATGCATACTAAAAATTTCTAAAATATACTAATTTTAGAGAAATTAATTCTTTATATTTATGATACATTAGTGTAAAACAAGTGCTATCACATTTCTTAATATTTCAATATCTTCTATATATTTCAATTAATATCGTTTTAATGAAGTATTATGTATCATGTAAATATATGTAGCACTAATTTATTAATATGGAATTTATTGGTACAGTAGAAGTACTTACATTATGCAAATGTTGATGAAAGGCTGGATAATGAACAAAAGGCTCTTGAAGCAGGCCCGCCTGATGATGACTTAGAATAGGTATTGTTGGATCTCCAATCGAAGGAGCATAAATCGCATTACTTTGCTGCGATGCTGCGTTATATATTATACCTTTCAAGGTAGCCGCCTCATAGGACGTTTCCGGCAGATCCACACCCGGTGGTAAAGGTTCCATATTCGCATGATTCGAAGATATCGTGGTTTGAGGTGACATAGCTGCTTGTGGATGCGTGTAAGACAAGGATTCTAACGCAGGATTTACTATTTGCGCCGTATCTAGAGTTGTTATATTGTCTATAAAAAATACGAATTTTTTAATTATATTCTATTAATATCTGCAACAATTATGATTATAACTATTATCTTTATAATATTATAGAAATATATTATGCAATTATACTATGTAAAACTTTATAACTTTCTATTATTACAATAATTATTTAATTAATTATAAATTAATAAATTTATAATATCAATTACCTCTCCCCAAACGTTTTCTCTTTGCGTCCAAGGATTTATCATCAGGCTTCTCTTTTTTCCTTTTGTCTTTCTTTAAATCTTCTGCAAATATTCTCGGTGGCGGTGGTGGACTCGGATTAGATATTTGTGGTGGAGGTGGTGCTTCCAAATCCGTGGGACGTCTCTCCGATATATTCTCGTCTTCCGTCTTATTATCGTCCATCTCTTCAGCTTGCTTCTCCTTCGTCCTTTTCGTTCCAGGTGATTCTAATGTAAAAACAATGAAAAATGAAATATATTCTAGATATATTAATTTGTTTTAGAATTTAATTTATAATTTTTCTATTGACGATATATCGTAATGTCTTTGTATGGAGCTATACCCGCGATTGTTAACTCTTCCGATTCTGGTGGCGGAGTTGTGCATAATTCCATCTCCTCAGTGCCACCGGCAATACCAGTATCAGGGTAAGTCCACTGTGATGTTCCAGTGGATGTATTGTGGTAGTAATATCTCTTGTGCGATCTGAAAAATCCCCCGGCCAAAAGGGAGAAACATATGAAACAATATTATTGACATTTATACCATGTTTTCAGTTGTAATTTTCTATGTTATATTTAATGCACGATTAAATAATGTTTCCATGGCGAAACATTCGGTCGCGTCCGTCACCAGTTTCTTAAACGAAAGCAAAAATTAATAAAACATAATCTAGTTCACTCCTACCTGCGATGTTGTGTCTCGTTTTTATTCGACGAAGGCCTTTTGTTACAGGGAAGATGGGAGATGTAATTATGTAATTATCAGAATGTACTCTCTCTTGTGGGAAATATTAATGCGAGATTACAGCAAAGTGAAGGGAAAGAAAGGTATTTGTGACTGAAGTGCAGGAAAAATAATGATGAAAATATTAAATTCCAATATAATATCTGGTTTATTTGTGATTAGTATATCTCAAGGACCAGATATTCATCATAAAATATAATAGATAGGATAATACTTACATTTTGTTAATCATCGTTCATGTTTCTATCAAAATAGATAAACGAACGAAATTATAATGCCAGATAAAATATTTCTCCCGTACACTTTGAAACGTATATGTATAAAGAATAAAATATTTTTCTTTTATATTTTTCACATTTTATTAAAAAATGAAATATGTATCCAGCAGATAAATGTATATACCTAATAAAACTATAATATTTTTTCATTTAATAAATAGCACAAAATTAATCTATATAGATAAATATAAAACTGTTTAAAAAAATAACTTGTTTGATATTTTTTTGATAAATTGTAATTAAATTTTCTTGCTTTAAATAATAATATTAGAAAATGTAGAAAATGAAATTTTAGAAAATGATAATAAAATAGCTGTTAGTACTTTTATAATTATTCTTCAAAAATAATCCATCAAAGCTTTCTCTTTTTCTTTCTTTTGCTTTCATTATATTACGTTATTATGTAAATTATGTATCAATAATTAATTAAAATCTGATTTAATAAAAAAATTATTTCACTTTTCTCGTGGCATCTTCTTGTCTCTTCATTTCAATAAAATTTACCTCAACTTCGCACTTATCTCATAATTATTCATGGCACAAATGTGTTTTTAATCCAAGTAACGGGCTTGTTACTGGATTATCGCTTGCAGCAAAGTACATTAAATAGATTGCAATATATCACTCAGCACATATTAATTATCACATTGACAATATCACAAGACTTCTTAAGACTATATAAGAGATGATCACTCAATTTAGCACTAGAAATATATTACACTTTAAGAGAGACCATAACTCTTACTGGACTCTGCACCTTCATTCAAGTTAAGCTTTATGTATGAAATGATAAAAGTGTCAATCAACTGCATTATATAATGTTCTAAAATTTAAAAATATATCTGTATACATTAAAAACACTATATATAACTATTCTATACAATCGCGAAAACTAATTATTTATCACAATTATCAAATTAGTAATTTGATAAATTTTAGTTTAATTTGATTTGAAGAAAGTATATGAATCGTATTAAAAAAAAAGTTTGAAAATATCACATAATCAAGTGTACATTAAGTTTTGAAATATTAGGAACTTATTTAGTGTGTTCTATAAATTTTCGTAAATATTGAATTACTGAATTCTTATTTAGTGTACCTATTCCTAAATCTGTTAATTAACTAATTTGCATTTAGAAATTTCATATAAATGAATATTTTTTATGATGATGAATGAAATAATGTAATATTACATAGCAATATTGCATGTATGAATAAATAAATAAATGTTTGTGTGTATATCTTCATTGTATAGATTAATGATACACATATAAAGCCATCGAACATAAATGTTGTGTATGAAATACTTATATTTACATAAAAAATTAGTGCAAATTATGTATGGAATACCGTACCTATCCCACTGACATAGCCAACCAGCTGGTGCTGCATCTTGCTCTAATCTTTCCAATTCATGATTTGTATTAGTCAGCCACTTTTGAAAGTAACTTTCCTCTAAGCTATTTGCTGCCCATGCAGTAGATAATGTCTGTAATAGAATAATCTGTATTAATAAATTTATTGATAATTATGATAAACTTATTTAAATAATGATAGATTATATGATTAATTTCAGTGTATTTAAACATATTTATAATAATTCTTCTCTAAAAACAGCTATTTAATAGCTATTTAAATTTTAGCTATGTAATATGATAATAAATGATGTAATAGTATTTATATAATGACAAAATCTCACTTGTAATTGAATTTGCATTGTTTGGACAGCAGAGACGCTTTCTCTTCCTTCGGAAAGAAATTTTAATTTTTCTGTTATAATCTGAGATAAGTCGTTCATCTCCCTTTTATCATTATCTTTCTCTTCAATTGTATTGGTTATACTTGTTTTGTCTTCTGCAAGTACTTCCGAATCGCAGGATTCGTCCTTTGAATCGAGTTTTTCATCAGTTTTTATACTAGAACACTGTTCTGTTTCTTTATGCATTTCATTGGATTCTTCTTGGTTTTCTGTGCATGATTGATTATGAATTTTTGCATCGTCGTCCTCAGTATTACACGAAATAGTTTCACTGCTTGCAAGATCGCTGTTATTATCATTTTGAACCACAACGTCATGATAAATGTTATTTTGTTTAACTTTTGTTGATGGAACTAAAATTATAAAATTATTTAATTAAATATAAAGATTTTATATTGTAAAAATTTGCCATATAGTTTAAACTAATGATGCATAGCATTTTATCATATATAATTATTGTGATGTAATAAACAAATCAAAATAATTGATACCATCAAATGCTATTCGTTTCTTCCTTTGAAAAGCCTTGCCACACATCTGCATGTCCTCAAGAAATATATTTGTCTTCGATTTATCTTCATCTATCTTTGAGTCTTTTTCCTGCGTTTTTTCATCATTCTTTGTTTCTTGACTGTCTCCATTGTCATTACACTGATCACAAGTTTGTATATTACTAGAATTTTTTGTAGAAACATGAGACATTTTTGATGAATTTATCACATCTATGTATTCATCATCTTGCGCAATTGGGAATAAAGGTTTTATCTCTTGCTTGGGCTTAACTTCCTCTTCTCCATCTGAATCATCTCCATAACCAGGTACTAAGGACACTTTAAAATCCAATTTTGGAACTGCATTTTGTGTATTAATATCTTTTCTATTCTTGTTTCCTATGGAAATCTTTTCTCCTTGAGCTATACTATTTTTATTACTAGATTCAGTTATTTTACATTTGTCAGATTGTTCGGATTGATTCGTACAATTTGATATGTTAGTCGAGTCAAATTTATATGAATGAGACAAATTTTTGGTAGGTGACTGCGTTCCCGTTGGATGGAAAGCAGGTCCAATTTCACCAGCTTTTAGATACGGTACAGAATTAGAATTTCCCAATTCTAAAGCTGTCGATATCTTTTTCTCGTCTGAGGAATTATTTTCATCCTCTGAATCGCTTCCATCACTACCAAAAGATGTTATCATTTCTATCCGTCTAAATAGAAAGAGAAATAATTTTTTCTCAAGAAAATATAATTTTAGTTTAAATATTAACAGTTTTATTCATTTGTCATTACCCATCATCTGAGTCATCATCCTTCACAGGAGATTCGTTCTTAATTTCTGGCTTGCTTTCCGAGTTACACTTCTTAAGAGTTTCATTGTGCATGAATCTGTTACGATTTCTTGCTACAACCTCTTGTGGTATCATACCCTCTGGTATATTTGCTTGTGACTGTCGATCTGCAACAATCATTCATCTCAATAGTACTTTCCATTATTAAATACTAAAAGTAAAATCCAAAGTTTAAAGAATGACAATTACATGCGATGGATGAAAAATCTACCCAATGAGTTCCCTGGATTGAATGTTTCACTCCAGATCCCATCTCAGATTGTTTTTTTATTAAACGTAATTCATCTGGCATGTCCCATGTTACCTCATTAGTCTCAATGTGCCAATAATAAGGATAACCAGTAGAATCATCATAACATTCTTGCCATACTAAAGTATACATAGTTTTAAGTATTTTAAATATTTTTAATTTTTCTCTATTATTCCTATTAAATTCTTACATGTTTGCTGACTTGTATGATGCACAGACTGTGGAGTTGGTTTAGTTGTTAAGCTTGAATCATTAGCAGTGTTTGGAACAGGTTGTTCCGGGGCAATAAGTTGAATTTCCTTCAAATATAAAATAAAATTTCTACATACAGATCATGTATTATATTTGCTTCATATACCATCCATTAATTACCTTAAAGAAGTCATTGACTTGATCATCTAATTTTTGTGTATCTTTCTTGGGATCCTCTGTATCACTATCAGAATTGTATTGGCACAAATTGGCCAATGGATTATTGGCTTCATTTTGTATAGATTGTATATTATTCACTGATTTGCATCTATCTATATACAATTATAGTAAGAATAACATAAATACCATATATAAGATATATATCTATTACAAGTCTCTTTTTTGTGTATATATATATATATATGTATACACAAAAAAGAGACGTTTGTATATATATATATATATATATATATATATATATGTCAAATTTTTATAAAATAATAGAAATAGAGGAATAAATAACATTGATCAGAGCATATCTCTAATAATTTAAAATTATTAATTTAAAACACATAGATTGATATATTTACTCTGAGTGTGTTCGACATGATAATTGCCTTGAGATCTATTGAGTGTCAAGACCGGCCTCCTCTGACGTCTCTTCATAATAAAAGAATAGCAAAGCTATTCGCTAGATTCAGAAAATCTTAAAAACAATTCGCAGTGCAGAACGTGCTCTTCGTCAACTTTGACCCTTGCTCGCATACGTTTCTACGTAAAAGAATATATACGTGCGCATGTCATTTACGTGAACTAATTAAACAATTATGCATTTTAGTATCGTGACGAAATAATTATCATACGAGACTTTAAAGTTTGTTGAATCGCAATCTAACCAAAAATATCCCATCCATTTGTTTAACCCCGATCGCACATCTTGACTGTGGGCCTGTTCTTTTCACCTGTTACTGCTGCACTAGTGCAATTAGTTAGAGTGAAAGGAAGCATGTTTGTCTCTTTCTAACTTATTGCACTAGTGCAGCAGTGCAGCTGAAAAGAACAGACCCTGTGTGAAATGGCATTCTTCAAAACTTACCTTAATGACGCAGTGCTGCCAACTTTACTTTTATAAAAACTACCCTAAGATTTTGTCCTTGTCAAATCTGCTAAAAAAAGCAAATTTAAATGTTAAAAAAATCATTCTAACGCTAAACATAATTAAGTATCTGATAAAGATATTTAGATTATAGAAAGTTATATGTAATTGAAGTTTTGATCAATACATTTTTTAAAGATATTTTATTTATTAACAGCGATACGCCCTCTGTAAACATAAAAATGTGGATATGAACTACGAAGTCAATATTCGTGAATGTTTTGACAAATGTCAAAAAGGATGTCAGTAACAAGAATATTTTGTAAAGCGTTTATTTTCTGCTTCTATTGACGAATTTTCCGCATTTTTTTGGTGAATAATTTTTATTCCCTGTTCCCATTGCCCGACATTGTGCAAGAACAGATTATTCTCGCGAATGACAAGCTAGTGAACGCATTTACCGTGATCTGGAACTACAACAAAACTGACCCCAAATATTATTTTGACACGAGTTCAGGAAAGAGCAAGCAGAATCTGAGAATTGTGTTATACTAATTAGAATTGTATTATACTAATCACAATATTAATATTACAATCGTCGAATGTGCATATTAAGTTATTGTGATAATAGTGTGCGATATTTGTTATTAACATGCAAAATCAAACCCAGGAAACCGTGACGTTGCTCCTCGAAAACAAGCGATTTAAAATTGACAAGAAAAAACTGATCAAGGAGAGTCGATATTTTGCTACGCTTCTCTCTAAATCTTATGCAGATCATCGTTTATCAGAACATTTTATCAACTATGAAATTCCATTGATTTCCTTCCAGGTTAATTAATTATGATTTTTATCTTCATTTAAAAACAAAATTTTTTCGTAATGTTTAACCCGTTTTTCCTTAGAATGATATTGTAACGTTCAAATTTTCATGTTTTTTCAAGTATTCAAAGTATATTTTTTTTTAATAGATAAAAATCGAAGCTGTATATTGGTGTGATTATAATGTTATGCACTTATATTGGTAAAATTAGCTACTTTATTATATAATTGAAACAAAAGACAATGACTTTGATTTTACAGGATTTTATCAAATGGATTAACAGTGATAAACATAATACTATCAAACTGAACTTTGAGAGAAATGATCTTGGACGTCTTTTGACATTATTGGAATTAAGCGTTTTGTTCGCAGTAGATAATTTAATAGAAAGTATAACAGAAATTCTCGAGAAATACCATTTATTACCACAAGATGTACTTAATATTTGGTTGTTGGCACAAGAATTAGGCGTTAAAACATTACAAGATCTTTGTTTGGCTGTTTGTTTAGATCGTTTCACTGAACTGCCAAGAAATTTGATTTTTAAGCTATCAAGGCAAAATTTTTTAAGATTAGTTGGAAACAGTAATCTAAGAGTTCCGGATGAATCAGAATTGTATTTGAATCCTGTTGTGACAGAATGGATGCAAATTAATCGGGTAAGTATTGTCTCTGTATGTGACAATCTTAAAGTTAAAACAGTATAACATTTTGAAGAAATAGATGGAAAAGTTCTATAAATTTTATTTCTTTTTCAAATGTATAAAATAAGATTAATTCCAAATTTTAAAATATTCTTAAATACCTGTTTTTTTCCTGACCTGATTATATACATATGGCATTCTATCTTAAATATGTATTAACATATTGTAATTTAATATATAATAGATTTAAAATCTTAATTTTTTGAAAAGGATACAATTCCATTGGATATTTTAAAGAAGACTGGACCAAAAGTATATTCAAGTATTATCTGCTATGGTTCTAATTCTTCTGTTAATAATGAATGTTACATTCATTGTTGGGATGGTGATAAACTCTTTGAACTTACTACATTTAAATATCCTGAAGCTATTATCAATAATAATACAATAACAGGAATGCAGATTACTCCCAGAGGTATGCAATTTTTGTAGTTTTTTTTTTAATTTACTTACTATTTTATACATGATCTCTTAGGACATCATTTATATCTTAGCGGCGGAGAATTTGGCATTGGCACAGGGAGATTTAACACACATGTGTGGCGTTATTCTCTGATAACTAAGAGATGGTTTTTAGAGACAATGTAAGTATTTTAATAAATAGATAACAAGATGAGAGATATAAATAATTATATAAAATGACATGCTCTGCAAATCTAAATACTGTTAATATTTTAGTATGCCATGTGCAAGAAGACATATGATCGCCGCATTTCTGCAGAATAAATTATTACTCGCAGGTGGAGTAGGACATTTTCGCTGTAAATTACGATCTCTGGATATCTACAATGTCCATAAAGGTGATCTTAATTAGGCAACATAAAAAATCAATATGATGTGAATACTTCCTTTAATGTAATATATATAATGCTCATATGAGTCCCCAAAATGTTCCTAAATTATATATATCTTAACCAACTTTCAGAGATACAAACTATATCTTTGAAAGTTTTCATGAAAATATGTACAATTTAGGAACATTGTGAGGATATTAACACATAAGCATTATATATCATGGAATATCCTTGTCGTTGTTTTATTCTACAATTTATTCCCGCTTAAAGTTGCTTTTTTTCATTAATGTCGAAAACACTATTTGTTTTATTATTAATATATCGTTTTTTATACTCTTCCATTTCAACAATTCACAGGTACATGGGTTAAAGGTGCGGTTTTACCCATGGAATTCGTCAGTATCCCTGCTTATTATGCTTTTGATAAAAAACTAATTATATATATTCATAATATTAAGGCAGGAGTATTACCTTTTGTACATATATATTTTTGTGACTCTGATGAATGGTATACAATGCCATTAATAATAGATTATGATCTACGATTAGACATGTGTGAACTCTTCGAGACTATGCCAATAAAGTTTAAGACTGCTTTGTGTTACATCGGTAAATATTAATTTATGCACAATATATAGATATGTAATAATGAATTTAAAATTCACACATTGTTATTCTTTACAGATAATAATAAGCCAAACAGAATCAATTTAAGAAGTATTATAATAACATGCGACAATTTAGAATATCGTCAGGAAATATGTAAGAAAATTAACATTTCTAGTGACCAAGATGTTAGTCGAGTATATTTTTACCTTATATTATCACACACTGATTTATACGAGAACAATGTGTTAATATGTTTGAAAAACAATAAGTGTATATTATTATGTTTGGGCGCAAAAAAGGAAAGGTTACCATGGCATAGTATTCCTATACAGAATCGAGATAAGTTTTATTCCCTTTTGCACTCAGATACAATCTTTTTTAATTTGATGGATCCAGCTAATTTGCACGTTATGTCGGTGACAAACTTAGAGTGTACAACTTGACACATATAAATCTTCGTGAATTAAATGTTTAATGATTAAACACAGAAGCATATGAGTAGGAGTAAAGATCTAAGAAAATCCAAGAAAAATGCAGCAAAAACATTGCAGAAATATTGCATTGAAAAAATCATGATCTGTGTATTTTTCGAAAAAATTAATTTGGCTTAATTTTTATCCATAACATTTTCTCTTTTCACGAATTATCATATTCAAAAATCTTCATAAATAAATCGTGTAACACATTGATCCCATCAGAAATGTTTTTTGTATATAAATTTTGTATAAAGTATGAATGAACACATTTTTTATTATTGACTTTTATACGAATTTTTATATTAAAATTTTTATCAACATTAATTGTTTTATCTATTACTAAATGATATATCGAAAAAATACATCATTTTTTTTCATTGACACAGATGTAATTATTAACTCGAGGATGAAATTAATAGAAATTACCCTTTTTTTGTAACATGGTACAACGATATATAATAATGATGTTTGATGACGAATATGACGAGTTAAATCATATGTTTTATTTTATCGTAAATTTTTTTTGAAACGAAAAGCAATCTTCAAATATAACACGGCCATCGAATAGGAAAGCACATTGCGATAGTACATCACTAAAAATAAATATTTATTCTCACAGTAGCAATTAATAAAAAAAAAACAATCACATTAGCTATAATGATATAAGATTTAATGATATCAAATATTTAATAACTATGATCGCGCTTTCATTTCTTTTATTTAATAGGAATCCACTGCAATCCAATGATTAATTACTTAGTTCAGTGGAATGATCACAAGTCCAGCACTCGGTCTTAAAAATATATTAAAAAATATAATTAGTTTTTAAGTTAATTATAATTCTCGAAAAGAATTATTTACTGAAAAATATTAAATATTGTTTGTTGTCTTTTTAAAAGATTATGAAAAAAGATTCATTTATTGAACGGATCTTTAAGTTAAAATAGAGCTGAAGATCTCTAGTAATTTGGTTTCTTATTTTTCTTTAATTATCTTGATTTAGAATTTGTATTTTGGGAATAAGTCCCTCCTTTTATCTCGGGTTTGGTAGTTTTCCCATATCTAGATAGCCAGATTCCGATCTCTGAATCAAACTTCTCCACAAGGTTACCTTCGATTGGTTCTCCACCATCATCCTCGGATTTCTTTCCTTTAAGCATGCACCCTTCCAATGTATCGAATATTTCTAGTATTTTAATAAGTATTTTAAAAGTAGATAAGATAGATAGAGTAAAAATCTAAGTAAAATAAAAAAAATGTAGCAAAAACATTACAAAAGTATTGCATGGAAAAAAATCATCATAAATTGTGTATTTTTTGAAAAAATTAATTTGGCTTTATTTTTATCCATAACGTCCTCTGCTTTCACGTGCTTTATCATATTGTTTAAAAGTCATTGTAATATATCGTGAAACATTAATTGCATCAGCAATGCTTTAGTATAAATTTGATATAAAGTATGAATGAACCTATTTTTATTATTGACTTTTATATAAATTTTTTTAAATTTTACCAATGTAATTATTTTGTCTATTACCAAATTATATATAAAAAAAATACATCGTATCTTTTTTTTCGTTGACACGCAACAATTATACACAGTAATTACTAACTCGAGGACGATTGTGAAATTAATAGGAATTATACTTATAATATATATTAGTATCATGATGAACAACAGTGTAATAACGAATATAACGAATGAAATCTCATTTTAAATCACATTTTTTATTTTATCGTAAATTTTTTCTGAGACGGAAAGCAGTCTTCAAACAAGTATAACACGACCATTAACATGGAATAGGAGGATACATCGCGATAGTATGTCACTAAATATAAATACTCATTTTCACGACGTCACCGAGGGATTCCCAATGAGATTTATAATGTTGATGGTACTTCGAGGATGCTGGCAGTCTCACCAGGAAAACCGCATTTGGGCGTGTCGAATATCTTATAAATTTCTGATTTTATTTCACTTTTTTTTCGATTGTGCCACCGCGACATATCCGTTAAATATCGAGCGTATACCAAGTCGTGCGATACAGCAAAGCCGAATATTTTAGCGTAATAAATTGTGCGTGCTATCCGTAATGCGAAGATGCGAAGACGCGGAAATTTATTCGGATCTTCGTCTCGTACAAGTAAGCCGCGTCCCGACGATCGAGCAATTCACACATGCGACATTTTGTGACAAAACACACAAGAAAAGAATACAGCGTTCCAAAATAATTTACATATAGAATATACGTGAGAGAAAAAAATATTGGTCTTCTTCCGGTTTTCCTTTTCTTCTTCTTGTACAGAGACGTCGTAGACTTAAAAATAGTCTTGGTGACGAGCCATTTCAGTTTTCTTCATTCATGTATTCTCTCGTTAAACTTCATGCGAAAGTTGAAAGGCCAATGAAAAGCCAGTAGAAAGGATCAACCGGAGATAGTTCGATGAATTGAATGCATACAAGAATGAAGATATATTCTTTTTGGAGAAAACATATTCGAATAATTTGAATGCTTCTCAAAAAAAAAAAAAAAAAAAAAAAAAAAAAAATACGTATGCTCTTGTATTGAATCGATCTCCAGTGTTTTCTCCATAAAGAATATACCAAGATATAAAGATAGATATTCTCCGATTCGCGGCTTGTGAAAGTCAATTCCGGTTCCTAAAATCGATTTCATAGCTCGCTGGGGCTGACGATGTTAAGAGCGAATGCCGAATTTGTTTCGCCTTTTTGTCCGATTACGCGTGCCGAATATTGACCGACGTCGCTAGCCGTGCAAGTCTTGAGGCCGAACTCGAAGGACGTGTTGCCATCCGAACTGAAGTGATATCTGCTGCTCGTTTCAGGGATAGCCTTCCCGTCCTTCAGCCAGGTTACTGAAAAATTCACATTTATTTAGTATTTAATTGATATCGATATGATATACTTACAGTCTATAAAACGAATGTATAAGTTATTAGAAGCAGTTTTACCTTTCAAAGGCGCAATATCAGTCTTGCACGTGAAAGTCACCGATTCGCCTTCGCTCACTGTTGCAGACTGCGGGAATGTCGCGAACGCTGGGCTCTTGGGTTCTTCATTTTGAGCTGAAAAAACGTATGCAAAACATATGTAAACAGAAAATCAAATTTCTATCTTTTTTTAGGAAACTGTTTGGATGATGAACTATTTTCTATCGAGCTTTTTTAAACTTTCTATAAAAGTTTCATCTTGAACAATTACTTAGTGTGTAGTCATAATTTCGAACTTAATTTCTCTTCGGGTGCAGTTTTTTTTAGAGTATAAAATTATTTTATCAATTAATAATTTTCAATAAATAAAAATGAGGCGAAAGTTTAAATAACCTATCCCTTATCTTCGCATAAATGATAACAGCCGATTAAATCCTTACCGAGTACATTTAACGTGCACGACGAGTAGCTCTCTCCTGCATCATTGAAAGCTTCGCACGTGTAAGTGCCGGAGTCCTCGGGGAATATTTCGGCGATAATTAGCTTATAGATATTAGCTTCATTAGTATATTGGAAATCTTTGCTAGGTTTGATCTCCTTATTGTTATGCAGCCACACCACGTCGAACTTTTTGGCACCGATTATTCGGCAACTGAGTGTCACTGCTTCACCATCCTTCACGTACATGCTTGTCAGATGGTCTACAATTTTCGGCGATTTATCGTCGCTTGCCTTTTTTCCAGCGGCGTTCTCCACAGCTACAAAAGAGCAAAGCAAAATATAATTTCATATTGTGTCTCTTTCGCTTGAATTTGAGGATGAAAGAATATTTGCTTTCACACTTGAATTAATATATTAAATAATTAATATAATAATTAATATATTATATTTATAAATTAAAATATTTGAATTAATATTAAAAATTAAAATATTTCGCATATTCTTACCTTTTATGGTCAATTTGCAGGATGTCGTATCGCTACCGATGCTGTTGGTCGCGAGGCACGTATACTCGCCTTCATCCTCGGGGAATACTTCGTTGATCGTAAGAACGGCTACTCCATTTTTATATTTGAGATCGATGATCTCTGACGAGCTCAGCAGCTACAAGAGAATATAAACGTAAGTAAATGTGATCGCTAATAAGAATTAATTTTTTCATCTGTGCGACTTTTTAAAATAATTACAATTATTTACACACACAATTAATTCGTATAATTTTAGTTCATAGATTTAATTTATAATTTACTAGCAGATAGTGCACGGTAAGATTTTATTTTAATTATCGCGAAAGTTAATTTTTATGTATCTACCTTGCCGTTTTTACTCCAAGTGATTTGTGGTTCCGGATCGCCGTCAACTTTGACTTTAAGTTCCAGCTGTTCGCCGTCGTTGACCGTAAGATCCTTAAGCTTCTGTGTAAACTGTGGCGATCTCATCGAATCGTCCGAGGGTTCTTTAACATATGACATTAAAATTAAGAATATGTTAAATATTCGTAAATTATTTATTAAAATTATGACATAAACTAATATGCTTACGTATGAGTTCTTTTGTCGAGCTCCTAGATCGAGATGGACTACCGGTGGTGTCGAGCTTCGAGCCATATTTCTTCACGCTTCGTTTGTCAGAAGATTCGTTAATTTTAACGCTGGAGCTATCCTACAATTATATATAAAGATGTATTGGTAACATTTTAAAAAAATATTCTTATCTCTTATATTATGTAAAATATTTTAAATATTACACACATATCAACTCTTTAAGTGCATTATATATTTTATAATAAATGTGTAACTTTCTAAGATTTTACATAATAGGATGATTTATATGATATGAAGCAAAGAATATATATAAAATATATGTGTCTCATATATATTTTATATGATTTATAAAAATTTATATATATATATATATATCTTTTTCTTACTGTACCTTATACGAAGAGGAAATCGTGGAATTGTATTTGCCGGAAGAAGTGGAGCTGCTATAATTGTGCGATGAACTTGATTGATGGGTGGTGGAACTATAGCCACTGTAACCACTAGACTTGTGAATCGTCACAATAGGCGGTGGTGCTGGTTTTAATGGTTGCTCAATAAATCTTCGATCTTAAAATAAAATCATTCATTATTAAACACAATATATTTGCATATAAATCTATAATAGCAAATATGATTCATGAGACGCGTTTTGCTGCAAATGAAAAAAAGCAGACTATATGAGTAAGAAATTAAACGGGGAAGTTAATTCAACATAAAGTATGTATATATAGATTAAGGGAAATAAACATACGTGATTACGCGACAATTTAGAAAATCATTGTTTTTTAAGTATACATATATAAATAAAATTTCAGTTGTTCGAATAAATCTGAATAACATAAAATAACAATAATTTATATGTAGAGCTAGTAACTAGTGATAGAATATATGTGTGCAATGTCTATGATTTCTAATGGAAAAAGCTTCACAATACATGTAGACACACAACATCTATTAACTAATAAAGCATTGCTTGTAATAAAAAGGTGGAAAAGGATTGCACACAAACGGGGTAAGCTCTGAAACAGCTCTACCTCCGGAATGTAGGAAATCGTGCGCTAATTTTACTTGCTCCTCCGTTTCTCCAGTGCCTACAACACAAATGCTCGATAAAGTATGCTTCGTCAGCAAAATCGGCAATAGATTATAGCGAGAATATTATCGCTCTCATTATTGAGATTGGAGAATTCAAAAAAGTGAATTCACAAATTATACAAAATCTATTTCAAATATAAAATTCTTTGCGCATAAAGTAAATTTTATAATACTAGCCCTCACTTTTAGAATTAATTATAGCAATGACGTGTTTCACTTTTGAGAAACTTATCTTATCGTGAAATAATTAAATTTAATTAATTTATGTATCTAGACTGAAATCAATCGAATTTCTTGCGGTTTTAAAATAATCTCCAGTTATTTATACAAAAAGTAAATAAGAACATTCGATCCTAAAATTATTTATAAAATAATCTTTAACTTTAATATTCTCTTCTTTTCAATATTTAATAATTTATTTATCAATATTTCAATATTTAATAATATAGTTAATAATTTATTTATCTAGTACCTTCTACGATGACCACGCAACTGGTCTCGTCCTTGCCGTGCTTGTTGGTAGCCACACAGCGATATTTGCCGCTGTCCTCCGGCTTGCAATCAATGATCTCCATCGTGACGACTCCGTCGGCGTTACTCATAGGATAGTTATGCTTGGACAATTCTTCTCTGTCCTTGTACCATTTTACGGTAGGCGGTGGATTACCGCTCAGACAACAAAGCAGTTTGCATGTCTGTCTGATCTGAATGACACGTGGCCGCAACAGGAAGGTGAAGCTTGGCGCCGACTCGATCATCTCCAACCACACATTGTAGCCGAGTGGTTCTCGTCTGCGAACCGGATGTAGCTCGGGTCTGTATTTTGGAATTTCTTTCGGTATTGCTGAAAGAACGAAGAAAAACAGAGGTTTAAATAAATTCCAAAAATTAATACGTAAATATATTAAACTTAAAAATATTTGATATCAAATACATCAAACGATATCGAATATTATAGAGTTGCGGATAATATATGTATAAAATTTTAATAAAGAGAACACTTACGTTGTACATTAAGGAAAACAACCTCCTCGCGATAGCCATAATGATTCTCAGCGCGTATGATATACTCTCCTCGATCTTCCAGCTTCACTCTGTTGATGATGAAGGTATAATCGTCGCCATGATACCGTTTCATGAATTTAACAGACTGTCGTAGTTCCTGATTGTTGTGCGACCAAGTCAGCGTCGGAGCTGCGATTGCGATCACGCGACAGGTGAATTTCACACTTTGTCCCTCGTATGCAAACGCACTTTGCGGCTTGATAACAAATCTGGGCGCCGCTTGTCGGCGATCTGTGAAAAAAAATATGAATTATTAATTCAAGAGAATTGAGATTTTGGTGAAATTTTTACTCATTTTATATTCATTGAATACTTGTGTTTGTCGTTACATATATTACGCTTATCCTATATTACGTTTTAATTATAATATAATTAATTATACTTACCGAAGCAAGAATCGTAGATTCTGTATTTCTCGATCAAAAGCTTCCTGAGCGACGAGTACTCGGCTAAGCGGCCGATGGGAAGGACGTACTTGTCCCAATTCTCATACTTGGCACGCAATCTATCCCTAATGCTGAGATAACGGCTGTTGGCGATCGGATTGGTCCACTTACTATGGTCACCGGTCAACCACGGATGAAGAAGACATTCGTGCGCCGTCATGCGTTTCCTGAAAGGCGAGAATATACAAGTAAAATAGAAAGATTCGACAAGTTTTTTGTATATGAAATATAGTAAGAAACCGTACTCTTTGTTTTTAATGAGTAGTCGTCTAATGAAATCTTTGCCCTCTTCGGAAACGTCACGGAACGCCTCTTCATCGAAGTCCCAGTCACATGCCTTCACGTTTTTCAGGGTCTCGATATCATTGTCACCCGCGAACGGCGAAAGGCCACTCAATCTATGCAAACGATGAATACTAGAACATCTCGGTACAATTTTTCTTTTTCTTTCAAGAAAATTCTTCTTCTCATAAATATAAGTGCATTTTTTCAGAATTTTTCAATAATTTTCCTTAAAATTGTGCGCAAAATAATTGACTAAAAATTAATTAGATACTACGATTAGAAATATGATTGGAAATCTAACAATAAATCATCTTCTTGTGTGGATTTCATTTCTGATATATTTCATGCTTTGAACATGTTGTATTAAAAATTAATTTCGGAGGGCATTATATTTTTAAAGCAATCTTCTATTATCCATCTACATAATACTAAATATTAATAATGTTATTTGTTACATATTAAAATGTAAGATATTGCGTGCTTTTCGAAACATTTCAATGCAATATTATTAGAAAATATTGAACATATTTCTTTGTATATTATGAAGATTATTGTAATTAGGAAAAATTTACTCACAGTACATAAGCCAGTACGCCGCAAGCCCACATATCAGTGTAAAAACCGACCGGCTCGCGTTCAACGATCTCGGGGGCAGCAAACTCGGCCGTACCTGTACTGATCTTTACTACTTCATTAGGATCGAGTTTAGTGGCCAGACCAAAATCGATTAGTTTTACGTTGGTGCTGTTGCGAGTTTGACACATGATGTTCTCGGGCTTGATATCTAAATACAATGACATATCTTTTCTATATCTTATATATTCAAAATTTTATATAAAACAATATAATTTTTAATATTTAAAATTATATATTTAATAAAATAGCTCTGTGTTTTCATAATAATCATGAATTATCTGCATCCAAAATTTAAAATATGCAAATTACAATTTAAAAATCGGAAGCAAAATTTTATATAAATTTTTATATAAATAAAAAAAAAATATATATATATATGTATATAAAATTAATAAATTTATTTAATATTTAAATTTATATATATATATATATATATATATATATAGTATATATACTTATTTATATATAATATTAATTTTTATAAACTTTTAAATATAATTATTATTTTTAAATATAAATTTGTTAAAATATTCCGATTAAAAATATTACAAAAATATTATGATATATCATATAAGTTAATTGTTTTATTTTATTAATTTAAATAGAAGAACTATAAATAACATTTAACAAGTTTCACGAGTGTTGTAAAAAAATGATCTTTATAAAATCAATATCTCACCCAGATGGATAATATTCTTTTCGTGCATATGCTTGACGCCCTCACAGATCTGTCTCATGTAATTTATGACCTCTGCTTCGGACATGGTGTAACCCTCGGCCGTGATCCTCTCGAATAACTCGCCGCCGGACAGGCTAACGAGACAAATGATCGAGATCAAGGATATAACGCAAACTCCTCACAACTCGTCGAAATTCCAATCGCGCGAATTCTTTCTAATTATTCCGATTCTTCTACCTTAAAGTGGATACTTACAATTCAAAGATCAGCACCATCTCGTCATCATCCTCGAAGGCATCGTGCAGATTGATCAGCTTAGGATGATGGAGCTGATTCATGATGTCGATCTCTTTCCTAATCAATTCCTTTTCCATCACGTGCGACACAGGGATGAATTTGGCGGCGAATATGTTGCCGGTGGTCCTCTCGCGGCAACGGTGCACCACGCCGAAGGCGCCGGTGCCAATCTCCTCGAGGATGTCATACTTGTCGTAGACCGACGTGTGCTTGATGTCGACCGGCTGTGGCACGTACTTGCTGTACACGTCGAACACAAACTGATCGTAGTCACGTGGCTTCTCGTCGTCACGTCCACGTATCTTTTTGCCGGTCGCGTCCACCTCGTACTCTTTCTTCTTGAACTCGCGCTTGATCACGCCCTTGGTGGTGATCAGCGGCGTCACTTCACTCGGATCGGATCGGCCGTAGACGTTCTCCGCGGACACCCGGAAGTCGTATTGGTGCCCAGGGCTCAGACCGGTCACCGCGAGCGTGCAGAACCGGGTGTTGCCAGCCCGGATCCAGCTGCTCATCGGATGCTCGCGTTTCTCCACCACGTAGTTGGTGATGTTGCTGCCGCCATCCCACAACGGTGGCTTCCAGCTGACCGCCAACGAGTCGTGGCCGACGTTATCTACTTGCGGGAACCTAGGCGGGTCCGGACGATCGCTGATCTGGATCTTGATGATGGCCGTGTCCTGGCCGAGGTCGTTCTCGGCGGTGATGCGATACGGGCCGGAGTCGATGCGGCTGCCGTCGCGGATCGTCAGAACAGCGTGACGTTCCTTCACCTCGACGGCGTAATGACCACCGGACTCGATCACCTCTCCTTCGCGCACCCATGTGATCTTCGGTTTCGGATAGCCAGTGAACGGTATCTTGATGACGACGTTCACGCCCTTGTCGAAGAAGGCGGTGTCGCGGAATCGCGGCGGCACGTTCAGTCTGGGTGGCGTCTTGATGAAGAGCTCGCCCTTGGTAGATTTCACGCCGCACTTATTAGCCGCGCGACAGAAATACTCGTCCGCGTCCTCGCCGAACACGTCATGGATGATGAGATTGTGGGTGTCGCCCTCGGAATAGATGTTGTAGCGGCTACCGCTCACGATCTCGCGGGCGCCTTTAAACCACGTGATGCTCGGTTTCGGCGTGCCGATGATCTTGCACTGGAAGTGAGCGTTGTGGTTCTGGACGCAGTTCACCTGGTGAAATAAATGGAGAAAGTTAATTACTTTGAATCAAAGAAATACGATCTGAATAATAAAGATTTTTGAATTATTATTTAAAGATTATTATTTATTTATTATTTAATTTTTTTTAAATTTATGAATTCTTGAAGTGTCTATTACAAAACCATTTCCATTAATCAAGAGATAGGGAAATTACGAACCCTACTGAGAGGTTGAATGATCTCCGGAGGCTTCGCCGCCTGTGGATCGACGATCTTCACGGAGGTTGAAGCCTTTGATTCGGGACTAAGTCCAGCCACGTTCTGAGCGAATACTCGGAATTCGTATTGCCTTCCTTCGATAAGATTACTGATGTTAATCTGGGTTGGCAGACAAATACTGACATTCACGCGCTGCCAGGCCTGACCGCCGACCTCTCTCTTATCGATCCAATAACCCTGAATTTTAGCACCGCCGTCCGTTTCCGGCTTCTCCCACGACAGATTGACAAAGTCACCGCCCACCTCGGTAACCTTAGGTGTACCAGGTGGTCCTGGCGGGTCAAACGGCGCCTTGGCTCTGATCGGATTTGCACCTTCCAGCGGTGGACCCATACCATTGTCGTTGGCCGCCATCACCCGAAACAGGTATTCCTGGCCCTCGGTGAGACCTTGCACGACGAAGGTAGTGTCCTTACAGAAAGACGACACAATGATCCAGTGCGTATGACTGACGTCACGACGCTCCACCACATAATGAGTGATTCGAAGACCTCCATCGTACTTGGGCGGGTGCCAGGATAGAGTGCATGTGTGCTTATCGATATCAGAGACATCAAGTGGTCCAGTCGGCGGTCCAGGTAATCCGGTGATGTATACGGTGAACGACGCGCTCACGCTGCCACTGTCATTGGAGATGGACAGATCGTAAGTGCCTCCATCGTCTTTCTGGATGTCCTTGATGAAGATGATGAGGTACTCGTCGAAGACGGTATACTTGATATGCGTGGTCTCTACGATCTTGTGACCGTCCTTCTTCAGCGTCACCTCCATCGGCTGATCACCGCTGTAGTAGATCTTGATCTTCGTGTTGTCACCTTCCGGTAGATAGAGATCACCCGGTATACGTTCGATGCGCGGCGGCGTGCCGATCTTTAGTCGACACGTGGTCGCTGCGACGCCGAGTGGGTTCGATATCTGACAGCTGTAATCTCCATCATCTGCATCCCACACCTCGGAAATCACGAGTCTATAAATACCATTTATCGACTCGGTACGGAAGCGACCGCCCAAAGTGATTTCGCGACCATTTTTCAACCACCTAAACAAATTAAAATTATAATTTTAATTATAATTTTAAGATTAAATGAAATCTAAAAATATTTATGTCATATAAATTTTATTTTTATTGATAACGAAGCATTAATTTATATAATATTAATTTATTAAGTAGTATTCATTTAAAACAGAAGCATTTATATAATAATTTTTGATAAATATGAGATAAATTTGAAAATATAAATTTTAATTTTTAAAAAATACTCAGTTTTAATATTAATTTAATCCAGGTAATAATTCTTATTCTATGACAAATAATACGATTGAAAAATGGATATTAAATAAATATTATTTCGACTAACCTGGCTGTCGGTAGTGGTTTACCCGTGGCTTCGCACTCGAGGACGAGGGTTTTGCCGAGAGGTATGATTTGACTGATGGGCAGATTCCTGATAAACTCCGGTTTCTCGCCGCCCTCGACCTCGCAGATCTTCACCGGGGTAGTACACGAGCTTGGCTCGGACCTGCCGGCAGCATTCACCGCGAAAATCCTGAACTCGTAATCGCCCCGTTCGATCAGGTGCATAACCGTATACTCGGTATCGACGACGTTGTACTCGTTGCACTTGGACCACATCGCGCTGCCCACCTCGCGTTTCTCGATGACATAGCCGGTGATTCTGCTGCCACCATCGGACACGGGCGGTTCCCATCGCAGATCGACGTAGTTTTTGCCGACCTTGGTAACTTGCGGCGTGCCAGGTGGCGATGGCACATTGAACTTGCTCTTAAGTCTGAACGGTGCGGATGGTGGACTCGGTTTACTGAAACCGGCCGCGTTCTTTGCGCGAATCCTGAATTCGTACTCGTGCCCGCTCAATAGACCATAGCACACGTATGTGGTGTCCTTGAAGAGATAATCGTTCGCTACACGCCATTGCACATCCTCAGCGGGATCGCGGAATTCGATCTTGTAGCCCTGTAATTAAAATTTTTTGTGGATTATTTTAAATCCAAAAAATATAAAATTTTTCAAGATTGTTGCGTCAAAAAGGTACATGTATCAATTTTAAGAATCTGAGAGAAATTTGTAAAATTAAATAAAGTAGATAGATGTATTTATAATATAATTCGCAAGAATTCGCAAGATTTCGAAAATATATCGACGATTTTTCCCTTGACATCGATAATATACACACTTGAATGCGAGATCCACCGTCGGACAGTGGTTTTGTCCAGACCACCGTCGCGTTCGACGTGTCCCAGTCGATGACACGCGGCTGTCCAGGTGGATCCGGCACCGTGAAGGGGAACTTGGCTGTTATCGGCTCGTCAGCCTGAAGCGGATCGGACACTCCGTACTGATTCTCCGCTCTTACGCGGAAGTTGTACGTGCGATTTGGCTCCAGGCCGATCACGTCATAATGCGTGCTCCTTGCGAAGCTGCTGAGCTTCACCCAGAACTAAAAGAGATTCGAAAGAGTATCTTAATATGTGTTTATTCGATAATATTGACACTTTATATCGGAAGAGAAAATTATTTCTTTGATGATGTTACTTATAGATCCTCTCTATTAAACTTACGCCAGCCGGATCCAATTTCTCGACGATGTAATTTGTGATTGGTGAACCACCATCGTCGAAGGGCGGTTTCCACGTTAGCGTGCAGGTTTCCGGAGTGATATCAGAAATATCCAAGGGCGCTAGAGGCGGCGACGGTTTGTCTAAAAAGAAAATAATTTCATAATATATCACATATGGCTTGTAGATTAAAATATGTTAAAAATATATAGATTATTAATAAACATAATTATTATAGATTTAAATAAATAGATATAATAATAAACAGATGGAGAAAATGAAGAAAAAATTTAAAATAAAGTTTAGAAAAAAAGAATTTTTTTCCATAAAACTTTTCAAAGAACTGCTCTTTTAAATATGCATATAATTTTCTGAAAATTAAATCTAAGTTTCGATTAAAAAAAAATAAGTCGAGAGTTAAAAATTGATGTAGATAGAAAGAAACCTACCGACAACGAGAACTTTGCATGAAGCAGAATCAGTGCCAACGGTATTCGTGAGATATATCGTGTACGTGCCAGTATCTGTTCTCTTCGCCTTCTTGTTGATGAATTGCGAAGCTACATCGGTCGTCTCAAACTTGATTCTTTCTCCGGTAAGGACTTCCTCACCATTGATGGACCAGTTCGGTTTTGGTCTAGGATTAGCTGTATACGGTACCGTAATGGTAAATGGTTCTCCTGCGATGACAGTCATGTCGCGAATGCTGAGATCACTCGTGATCTTTGGTGGGACTGTAATAAAACGATTAACATCTCGAATTATATCCAAATAATCTCTCGTGCAATGACTCATGATTAATGACGATAGGAAATTCAATTGCAAAAGAAATATATACTTCATTTAATTTTAAAAAGGCGGATACTTTAATAAATTTACTTTGATAAATATATAATGAATTAATTAAATAATCTTTAATTTATTAGAAATTAACAAAATTCTAGTCTTTCTATATATTTTCCATTAATAGCTTCAGATTTTGTATATTTCCAATTTTAATCATAAATTCTTTGTAAATTCTCTATTTAATAAATTTTGTGTAAATCTCTATTTACATAAATATGTATCTAAATTTTTGTATACTAAATAATATGTATATAATACATTTAGAACAAGATTTAAAAAAAAGATATATTTACATGGTGGTGCGCTGGCGCGAATGACATCGGAGTTGGAGCTCCATGGTCCACGACCGGCGGCATTTTCCGCAGCTACGCGGAACTCATAATCGTGATTCTCAATCAGTCCGGTGACTCTGCAAAATCGATGAGAATAATTAATAAAACATTCATTGAGATTTTTTCTTCTGAAAAAGTAGCATAAAAACACCTAGAGGAGGAAGGGGGAGTAGTGCAAATGCATTACTTACCTGTAAGTGGTATCGTGCACCAGAGCCGGCGTAGCTTTGACCCATTTGTCCTCACTCAGGAGACGCTTCTCGACGACGTAACCGAGGATCGGCGAACCACCGTCGTTACGCGGCTTGCTCCAAGTGATGGTGATGCTGTCTTCGGTAGTTTCCACACCACGAGGCGTGCCCGGAGCGCCTGGCGGATCGAACGGATGTCGCGCTTTGATCGGATCGATCGTGGTCGCCGGATCCGACGTGCCGTACTGATTCTCGGCCATCACTCGGAACTCGTATACCTGACCTACCGTCAGGTTTCTGATTCGCACAAACGGTGTCGTGACGTAGCTGCTTACCTGCAAGTTATTTTTTCTTCTTGTAAACTCCAGTCTTATATTGCATATTAAGCCAATTTCAGATTTTGTTCTTTATATTTTTTTATTTTTCTATCTTATAATTATTAGACAAAGAAATTTATTTTTAACATAGCAATATATATAAATAAAATTCTTTTATTTTTTATTAACTTTTCAGGATTTTAGCAATAAATAATAAATTTCGTAAATTATAAAATATAATAAATATAAAGATTTATTTAAAATCGTAATTAAATAATCGTACTATTTTATTAATTGTAATAAATTAATTTTTCTAATCCTTGCAAATATTAGATAATTGTAAGATATTTCTGTATTTTTAATCTCGATATTTTCCACTATCTTTCTATAATATTTCTTACCTTAGACCACGTAGCGGCCCTCGGCTCCTTCTTTTCAATCACATAATTAGTGATATCAGCACCGCCATTATCTTTAGGTGGATTCCAGAAAAGAGTAAGAGCGTCACCAGCAAATTCATCTGCGCGAAGATTCTCAGGTGGAGAAGGACGATCGAGGACTTTAACATTGACGGTCGCTGTATCGAAGCCGGACGAATTGCGCAATTGAAGTCTGTATTGTCCTCCGTCCGAACGTTTCGCATTTTTCACCACCAGACTACAGCGGAAAATTATAATATATAGTATTATCACATTTATCTCTAGTTAATAATTAGTTATCGCTGAATGAAGAATAATATATAGCATTTGACATATTTATTTGAACTTTAAAAATAGTATTTTCCTTCTTATTTCGTGTAGTTAGTTTATAATAATTGAGAAAATATATGTACCTGGCGAAATCATCGGTTAGTTGCTGATGAACACGTGGATCAGTTTCATCCTTAACGACATCGTTGGCGAACCACGAGGCAGTCGGCTTGGGAAAACCTATGTAAGGTACGTGAATAGAGAAATCTTCGCCGGCGCGAACGGTGATGTCGCGAACTCCACTCAGATCCATGACTGGTTTGTTGGGTTGTTCCTCGATGACAATGGGATTGCTAGGTCGACTCGGGTTACTGCTACCGACATCATTCACCGCGAACACTCTGAAGAGATACTCCTCGCCCTCCTTCAGCTTTGGCACAGTATACACATTGCTCGGTATAGGTGCGCCGTTCACATCTGACCAGTCAGCATCGTCCTTGGCTTTCTTCTGAATAATGTAGCCTCTGATTTTCGCGCCGCCGTCGCTTCGCGGTGGTCGCCAGCTCAAGGTCACTGAATCTTTGGTGATTCTATCTGCTTTAGGCGGCTCGGGTGCATCGGGACGCACTATAAAATTAACAATTGTTAAGTATTATAATAGGATATAGGTATTATAATATACTTACAGCGTTGGTATCCGGCTGTGATAGGTTCAGTGGGTTTGCTGGGTTTTCCAGATCCAGCTTCGTTGACAGCGATCACTCTGAATTCGTATCGCGAACCCTCGTGAAGATCTTGCACAGTAAATGTCGTGTTCGGCGTTGGATAGTTGTTGACCTTCAACCATTCACCGCCACGCTCACGTCTCTCCACATAATAACCTGAAGAAGATAATGCAAGTAATGTATAATGTAGTCATACATAATATGTAAATTAATTTTAATTATAATTTTGTTGAAGAACGAAAGAAAAATTCTTTTCATCAAAAATTATAACAATTGTAATAATATTTAATAAGATTATTGTATACATATATGTATTAAATATTATTACACATATAATTGTTAAATATTACTGTAATTTATTTCTGAATTTACCAGTAATAGGCTTTCCACCAGTATTGAGAGGTGGGTTCCACGTAAGACTACAGCTGTTAGGAGTGTAGCCAAGGATCTCAGGTTGACTCGGCGCATCTGGTGGATCGTAGGGACTTTTGGCGATCACGGGTTTACCCTCCAAGGGCTCCGACACTCCGTACATATTTTCGGCACGGACTCTAAAGACGTATTTCCTGCCTTCAATTAAGCCCTTCGCCGTGAAGCTCGTTCTGGGAACATATCCGGGTACTTGTCGCCAATTGTCAGATCCGTAGTCTGACACTTCGACGATGTAGTTTGTGATGTCGGAGCCACCGTTGTCCACCGGTGGATTCCAGGATAACCCGACAGATTCCTGTGTTGTGCCGGTATATTGCAGAGGACCTTGAGGTGGTCCAGGCTTGTCCACGACTATCACCTCGATGTCCGCGGAATCCTTTCCGTGCTCGTTTGATGCGGTCACGGTATACATGCCGCTATCATCTCGCACGGATTTCTCGATCAACAATTGCGTTCGATCGCTCTTCGTTTCGGTCTGATAATAAAAATACGAACATTGTTATAATAATTAAAATAAATTATTTGAAATAGAAAGAAGAAAATTTGAAAATTTGAATCTGTTAAAAAATACAAAAAAGTATCATAAGATAAAATAAAATTTTTAATATAGATTGCATAAGAACATTTCATAAAAAATATATCTCTTTCATAATTCATTATAATTATGTATGCAGTGAAAATATTTATAATTATTCAATTATATAAATAGAGAATTAATTATGTGTAATAAAAATATTTATAATGATTTAAATAAATAAATTCAATAAGTATAGATATTTTCAATACATAAATATAGCAAAAGATGATTTTACATACCGACAAACGAAGAGTCTCCGTAAGTTTTTTTCCATCTTTGGTCCATTCAATCTTTGGCGTAGGTGCACCGGACAACGGTATATTGACGTTGATCGGTTCTCCAGCACGGACTTTGATTTTGCGGCCGATCAGAGCATCCAGATGAAGCTTCGGCTTCTCTTTCATGGGTTTGGCCGTGAATACGGACGAAGTTTCGCTTGGTTTTCCAGCACCAGCGGCGTTTATAGCTGACACACGATATTCGTATTGATGACCCTCGGTCACGTGGTCATCGTAGTATTCAGGATACCTAACGGGTTCTTTATTTTGTTTTATCCAACGACCGGTAGCGCGATCGCGACGTTCCACGTCATAACCGATGATCTTGGAGCCGCCGTTGCTGATGGGCGGAGTCCATTTAATCTTAATATGATCCTTGTCGGCGTCGACGCATTCCGGCTTGCCAGGTTGTCCGGGAGCCACTGGAAATCGAATATAAAAATGTATAATCATAAAACAAAGAAATTTTTAAAAATTAACATTTTATCAAATCTGCAATAGTAATAAATTTAGTTAGTATAATTATTTCAAAAACATTAAAACAATTTAGAAACAATTTCAAATATTTAAAATCCTTTTTTGGAGTTTAAAAAATGCAAAATTTTATCAATTATTTTGTAATTATTCTAAAGTTATTTTTATTATTAAATGTACACTATTTTGATTAAATTACTTAATTGTAATTCTGAAAAATAGTTGACATGTCATTTAAAGTATACTCACCGAATTGATTCTTGGCAACAACGGATCGGTCGGTGGTTAGTGGTTCAGAGCGACCCTGTAAATTTTCTGCGCACACGCGGAACTCATACGTAGTTCCCTCGAGCAATCTTGGCACAGTTGCATGATTAAATTTGGGATTAACATGTGTAACTGCTGGTACCCAGCCACCACCATGCGTAAGATCGCGTTTTTCAATGATGTATCCACTGTAAAGATAAAATGCATATATATCAAAAATTATTTTACAATTTTAATAATCATTCAATATGTTTGACATAAAAATCTTTATATTAATCTTATTTTATTAATGTAATATATTATTTTTATATAAAATTATAATTTAAAATAAAATTATTATATAACTAAAATATTTTATAAATAATTAAAATAATTTATATTACTTGTCTAATTTGTCAAAATATAGAATGACAAAGAAAGTATCAACAAATTTAGAAATATATAAAGAATTTTTATGGGGAAATAAAAATGTAAACTAGATATAAAGGTATACCACGAATAAAACAATCAGAAATTTATTTTATAAATGTGAAAATTTACTTACGTAAGCTCGCTGCCGCCATTATCCTTAGGTGGCTTCCATGAAAGCGTGACAGACTGACTGGTGATCTCTTCGTATTGTAAAGGACCTTCCGGTGGTCCAGGTTTGTCTAAGACGGTCATTTGGAAACTGCCCTCATCTATACCGCTGCTGTTCTTTAGCAACAAGTGATACAATCCCGAATCCGATCTCTTGGCGTTGACGATGTGTACAATCGTATGGTAGCCGATCGACGTAATCGTCGTCCTGTCGTTGGAAGTCAATTCGTTGCTTCCTACGCTCCACGTCACCTCCGGCGTCGGTTCGCCGACAAAATCGATGTCGACGTGGAAAATCAATCCAGCTTTGATACGAACATCTTGCAAGGGAGTCTTGATTTTTGGAGCCACTAAAAATAAAAAAAGTTAATTATTTTTTCAACGCAAACAAAACATGAATTAAAAAACATTTAAAGCTTTACACACTTTACGAAATGCATAGTGATTTATATAAAATAATATAGAATGTATAAAATAATATACTGTAATATATGATATAATAAAATAATTAGTATAAAGGTCCTTATAAAGCTTTATTAAAAAATTTGAATTTTTTAATGTCTTTTATTGTAGTTTTCAATTGATATCAATATCACTTTTTCTAATTTATTTTTCTATAAAAATAAAACTTACAGAAACGTGGCTTGGCAGTGACGAGATCACTGGGTTCTGACGGTTCAGATTGACCGGCGGCGTTGACAGCGATTATACGGAACTCGTACTCTTGACCTTCCGTCAGATCCGGAACTGTCGTACTGGTTTGACCTGCCGGCACGTGTACCGCATTCACCCAGTAAGGACTGCCCTTCTCCTTCTTCTGGACGATATAACCTGAAATCGGCGATCCGCCATCGTTCTTCGGCGCTGGCCATTGCAGATCCACATGGTCCTTGTCCCAGTCTGTGATCTGTGGTTTGCCAGGGGCGTCTGGTTCATCTGTAAGTCGCAGAAAATGGATGTATTACTTGAATGTTTATTAAAATAATAAATTATATGTATCATTATCGTATTTTATATTTATGTATAACAATAAGTTTATATCGATTAAATTCTTCCATTTTTTTATTTAATTTTTCACTTTTATTTAGATATGCTTATAAAGCTACTCACCAAACTCGTTCTTCGCGATAATGCTCTTCGTGGTCTCGAGCGGATCGGATTCACCGATGTTATTAACAGCCTTGACGCGGAATAGGTATTCCTTTCGATGGGTCAGACGACTGACCTCGTGGCTCAGCACCATACTCATGCCAGCATCGGACCAAGTTCCACGGGATAGATCCATTTTTTCGATGACGTAATGTAGAATAGGACTGCCGCCATCGTCGAGAGGATGTCCCCAGGCCAAGTGACAACCTTCTTTAGTAACGTTGCTAACATCCAGCGGTTTCTCTGGTGGCGCCGGTCTGTCGAGGACAGTGACTCTTGCGCTGGCACTGAAAAGTTAATGTCATCATTTGATTTCTTGTTTAATTAATAATTACCCAAAATATAATTAAATTATTATTAATGTAAGATATAATAGTATAATAAACAATTATTGAAATTTAGAACAAAATCAAATTGTTGTTACAATTTTAATTATTAAGTTTTTTATATTTTTTTATCATATATATATTTTTTTCTTTAAAGATTTTAATAAAAATTTTTAAATGCAGATTAATTTAGTCAAAATTTTATCGAAATTTGAAGAATGTATATAATCATATATTTTAAACAAATTGATATTAAAATTTCTTTTTATAATATTATGTATTACCTGAAACTGCCATGTTCATTTTCCAAAGTCAAAGTGTAACGTCCAGTATCCCCACGAACGGAGAACGGAATTTCAAAGGAAGTTTCGGTGTTGGTAGTAAATATTTCGTGACGAGCATCAGCCACGATCTGAACTCCGTCGCGATTCCAACTTGCCTTTGGTTTAGGCGATGCTACGATGGGAATGTTGTAGCTGATCTTCTGACCGGCACGCACCACCAAATCATTCAGTAGATGAGTATCGAATGAAGGAGCGACTGTAAATTACAAATAATTATGAATAAGAGACCAACAGAGAAAAAAATAATATTATTTTAAGAAATGTATTATTAAAAAAAGTTCAAATTTCTTTTTTTCAGAGAAAGAATTTATTTTTTTGCACAATAAGAAAAGAGAGAGTATTTTTATATAATAATTTTTTTTTTAAATAACTGATTTAATTTTGCTGATTATGTTAATTTCTCGATTAAAAATCAAACTTACTGAAACGCGGTTTAGCGACGATCGGTCCCGACGCGTCAGACGGCTCACCAGGTCCACCCTTGTTGACGGCGATGACTCTGAATTCGTATTCCTGACCCTCGGTCAGATCCGGTACTCTAGCGCTAGTCTTATCCCCAGGCACTTCGACCGCCTTCTCCCACTGTCCATAACGAGGTCGTTTCTCGATGATATAGCCGGTTATAGGCGATCCGCCGTCCTTCTTAGGCGGCGTCCATTCAAGATCTACGTGATCTTTATCCCAATCAGTGGCAACTGGTGCTCCAGGCTTGTCTGGTTTAGCGAATGGATCTTTAGCGGTAATGGTATCTAGTCCGACCAAAGGTTGAGACTCGCCCTGCTTGTTGACCGCGCGTACGCGGAATTGATAATCATGACCCTCGATCAAGTGACCCACCTGCGCCGAGGTGGTACTAGCCTCTGCCACTGGCACCCAGCGCATATTCTCCGTGTCCATCTTCTCGACCTGGTAGTATTGGATCTCAGAGCCGCCATCATCCTTGGGCGGCCGCCACCTCAGGGTGCAGCCGCTTCGCGTAACATTGTCGATCTTCAACGGACCTTCAGGCGGCGAAGGCACGTCCAGCACGTTCACCGTCAACGTAGCGGAATCTTTGCCGTTCACATTTCTGGCTACCAGCGTATAGACGCCCGAATCGGAACGTTTTGCTTCTATTATGCGTACTTTAGTATTATAGTCCTCGTTCGTGATCTTGATGCGATCGCTTGCCATTACAATAGTATCTTTCAGTGACCATTCTTTAATTGGTGGCGGCTCGCCGATCACCGGCACGTCGAAGTCGAAGAAGCCGCCGGCGCGCACCTTTACGTCCAGCATGTACTTCCTGTCAATCTTCGGTGGAACTAAAGACAAAATATAAAATATACCATTAAAAATATCAGATTTATAATTTTTTTAAATTTCTTCATATTCAATTGTTTGCAAAAATGCTTACGGTTCTTAGGTCGCGCCAGATGGGACTTGGATGCCTCCGATGGTTCGCCGGGACCAGCCTTGTTGACGGCTCTCACGCGGAATTCGTATTGCGTTCCCTCGACGAGGTCGTTGACTTTGCCACGATTTGTGTCACCATCGACTTCCGCACACTTCTCCCAAGTTGGACTGTATTTGTCACGTTTTTCTATGATGTAGCCAGTGATTGGTGATCCACCGTCTTCGTCAGGACGTTTCCATTGAAGCTCGACAAAATCTCTGTCGTAATCGGTCACCTCGGGCGTACCCGGTTTTCCTGGCTCGTCTGCAAAAGAGATATAGTAATACGATAAAAAATATTAATAAACAATATTAATAATTACTAATGAAAAATATTAAATGTAAAAACGAATTATTGAAAATATATATAAATTTAAAAAATTTTTGTTTATAAAAAATATTTATTATTAAAATTAAAGATACTTATTAAAAATAATATTTTTAATGATATTAAAAAAAAAATAAAATACATAAAATTATTACTTTTTGTTAAAACTATTTTTCTTACCGAAGGGATTCTTCGCCTCGATGCTCTGCATAGCAGTAAGTGGCTCAGACTTGCCCTGTTTATTGACAGCTCTCACTCTGAACTTGTACTTGTGCCCTGGCGTCAGGCCCTCCACTTGTAGATTCGTTTCCGGTCCGTCAGTTTCCCCGGCTGGTACCCAACGTCCCGTAGCTTCATCCATCTTCTCCACAACGTATTTCTCGACCGGCTGTCCACCATCATCCTCCGGTGGCTTCCACGAAAGTTTACAACCCTCGGCATGCACATCGGACGTACGTAGCGGACCCTGAGGCGGACTTGGTTTGTCCAGCACGGTAACCTTGACGAAAGCCTCGTCTCGGCCGTTAATGTTTTCCGCGATGACGGTGTATTTGCCGGATTCCGCCCGCGTAGCCATTCGCACACTCATACTGGTATTGTAGTCCACATGTTTCACTTTGACACGATCAGTCGGCCGGACTTCCTTACCGTTCAGCATCCATTTGGTCGTTGGCGGCGGCTCACCCGTCACCTTACAATCGAAGCTGAAGTTCTGGCCGGCCTTGATTCTCACCTCAATCAGATTAGTGCGGTCAATCTTAGGCGCCAGGTTACGCGGTTTCGCAATGATAGTCGGAGTGGCGTCTGACGGTTCGCCCGGGCCAGCCTTGTTTACTGCTCGTACGCGGAATTCGTACGGTTGGCCCTCAATAAGATCAGGTACGGTGGCGGAAGTCTCGTCCGCAGGCACCTCCAGCGCCTTCTCCCATTCGCCATACTTGTCCTTCTTCTCGATTACGTAACCAGTGATCGGCGAACCGCCATCATTCTCTGGTGGAGTCCATTTAAGATCAACGTGGTCCTTGTCCCAGTCAGTGGCTTGAAGATCACCCGGTTTGCCAGGCTCGTCTGCGATTAGATACAAAAGATCAATTTAATATATTCCTATAGATTTTTTCAAAGTGGAAAATATTCCTGTAATTTGCATTTGTAATAGCAATGTTTGTTATGTTTTGCGTTTAATTGTTCGATTTAGAGAATGATATTTGATTAATATACCGAATGGATTCTTGGCTACTATTGCTTGCTCCGCTTCCAAAGGCTTTGACTCGCCCTCAGCATTGACCGCAGCTACTCGGAAGAGGTACTCCTTGCCAGGTGTTAGACCTGTCACCTCGAGATCTATAAAAAATAATTTAACATTTAATATTTATGTATTGTAAATACGCAATCATTATATATATATATATTAATAGATCAAATTATGTACATTTCAAGATATCAAATTTATAAACAAAAGATATGAATGCAAAAACGGCGCAACAAAAATATGAATAATTTATTATTTTTAAGCGAATACTTAAAAAGAATAGTTTAAATATAATCGAACAAATTCATTTAATTTCAATGCACAATATTTGTATGTGACATATACTAAACATTTAAATATAAATATTTATATAAATATTTAATATTATAACTTATAATATTATATAATTTGTATTGAATTTAATAATTATAATGCATTATAATCTATTAAAAAAATGAAAAATATAAGTGATATTTTTATTACATAATTTTTTTATGAATTTGAATTATTTTAGACAATTTTACTATAAATAAAATATTGAATAAATAATAATAGAAGAATTGATTACTACTTAAACAAAAGATTTAATAATATCAAATATTTAACTATGATTTATGACTACGCATTTGTTTCTTTTATCCAAATAGAGGAGAATTTACTGCAATCTAATAATTACTTACTTGGTTCAGTCGAACGACCACAAGGTACCCAACAACCAGTCTCTGGATCCATCTTGTCCACCTGATAGTATTCAATAGGCGTGCCACCGTCGTCCTTAGGTCTCTTCCACTTCAACTTACATCCCTCTTTATGCACGTCTGACACCTGGAGCGGACCTTCGGGTGGTGTTGGCTTATCAGTCACTATCACTTGTACCGTTACCGAATCCTTGCCTGACGAATTACTGGCCGTGACGGTGTAATCGCCACTGTCGTCCCGCGACACCGGACGTATGCTGAACTTGGTATTGTAGTCACTGTTGTCGATTTGCACTTTGCGATCGGAATGAAGCGGTATCGCGCCGTAACGCCACTCGATATGAGGCGGCGGCTCGCCGATCACGTTAGCATCGAACTTCAGCATCGAGCCAGCGGAAAGAGTAACGTCCCTCAAATTGCGCCTGTCGATCTTCGGGGCCACTGCGATGAATGATTGGAGAATCAATAATTAGATGCCAATTACAGATTTGGACAAGCATGCGTTTCAGCGACATTATTTTTGGAACGTGCGTACATTCCGTAACAACGATGCAAGGATGCTGTCTACAGATCGATCATTTACGTAATTAATATTTTAAATATGTGGGTCGATTATTAAGATAGTATTTGTCATAATAATTACATAATATAAAATTAAGATTGCGTAATTATATAATTAAATAAAGTTATATATTATAAAAATATAAAAAATAGTATTTTATATATAAGAAAGTATTCAAAGTTATAATTGGCAAAAAAAATAATAATCATCTCTTATTTAATTAGTAACTATCAGTTTTAATTAATTTCTATTTAATTTCTATTATTTTATTGAATTTAAAAAAAAAAGATTACCTCATTGAAATCAAACGTAAAAATTGAATTAAATGTAAGCTATATTTGCAAATACTTACAGAAACGTGGTTTAGCCGTAAACGTCTTGCTAGCTTCACCAGGCTCCGATTGGCCAGCTTTATTCACAGCAATAACGCGGAATTGATAATCATTTCCTTCTATCAGACCGTGCACCAGAGCTTTGGTGACTGGTGTTTCGGTTTCCAAAGCTTTCTCCCACATTGTGCTGTATTTGTCTTTCTTCTCGATGATGTAACCCGTAATAGGTGATCCGCCGTCGCTAACTGGCTCTTTCCAAGCAAGTTCGACTTGACTAGCCGTCCAATCAATTGGTTCTGGTGCTCCAGGTGCAGCCGGAACGGCTACAAAGAATAATTACAGATAAATTTAACTGTTATTTTAGATAAGTGATAATAAAGATGCAATAATAACTATCTTTTCATAATCTAAATTTTATGAAAAACAGAATTAAAAATTGAAATCTTGAAAAAGAAATATATTAAAAAGTATAATTAATTTTTAAGTTAATTATAAATCTCAGAAAGAATTATTTATCAGGAAATATTAAATATTATTTGTTGTCTTTTCAGAAGATTATGAAAAAACTTTCACTTACTGAATGGATCTTTAGCTATGATGGAGCTGAAAGTTTCTAGCGGTTCGGATTCTCCTTCCTTATTGAGTGCTTTGACTCGGAATTTGTATTCGTGTCCGGGAGTAAGTCCTTCGACTTTCATCTCGGGTCCGGTAGTTTTCCCGACCGGTAGCCAGACTCCGGTTTCTGGATCAAACTTCTCCACAAGGTAACCTTCGATCGGTTCGCCACCATCATCCTTGGGTTTCTTCCATTTAAGTGTGCATCCTTCTTTGTGTACATCGGATACCTCCAATGGTCCTTCCGGTTTGCCAGGTTTGGCTGATAAAAATAATTACAATTTAATTTAAGTTATTAATATATAAATAATAAATTATATATATTAAATATATTTAATTATAAATTATTTTATAAAACATTTTTATATTAAAAGTATCTGTAATATGTATTTACTATATAAAATAGATTGTAAGATAAAATTTCTTTATGATAAAATGATAATTATTTGTTCAATAATACAACAAATAAAAAATCTTATAAAATATAACATACGAGCTTTTCAGAAACGAAACTGATTAATTTTACTTTTTGCAAATTTATTAATTTATTCGAGCATTAATTATGTGTTCTGATTTTAAAATTGAGAAGCTTATGAAAAATAGAATTGATTAGTTTAACTTCTGAAAAGCTTATATAAGAAAACTACTCACAAATAACGGTAACTTCGACTTCGGCGGTGTCAGATCCGTGTTGATTGATTGCTGTAATCTTGTAAGTGCCACTATCCTTGCGCTCAGGCTTATCATTGAAGAATTTACTGTTATAGGGTACGTTCTGTATCCTGCGGTGTGTGGTCTGCTGAATGCTCTTGTTGTTGATTACCCACGTGACGTCTGGTGGCGGCTCGCCAATGATCTTAACGTCAAAGTGAAATGATTCGTTCTCGCGCACTGTTATGTCGCGCAGGTTTCGTCTATCAATCTTCGGCGCGACTGTAGAGTGAAATCAAGAAAGATAATTAAAATTAAAAATAATAAATTTATTCCTCATGTCTATTAATATATTTTAAAACAAATTTTGTATCTTAAAACATTTTGCTAAAAATAATGAGTTAAAATAAGTCATTTTATTAAAAATGATAAAAAATTGATAATACTTTTAATAATACTACTAAATTGATTGTACTTTTAAAACTTTTTATTTTTAGATTTTTAAAAATTAAAAAATATAAAATATGTGTATAAATAAAATGTGTAAAAATATAAAACTCAGCAAAAATTATATTAATAATATGTATATAAAATATATAAAATTAAGACTTAATGTATATAATTAAATATAATAAAATATATATATATATACATATATATATATATATATATATATATATATATAATTAAATATGTAAATAAAAGACTTACGTCTTCGACTCTTGGCAGTGACTGGTTTACTGGCATCGGACGGTTCACCGGGTCCTGCGGCATTAATGGCCTTGACTCTGAATTCATACTCGACTCCCTCATCGAGATTATCGACACGACCCTTGCAATCCGGTCCGGTCTCGCACGCCTTGATCCATTTAGGCGCGCCTTTTTCTCGCTTCTCAATCACGTATCCGGTGATTGGAGATCCGCCGTCTTTCAACGGCGGAGTCCATCGCAGGTCCACGTGATCCTTGTCCCAGTCGGTCGCTTCTGGACGTCCTGGTGCGCCAGGTTCATCTGCAAAAATAAAATTAATATTATTTGTTTGATAGACGTAACATTTCGAAAATTATAAAAGAATAATTGTATATTTAGAATTTTTCCTGATTAATAAAAGTTTCTTAATTTTTTTATATTCTAAAATGTTAAATGAATAAAAATAATAAAATTAAAATTCTACTTATATACATTATTATATGTATTGAGTGAAATTTTAATAAAATAAGTTTAAAAATTGAAAGTTACATAATAGAATAAATTTTAATATATTATCAGGAAACTTTGAGGAAAGAGTTGAACTTTACCGAATGGATTCTTAGCGATGATTCCATACTCTGTCTCCAATGGTTCAGATTCGCCTTCTGCGTTCACAGCCGCGACTCGGAATTTGTACTCCTGTCCGGGCACTAAATTCTCCACCACCATGTTAGGTTCCTTGGTTCGTGCAACTGGTATCCATCTGCCAGTCTCTGTATCCATTTTCTCGACCACATAATGATCCAAAGGCGCTCCGCCGTCATCCGCGGGCGGATTCCACTTCAGGGTGCAACCTTCTTTATGCACGTCAGATACTTTAAGCGGTCCTTCGGGCTTACTTGGCTTGTCTAACACAAGAATTTCGATGGACGCCTCGTCTTTGCCGGAGCTGTTCTCCGCTTTTAAGGTCAATGTGCCGCAGTGCGCTCTAGTCGCTGATGAGATCACGAACTTGGTTTTGTAATCCTCCATCTCGATGGTTAGAACGTTGCCAGACTCTTGTTTGGCCTTGTTCAGGAACCAAGTCTTACTTGGCGGTGGTTCGCCCGTGACTTTAACATCCAATCGAATAATATTGCCGGCCTTGATCGTGATATCTTTCAGGTTGGTGCGATCAATCTTGGGCGAAGCGTAACGATCCTTGGCGGTCAAGGTATCGCTGGGCTCACTGGGCTTGCTCTGGCCGCCCTTGTTCACGGCTTTAACCCGGAATTGATACTTCTGACCTTCTATAAGATCTGGCACTTTGGCTTCGGTCTTGTTGCCTGGAACTTCCACAGCCTTCTGCCACTTGCCATATTGGTCTTTCTTCTCTATGATGTATTTTTCTATAGGAGCGCCGCCATCTTTCTTCGGTGCCTTCCATTTTAAGTCTGCGTGATTCTTCGACCAATCTTTTAATTCGGGTTTACTAGGCGCATCAGGCTCGGCTGTAATAAAAAAATTTTAAATAAGATAATAATATAATATATATACATATTTAAATATATAAAATGTATAGGAAATTTTTTTTATAATTTGTATATTTTTATAGAAGAATATAAATCCTATAAAATAAAACATATTTTTCTAAAGGAAAGGAAAATGTTTGAAATTTTTAAAATAATTTGATTTTAATTTTATGAATTATTATAAAATTAAAATTAATAACGAAAAAAGAATTAAAGAAATGAACAATTGTGAATATAAAAACTGAGAATGAATAAGCCGAATTACTCACAGTAAGGATTCTTCGCGGTCGTTGGTATGGATGTTTCCAGAGGTTCGGATTCGCCTTCCGAATTAACAGCTTTGACACGGAATTGATAATCCTTGCCCTCGTTCAAACCGGAAACATCCGCCTCCGGTGTTTTGCTGGTACCGCATGGTACCCAACGTCCTGTATCTACATCCATCCTCTCAATGACATAATGGTCCACCGGCTCGCCACCATCATCATCGGGCTTGTTCCACTTCAGCTTACAACCTTCAGCTGTGACGTCGGATACTTCCAGCGGTCCCTTTGGTTTGCTGGGTTTGCTCAGCACCTGGTAATCATCACAAAACGATCAATTACATTAGTTATTTAAATAAATAATTAATGTTTAAAGCGCAATTTCTTATAGAATTTAATTCATCTAAATAAAATTTGTTAAACAATTATTCCGCGAACAAACCTGAAGCTCGACGTCAACTTGATCGGTGCCGCTGTCGTTCTTAGCGATGACAGTGTAAGTACCGGTGTCCGAACGTTGAAGCTTATTAAGGATGAACATAGTATGATAATCTTCATTTTCGATCTTGAGCCGATCCATGCTCTTCAATATCGTGTCTTTAAGCTTCCATGTAACAACTGGAGGTGGTTCGCCCTTGATGTCGGCCTCGAGCCGCAACATTTGACCGATTCGCATGACTTTCTTCTGAAGATTCTTGCGATCGATGTGCGGTGCCACTGTAAACAGGAACATGCAGTGATATATTATTATGATAACCGATTAGAATTAAAAATATAGAAATAGAATTAATATATTATATATAATTAAATTATTAATATATACAATTAAATAAATTTATGCAAGATATGTATTGTCTATTTACAGAATCGGGGCTTGGCGACGACGCTCTTTGAAGTGTCGCTAGGCTCGCCAGGTCCAGCCCTATTGACCGCGACAATCCTAAACTCATACTCGTGACCCTCCTGGATACCATCAGTCACTTTAGCGGCCGTACGATCTCCCGGAACCTTGGCGACATCCACCCATTGTCTACCTTCTTTGTCTCGCATCTGTACAATATACTTCTCGATCGGCGCACCCCCGTCATCCTTGGGTGGAGTCCACTCGAGATCGACAAAGTCTTTGTCCCAGTTCCTAAGTTCCGGTCTACCAGGCTTGCCTGGTTCGTCTGAAATCAGGAAAGTAACGCATAAAACATCAAATATTCAAATATTCTAATTTTTAATTTTATTCCAAATTAAATAATTCAATTAGTAGATTTCGAATTGAATATTTTGTATACGCGTACCAAATGGATTCTTGGCTATGATAGACTTGTCTGTTTCCAGATCATCGGATTCTCCTTCTCGGTTGACAGCTTTCACGCGGAATTTATAAGGCTTGCCCTCTTGCAATCCGGTAATGTTAGCTTCTGGCTCAGTGCTACGGCCGCAGGGTATCCATTGCCCCGTGAGAGGATCTAGCTTCTCGATCTCGTAATACTCGACCGGTGAACCGCCATCGTCTTCCGGTTTATCCCACTTAAGTTTGCAGCCATGCTTATTTATATCGCTCACTTCCAATGGACCCTGAATTATAAAAAGAAGTATTAATTAGAAGATAATATATTATTTGTTTTTTAACTAAATAGATAATTAATTAATTATATTATAATTTTAAACACCTTTTTTATTTTTTTAGATAATTTAATTTAATTTTTTATTTAATTAAAATATCTTTATTTATTTAATTTTTATATATTTGACTTCGTTGAAATTATTTTATAAATATACGCATAAACATGCACACATTATAATTACATTTATTTATTATGAGTTAAAGTAGATTACCTTTGGTTTGCTAGGCTTGCCGAGGACGGTAATTTCTACCTCGGCAGTATCTTCGCCGACCTCGTTCTTAGCCTTGATCACATATTTGCCCGTGTGCGCGCGTTTAGTTTTCAGGATAAAGAATTTAGTGTTATAGTCAATATTGTCAATTCGTATCGTATCATCTGAGACGAGTTCTTTTTCCTTGAAAGTCCAAGTCACTTTTGGTGGTGGTTCACCAATTATATTCACATCTAGAGTTAAGGTAAGACCGACTTTCACTGTTAAAGCTTGCAGATTCGTACGATCAATGTATGGTTTCACTGCAAAGTGAAATTAAATTAAATTAAAGAATGCTCATTTGTTTATGTAAAATTTTTATACATACACACACATATATATATATATATATATATATATATATATATATATATTCTTTTTCTATATGTGATATACATACATTATAGCCTTAAAAAATAATGTAAGATTTTACTTACGCCAACGAGCTTTAGCAGTATGTGGATTCGTGGCTTCGCTAGGTTCACCAGGACCAGCCTTGTTGACAGCACGTACCCTGAATTGATATTGGTTACCCTCTTCCAATCGTGGAACTGTGCCAGTACATATGGGCCCTTCCACTTCAGCGGCCTTGACAAAGCTAGTACCGAACTTATCCTTCATTTCGATGATATAGCCGGTAATTGGCGCACCACCATCTCTTATTGGTGGCTCCCACTTGAGTTTCACCATATTTTCCGACCAATCAATGATCTCTGGGAGTCCAGGCGCGGCCGGAGCATCTGAAATATTTCAAAAAGCATAAGTTTATACATATTTGAACAAAATTAAAGATATTTAATGTATATACTATAATTTAAAGAAAAAATAATATCATCTTTTTAACTGATATTTTTACTATAATAATCGTTGTGATAAAAAAATTGAATAAGAACTTATCTATTAAAGAAAAAGAGAAATAAATCTAAAAGAGAATAATATCTCGAGAAAGAAAAAGAGAAATAAATAAAAAAGAGAATAATATCTATAAGTAATATATTATATAGAAAAAACAATTAGTATTTATAAATTGTACTACTAGTAAAACTATACTATATATTATAATTTAGGTATTATATATATAGTATTATATATATAGTATTATATATATAAATTATAGTATCTAAAATTATTTAACTTAAAATAGAATTATATGTGTGTATAAAAATAAATATGAATGTTATAATCGAGATTATAATACTATACCATATGGATTCTTGGCTATGATGGGGACATCGGATTGCAGAGGTTCCGATTCACCTTCTTCGTTCACAGCCTTCACACGGAATTCATATTTGTGGCCGGGTTCCAAGCCGGTAACTGCATGCTCGGTTTTTTCAGGGTCCACAACACCAGCCGGTACCCATCGACCTGTCGTCACGTCCATTTTTTCTATTACATAACTGGATAAAGGAAGACCACCGTCGTCTTTCGGCTTGTTCCATTTCAATTTGCAACCCTCCTTGTGCACGTCTGTTACTTCTAGTGGTCCCTCTGGCTTTCCAGGTTTATCTGTTAAAATCAATTAAAATCACATAATAAATTATATGCATTTATAAATTATATAAATTATTTAAATTATATAAATTTATATTTTTGTTTAGTTAAAAAATATAAAAAAGAAAATATATTTATATATTATATATTTTTTATTTCAGTATTAAATGAATAAAAAATCTTTTAGAATATCTTTCAGATATTTGAATTAAAAAGAAATATAAATACAAAAATTATTTAAGTTTATTTACCGAGAATATTAATCTCCACGTCGGCTTCATCTTGTCCGGAATCGTTTACAGCTTTAATGGTGTATTTGCCAGTTAATCTGCGACTTGTGTTTGTCAATTGAATCTTAGTGAGATAGTCTTCGTTATCGATTTTGACGTTGGCTCCTGTTTGAAGTGGCGTACCAGCAAAACTCCATGTAACTGTTGGAGGAGGTTCACCTTCCACATCAACTTCCAATTTCACTAATTGACCTGCCCTGACTTTGATAGTCTGCAGCTTGTCACGATTGATATGCGGTTTCACTATAAGAGAGAAATATAACATTGTTATGTAAATTATTTTCTTATAATTGTTGTGAATATCTTTTTTATTTATTAATATTTCTTATTTGGTAAAAAATTAATTTATAGTGAAAAAGATAAATTAAATTTTGACACCAAATTTTAATAAAGTTATAATTTAATTTCTTTCAATTTATAATTATTAAATATGGAACACTTTTATTGTATATAATAAACTAGAAATTGTAGGTTTTTTTAATTAACGATTTTTTAATTAACCAGTTAAATTACTTACAGAATCGTGCCTTAGCAATGTGTGGTTTGGTTGGATCGCTAGGCTCTGATGGTCCAGCTTTGTTAACAGCGCGAACACGGAATTGATAAGTGGAACCTTTCTTCAAACCAGTAACGCGACCTTTAGGCTGTGGTGAATCCGTAACGAGAGCTTCTTCCCACTGCGAAGAGGGTTTCTCCTTTTTCTCAATGATGTAACCGGTGATCGGTGCACCGCCAGTACTTTTCGGAGGTTCCCATTTGAGATCAACGCGATCAACATCCCAATCCTCGAATTCTGGTGTTCCAGGTTTGCTTGTGACATCTGTCAAAAGAAAATTATATTCAATGTAACTGTAAGCAATATCGAATTAATTAATTTTGCAAAATTTTAGATTATGAAAAAATAAATCATATATTTAATAAATTATTTATTTTATATAAAAATTATTCTGAATAGCACTTTGTTAAAAGCATAGATTTTTTAAGAAAAGAAACTTAATTTTAGATAAGACATACCTTAAAAATATGAAAATTGTATTTCTTTCAATTTAATTTATATTATTATTTATTTATAAATTTGTTTAATATTTTATTTATATATTTCATATTTTATTCTTGATTAATTTTTAATTCAATTAATCTATTCTATTCAAAAATTTTTCATTGATTTGATACAATATTAAAAATTTACCGAAAGGATTCTTCGCAAGCGTGGAGCCGTCTGTCACGAGCGGCTCCGATTCTCCTTCTTCATTCAGAGCCTTTACTCTGAACTCGTACTCATGCCCTTCTTGAAGACCCTTTATGTCCATTTCGGTATCCGCAGTACGACCGACAGGTATCCATCTGCCAGTCGATTTGTCCAATTTTTCCACTTGATAGCCAGTAACCGGCTTGCCGCCATCGTCCTCTGGCTTGTCCCATTTGAGTTTGCAACTGTTCTTTGTAACGTCCGACACTTTGAGCGGTCCTTTTGGTTTTCCGGGAGCAGCTATGTATAAAGGAAAAAAATGACTTGAATAATTTTCATAAAAAAAAGATTTTTCAAAATAATTTATTAAACTAACTTTTAAACAAAGAGATATTTTTTTGTATAAATTACTCACATAATATCGTTATTTCGACTTCTGCTTCGTCTTCGCCATGAGGATTGACAGCCTTGATCTTCCATAGACCGGTATTCTTCCGCACGCTATCGGAGATGGTGAGCTTCGTGTTGTAATCAACGTTGATTATTTCAATGTTCTCGGCAGATTTCACCTCGTTGCCGGCTTGATACCACTTGATCTCTGGCGGCGGTTCGCCACGCACGTCCACGTCGTATTTGACGGGTTTGCCAGCTCGCACGACAATCGGTTTCAAGTTCGTTCTGTCGATCCTCGGCTTCACTAAAGCGAGCAAAATTGTATGACATTATTTCATAGCATCGTATATTAGAATAAAAGAAATGTAATATTTTTTCAAAACGATATCTTCTTTTTCCGCGAAAACTTACGAGCTTTATGCTTGCAGATCTGCATCTTCGACGCATCTGATGGAGGCGAAGGTCCGGCTTTGTTCACAGCAATGACTCGGAATTGATACTCGCCCCTTTCTTTCAAATCGGGCACTTTGCCTTCAAGCTGATCTCCAGGCACTTCGATAGCTTTTTCCCAATCAGGCTTGTACCGATCTTTCTTCTCAATAATGTATTTCTCTATCGGCGCACCTCCGTCGAAATCGGGCGGAGTCCATTTCAAGCTTATAGATTCGTTATCGTAATCAGTAACCTCGGGAGTTCCAGGCTTCAAAGGTTCATCTAAAAGAGAATTATATTTAATTAAATTTAATTCTTAGATTTATCATATTCATTATTATATCAATTCTTAAGATTTATCATGAATTGATATACGAATTCAACTCAAATATAACGAAGATAAATTATACTTTAAACAATTTATTAATATTTGATATTTAATGCCTTAACAATTAAACTTTTGAAATTTAAATCTTGAAGAAATAACTGCATGAAACTTATTTTAATTTAAAAAAAATTAATTTTAATTAATTAAGAACTTATTAATAAATAATAAGCAATATAAAATTTCTCAGATATTTCTTCAGTTATTTTGATAAATTAAGATCCTTATAGACGTCTCAATACCATATGGATTCTTCGCGATGATGCCGCGCTCGCTTTGCAGAGGCTCCGAATCACCCTCATCATTGACAGCTGTCACTCGGAACTTGTACTCGCTTCCGGGATTCAGGCCAGTCACCTCAAATTCTGTGTTCGGCGAATTTCCAGGTATTTTGCCCACTCTGACCCATTTGCCGGTTTTTGTATCCATTTTCTCGATCTCGTATTCTTTGATCGGTACACCACCGTCATCCTCCGGCTTTTCCCATTTCACCTTGGCCGTAGTGTTGGTGACATCACTTACTTCCAGAGGTCCTTTAGGAGCACTTGGTTTTCCTGCAACAAGAAATTTTAGTTGAATTAAAACTTTTTTCCTATATCCACTGTAATAATTTTATTTCTTTTTATTTTTCAAAAATTTATTTGTGTAACTGATATAAAAATTAGATAAATAACATTAAACTTTAATCAAATTATAATTTGAATGAATAAATCATTGCATATATCTTAATTTTTAAAATGTGTTGCGAGGAAAAATCAAGTTATTTAAAAATTAGAAGTTTAAAAATTAGAAATTTACCGAGTACTGTTAGTTCGACAGTTTCTTCGTCCTTGCCATTAGCGTTCTCGGCGATTAAAGTATACTTTCCGGTATCTTTGCGCATCGCATTAACAATCGTGAAATCTGTATGATAATCAACATTATCGATCTTGATGCGTTCAGTAGTAGTTAACGGGATATTATCCCTCCAGATCCACTTGGTCTCTGGCGGCGGTTCACCAGATATATCCACAGACCATTTGTGCGTGCGACCAGCCTTGATGATGATGGACTTGAAATTGGTCCGATCGATTCTTGGTCTCACTGAAAATATTATTTTTTAGAGATAAATCCATCTTTGAAATTAATTAAGCAATTTTTTGTTTGAAGAATACAAAATATTTTCAAACTATATGACATTTAATTTTCTCTTAAAAAATAAATATTTAATAAGTATGGGTAAGCTTGAAATAATTATAACTTACTTGATTGCAAAAAGCAATTGTTCAATAATTATAAAAACAGCGTCAAAAGGAGGAGAAAAAAGGGAAAAATTTAAATTAAATCATAAAGATTTCAACTTACAATTTCTATGTTTGCAAAGATGATTGTCCGTGGGATCGCTAGGCTCGCCAGGACCCGCCTTGTTGTGAGCGCGAACGCGAAATTGATATATCATCTTCTCCTTAAGGCCTTCAACTTTAACCTCGGGAGTCGCGTCGGGGGTTTTCGCCACTTCAACCCAATCGGGAGCGAATTTGTCCTTCATTTCGACGGTATAGTGAGTGATTGATCTGCCACCGTCGCTCTTCGGTTTCTCCCATTTTAACGACACGCTGACATTGTCGTAGTCGAAAATTTGCGGCTTGCCGGGCTTGCCAGGCTCATCTGTCGTAAAAAACGTATAATGCATAAAACATATTCTAATGTATAACAAAATTTAATTAAATTAATAATATTTTAATTATCTAATTTAAAACTATTAATCAGCAAAATCAGATACATTCTTACCATAAGGATTCTTCGCGACAATAGCTTCCTCAACCTCTAAGGGTTCAGATTCGCCTTCCTTGTTGACCGCTTTGACTCGGAATTTATACTTCTTCTTGGGTGTCAAGCCAGAGAATGTAAACGTCTTCTCGTGGGGACCGACTTCTCCAGCTGGAATCCATCGTCCTGTGTCTAGGTCCATCTTTTCCAACACATAGCCAGTGATATCGGTACCACCGTTGTCTTCGGGTGTATCCCATTTGACCTTGACATGATTGGCGCGGACTTCTTCTATCTTGAGCGGTCCTAACGGAGCTGATGGTTTATCTGCAAGGGAATAAGATGCAAATGATATTTATTATATTATATTATACTCGAGATATTTTAATAAATTTTATTCTTCAAGATTCAATAAAAGAGATGAAAACAAATAGAAAACTGATTTTATATAATTTTAAATGAATCTGATATTGTTTGATCAATTAAATTTTATGTAATTAAATTATTTATTCTATCAATTAATTATTTTTTTCTTACTGACATTTTTATTAAAGAAGCACTGAAACTTCTTCCTGAAATGTCTTGTAAGTTAATAGAGTTAAACTTACCTAAAACGACGACGTCAGCAATGCTTTCACATGTACCAGAACTGTTCGTCAGCATCAGTTTATATTTTCCGGAATCAGCCCGAGTAGTTCTTCTGACTGTTAACACAGTATTTCTTTCGTACTTATCGATCGTGATCCTTTCGGCCGCATCTTGAACAATTTCTTTCTGACCGAGAAGCCAGTGTAGCTCCGGATCCGGCTCACCAGCATACTTGATATCGTATTTGATGACCTGGCCTTTCTTAACAACCAAGTTTGTGAGACCCTCGCCGATAATGTATGGCTTGACAAATCGGCATTTGGCGATAATCGGCTTTGTGACATCGGACGGTTCACCAGGACCAGCCTTATTCACGGCTCGTACCCTGAACTCATATTGCGTGCCTTCCTTCAAACCATCGATTGTCGCTTTAGAGACGTCGCCTTCGATTTCCTTGCCCTTCACCCATTCCTTGCCGAATTTCTCTTTGTATTCGATTATGTAACCGGTAATCGGTGCACCACCGTCATTCTCTGGTTTCGTCCACGTCAAGTCAGCATGATCCTTGTCCCAATCGATTACATCAACGTTCGTCGGTTTGCCTGGCTCATCTGTAAAGCGCCAACAAAGCTTTTGTTTTTTTATTCTATTTTAAACTGACACACTTGTGGATAATAAAATCAGAATGTAAAGATTTCTGAGGCCAGATTATTAGATTTAATTTTCATATGTAAATAAAAGATTTTAATTAAACTTTTTATAGAAGAGATTTTGATTAATAATAAAGTTAGATAGATAATAATTACCCCATGGATCCTTGGCTAAAACAGGCTTGCCAAACATTGCCGGTTCGCTGGAACCGAGTTTGTTTACGGCCCGTATGCGAAACTTGTACTCCTTCTTTGCAATAAGATCTGCGACCTTATAGACACACTTTTCGCCCAACGTGACTTCGCCTACGTTATCCCATTGAGATTTCAAGCTGAGATCAAGACGCTCGATGATATATTTCGTGATAGAAGTACCACCGTCATCCTTAGATGGTTTAAACGACACGACGCAGGAATTCTGGAAAATCTCGTTAACTTCGACGTCGTACGGCGGAGATGGAACGTCTAAAAACATAATTAATTTAAAAATAAAAAGAAATACAAAGAGACGCAAGATTTTTAAAATAATTTAAAAAAAAATATAAACCTTGCATAACAATATTGACGTCCTTTACTTCTTCGCCCTGGTTGTTACCGATCTTTATCTGGTAAATTCCGGATAATTCACGCTGAGGTTTCTTGATCTTATATGTAATCTTATCCTCGCCGACAACAATTTCGACATCCTTGAGAGGTAACTGTTTACCATCTTTCATTAGTTTTGCTTCTACTTGACTCTGCTTAGTGCCCTCAACTATACAGATTACAAATATAAATGTCACTTGCAATTCAAAACATATTTGAATATTAATTATCATATTTCTTTAGAGTTTTCTTACTGTTGTTGGCGATAATCCAACGTTATTGTCTTTCTACTTCTATCATGCAAAGTATAAATAAATATATATAAAAATATAATATGAAAAATATAAGTAAATAAACAAATAAATATATATAAAATGTAAATAAAATATGAATCATTACCTTTGAAAGGCACAACAAAGATCAGGGGTGAGCTGCAGGGTCCTTCAACCTTGTCGGGGAAGTCGACGATAGGCTTGCTTTCACCCTTTTTCACGGTGACCTTGCAACTGCTGGTCAGCTGACCGCTCTCGCACATGACCTCACCGTCGTCCATCATCTCTACTTTGTTGAAGACTAACTGATGTTTACCACCGCCAAGATTCTTGATCTCTACTCTCTCGTTGGGCTCGATCTTCTGACCATTGAAATAGAATATGGCTGGAGCGGTCTGATCTTGAAGCTCGACGTCCAACACCAGTTTTTCTCTCTCTATCGCGATTGTGTCCTTCAATTTCTTGTTAAAGCGATTGGCGTCTATGATTTTGGCACAAAAATACATAATTTTAGTACTTTTTCTCGAAATTGAATAATTAAAGATAAGTTAAAGTAATTTCGTTATACTTACAACTAATCACGATTTCAGCTTCCGTCTTATCGGCGTTGCTTACGCAAGAATACAGTCCGGCGTCGGTGACTTTACAGTCTTTAATGACGAGCTTTCGTTTCCTGCCATCTTCCTTGATTTGTATTCTGATAGCACAAAAAATTGTTTATATAAAATACTTTCAGAAAAGAAACAGATACGTGAAAGATACGTATTAATTTATGTATTAAAGTACCTTTTATCGGGCGTGATTGCTTGATCGCCCTTGAACCATTGCACGTCACCTCCAACGTCATCGAGTTCGCAAAGCAAGGTCAGTGTTTCTTTTTCCACGAGCTGTTGATGCTTCAATACTTTGACGAACTTGTAAGGATATTCTGAAAAGATCGTCATTAAATTTTATAAAATGTTATAAGCAAAATTATATTAATATATTATATATTATATCATAAAATATATAATATATATCATATAATATAATATGTATAATATATATTATACATAGAATAAATGTAAATTAATAAATAAATAAGAAGAAGAAGAAGAATTGAAATAAATTGATATAAAAAAATAATAATATTCCTACCGACTACAGTGAGAACAGTATCAGTCTTGTCTGTCTGCTTGCTTATCTTGCAAGTGTATTCGCCACTATCCTCAAGGGTTGCGTTCTTGATCACTAGCCGGCACACACCGGACATGTCTTTGGAAATACTATACTGGTCTCCATCCTAAAGAACAATGTTTAATATTAAGAAGTGTCGAAAATATTGTTTCATAAGAATTTTCACTGAAATGAATTACCTCAAGTTTCGTCTTGCCTTTGTGCCAGGAAACTTGTGCCAGATTGGAACTGACTGTACACTCCATATAACACTCGTGCTTGGTGAAGCCACTGCTCGTCTTCGATAGTGGTTTCGTAAATGTGTATGTTGGATCAGGTTCTAGAATTTTAAGATATTCAAAAACATATTTCCCTTTTTATTATAAAAAACGTTTAATCGAAAACAAGAGTTTAGTAAAAATATGTACCGTCCACGTTGAGGAACCCTGTGCTGGATACACCAGCAATTTCGATCGTGTATTTTCCAGTATCTTCGACTTTAGGTCCACTGATGATGAGCAGATAACAATCTTCTTCGTTTTTGAATTTATATTTGGCGGATGGGAATAATTCCTGTTCAAAAAATAAATGATCAATATATGTATATTTCTATTTATTCTACTTTCTCTCATAGTTATAGAATATATTATATAAATTTTTTTTAATTTACTAAATTTTGCAGCTATATAAAAATAAATAATATTAAATAATTGAATAAATTATTTCTTCCAACACACTCACATCCTTTCGGAAGAACCATTTCGGTTTGCAGTTCGGTTTCGAAAAGTTCGCTTCAAACACAACCTTCTTATCCTTACCCTCCTTGGCATATTGGTCCACCAATGGTTTTAGGAAGCTCTCTTGTTTCTGCGAAAGGAAGAATCATCAATCAACCGTAAATCATGTTCGTAGATTCAGCTGAGAAATTCCATAATAATAATATCGTTCAACATCGACAGCTTTGCTAGGCGATACAATAAAAGTAGAAGAAAAAAATCGATGAAAAAGTCGAAAAAATCCGCCGCTGCCTCTTTGTACGAATAGAAGAATGGAGGCCAACAGACGACAAAAAAAAGACAAAATCTCCATGAATACTTCGAGAGAGACTCTAGAAAAAAAATATTCTAGAGAAAAATATGAAAAAAATCTAGAAGAAGCTCGATCGATCATTCATCGGCTGGACCGGATATTTGCAAGCCTATAACTCGCCATGCTTATTACTGTTAAGATTGTTAAACAGTTTTGAGAAAGAAGAAAAGTCAGTAGGTTTTCTCGAGAAGAATATCATCACTGCTCGAGCAAGATGCGCGAGAAGATAATTATTGAAGAAGCCGTCACTTACGATACATTCAAATCACGACATTGATCATAAAAGATATTATATATTTAATATTAGGAATTCCAATTGTGGATCTTCCAATTCTAATTCCAATTGTCCATCTTATTTTTAATTAATTTAATATATTTAAACAAGATATATTTTTAACAGTTTTATTTTATTTTATAAAATATTAATATATGTATAATATTAATTTTGTGATCTAAAATAAAAATCAAAGTATTAATAACTTGGAGATATATTTGTATGAGTTTCAAATTAAATCATAAAATTTAAACGTAACACTTTTATATAAATAGGTATATAAGAAAAATATTTTCTAATCAAAAAATATATATCTCGAATTTAATTCACTAATAATTTTATAAATTGTTTTATAAAAAATATTTTTATTTTTTCTAAATTGTCTATCGTATTTTATCTAAATTATCTATAAGTTAACAATTGTTTCATTATAAAAAAATGGTCACAAATTAGAATCCCTTTAAATAAGTTTTAAGATTAAATAGAATGTTTATCGAAAGTATAAGAGAAAAATTAGAAGAGATAAAGTTATATAAAGATTGAAACAGAGGGTGCAATAGTGGAAACAACTTCGATTTTAAGTAATTAATCGAAGGATAATAAAGTTCATTAATCGAAGTCAGAAGAGAAGTAGAATTTGAGAAGAGACGATTAATTCATATAAAAGTATGGTCGAGTGAAAGAATGAGAGAGTACTCGAGTGAGTCAGAGAAAGAAGACAAACAGGTCGTCGAGTTTCGGAGACTGTTTGAGACAAACAGCGGCAGGCAAACATCGACAGTCAATATCACGTGATATTATCGATGAAATAATTCGATTCATATAAGAATCGGTCCAACCTCCGTCTTGGTGAAGTGATGCAGGATCGGCCAGTCGGGAATTAATTCGGCCAAAGACGGCCTACGCGATCCACTATTCTAGAAACAATAAAAGGCAAATCCGCAATCACAATATCTTTTTCAGACCCGATCGTCAATCTTACTTGCTGATCTTTCAGCGAAGAGGCCTAATGGGCTTTTATACAGAATTTGATTGTTATTGCTATTTTACAGTTTTGTAATTTTCATTATTTCGAATCCACTTCCAGGGAAAATTATTACTACTACAAATTATGTATTAGCACTGTACAGTTACAATTATTAAATAATTATATTTAACAGTTATAATACAATTATACATATATATATATATATATGTATATATATATATATATATATATATATATATATATATGTATATGAGAGCTACAAATTATTGCAGAATATTATTCAAAGTATTATTTATAAAAAATATGATATATGTACATATAAATATATATGTTAAAACAATTATTATGTGCAATTATATATTATCAGTTACTGATATCTACTCTACTTTTAATTGCATCGATAATTTTGCAATTTTCCACATATGAGTTACATAGTTCAACAGAACAGCGTGTGATGACAAAAAATATTACATTTCAATAATGTATATCATTTATTCGAAAGTGAGATAAGATTAAATATTTATATTATTATATGTTTTAGTTCGAAAATATTTATGAAAGCGTATGCATGCGTGATAATAAGTTTACATGACCGTTTTTAATTAAGCCAAGCATGAGAAGCGCAGACATTTTATTAATTTTTATTCCTACTCTACATGAATTTATATATTCTTATATCTGTTTTATATAGTCTCTCACACAATTTAGAGAAACCATTTGGAAAAGCGCAGGCCAAAAAGGGAAATCTCTCAATCGTAAATAGTCGCAAGAATTTTTAAATAATTCATCGAAAATTATAAATCTTAATTAAATATTATTTAATCATCATGTTTTTCACAAAATCTGATTAAATCAAACGTAATTTTAAAATTCTTGCGATTAACTGGCTTTTGTTACGTTTTTATTGATTTATTTGATTAACATCCTCAGTCGATTGATATAACATTCGTTTAAATAAACAAAGAGATCAATCGCAGTTATCTTTCAAGTGCCCATATCGCGCAAGAGCTGATCTCTTTGCCATGCTATACATTTTGCCATGACATAAAGTTTTTTTTGTCTTATATTTTTCTCAAAGCGTCACGTTTAGAAAATCCAAATAACACCAGTATTCTGGCAAATTATAATCATAAAAAGAGAATTAAAATATAAAATAAATCTTATTATATATAATCTTATTTATATTTTTTTGTAATTTAATTTATTTTTTACATATAAAAGAAATAAATTTTCGCGATATATATTTTCAAGTCTTTAATTAACCAGAATACCAAAGGAAATAAAAGCCTTGCAGGGGCAATTCTGCTCTCTGTTTCATGGTTTTTGGAATCTAATGCAAGGATTGCTTTAAAGATTTTTTTCGCGAACCTTCTCCTTGGCGTGTGTCGCTAGTTTTGGCCAGTCGACGATTAGCTCCTGCAAACTTGGCCTGCGCTGAATGTCGAAGATGTCCTGCATGCCCGACACACACACACATATAGTTAATGCCACTCTTATAGCCAATAGCGATTATCAAAGAACTCTGATTAAAAAAATATTCAATAAAAAAGAGGCTTGAGAAGAAAGAGAAAGATGAACTGATTTTTTTCAGTTGTAAATAATATGCTTTTTATTTATGTGAGATATATGTTAAGTATTTTTATTAGACATTTGGAACTACGAAATTGAGCATATCAGAGTTCTTATATTTTACAATGATAGAGTTCTACACGTTTAGAGATAATGCTTTTCTCTCAATATGAGAAATGTCACATGCAATGAATTTGGAATATTGTCAATTTCGTCACACGTTTCATTGACAGTTCATATTTTCTTTCTTTCGCTATAAGCTTTTTAGTTAATAGTGGTTGTTTGTTAATAAAAGAATGTAATAAGTACAGTGTAAAAATATACAGCCAACTCTCAATATAAGTACGGTGAAATAATTCACAATATAATTTCCATAAGCGTTTTTTAATGAAGAATATCAAATAATTAATCTTGCGTGTGAGTTTAATATATACTCACAAATAAAAGAAGTAGTAAATTAGATTATTTAAAATTTTATTAATAATTCACATCTTTTATGTAATCGCGTAAATTGAGAGAGGTTGTAGTTTGTAGCATTAACTCTAAACCATACATATAAATAAAAGTGCATATGTTAAGGATAAAAGAAGAAAGTTATACCTTGTGCGACAAAGATAAAAAAAACTTAATGGAGAACTTGATATAGTTAGAGTTTATTTTCGTGAAAATAGAATTTCTACTCTTCTAACAACAGTCAAGATTCGGTCGAAAACTTTTAGCAGTTTCCTATAATTATCCTTGTAATTATTTATTTAATTTATTAAAAAATGCAGAAGACAGATAATGAATTCTGATCTCTTGTCAATATTTGTCATATGTTCGTCATTGTTATATTATCATCATTTTAGGGTTCACTAAGTAAGATCATTGGAAAAAAACCTTGAGCCAGCTCCAGTTACTTTCACCCTTCCTGATTAGAGAAATTCGAAGGATCTCCGTACCCTGCATCATGATTACTATCTCATCACCTTCTTGAAACCAGCTTGGTCCATGTGGCTCTCTTTGTAACGACTTTGACTGAGAAGATAGGAGTAGAAAAAGAAGAAAAGAACAAAGGACGAACAAAAAATATATTCTAAGATTTCGATAGACCATTGCTTAAATTATATTTCAGCAGATTGACAACGCGGTAAAGCTGTCGTTTACTCTATGCTAAATATACAAAAATTACGCATTTTTTAAATTAATTAAAAATATCGTTGTCTGTCAAAATATCGTTCTGTAACTTAATTCTAAAGTAAAAAATATTCTACTAAATAAAAATGTTTTAAATCTTATGATATAATTGACAAATTAAAATAAATAGGAAAAAGAATTTCAAAGAGAAAAGCAAAAGAAAATTATAACGTAAATAAGCGGCATTAAATTTATGTTATATATTTAAGTTTATGTTATTATCGTTATATCACCTATTCTCAGACTGTTAATTGCTGAAATTGCATTCGCACATTCACATTATGTGCATTATATTGATGATTTGCAATTGCAAATATGATGTGTAACCAGCTTCCTCTTAAGAAATATCACACGAAATGATTCTGTTTAGACTAAATTTATCTCAAAGTCAATAACATTTATATAAATTAATTTCATCAGCATTCATTAGTGTTCTAAATCAATTGAAAATTTATCAAATTTCTTACAAAATATTGTTTATCTTATAGTTCACATGTACGTTTGCATGTATGTATGTGTGTAATCAAATGAAAATACGTACCCTTTCCACCTTCTTCAACGCTGGCATGGGCTTCTCCACTTCTTTCAAGTCCACCTTCTCTTGAACCTCTTCTTGTTTCCATTTTTGATACTTCCTCTTTTTCAACATAGCACGGAAGTCCATGCCACTGGCGTCTATCACAAAATTCGTCGAAATTAAAATTTAGGACATTAATACAACTTTCGTGGTATTAGATTGTATTAAATATTAATTTTAAAAAATTCATATTGTATTAAAATATTTTCAAATCACAGGTAAATATTAAAGTGAAAACGTGCGCCATATATCTTATTCGATTTTCAAGTACGCCGACGATTAGATTAAATCGACTCACCGGAAACATAGAGCATCATCTCGGCAGAATCCTCGCCGTGGATGTTACTCACGACGATCTTGTAGGTGCCCTCATCATTGGGCTTCGTCTTCCTCATGCAGAGGGTGATCGTGTTGGTCTCCGTGTCCGTGAGGAATTTAAAGCGGCCACCATCGATGATCTCGGTAATGCCTTTGTAGAACTTGAAAGTTGGTGCAGGTGTACCCTCCACCGCGACGGTGAGATACGCCGTCGAGTCTGCAAAAACAATATTAATATATAAATGTGTTCTTTACTGTATTCGCGAAAATTACATGGTAATTGAAAATATTATAACAATTATAATAATTCTACAATATTAAAATAGTTGTACAACTATATATATTAATGCATATAATATTGAAAAAAATTGAGTGTAATATTGTTCATACAGTCGTAAATATTGTGTACAAGATATCATATTAAAATTACAATAAAATTAAAATTTTCTTTAATTAAAAAAAATTGTTTCCAAAGCTGACAGAGTTAACAAAACGCATTACCTTCGACGGCGGAGTACGATTCCTGGACATCGACGATCTGGGGTGGTCCACCTGGTCCAACATCTCGCAGAGGTGTGCTAGGCTGATTGATCTTATTCTCGAGGTCCGCCACGCTGGGTCTTCTGATGTCCGCTGAGCTCGGACGACGACGCTATACCATTCGAATGAAAATATGAGTAAATCTGCACGCGTTTTATTTCTTCGTGTTTAACATAAACATTCGAAAAGCTTTTGAATGAAAGCAAGAAAATTTGAAGCACGACGCGACGCGGTAACTTCCGTCGATCTCATATTAATTAAATTTGATTTCATTTAGAGCAAATTCGTGGAATCAGAAAATGTAAATTATAAATTGTTATAATTAATAAATAATATTATATACGAAAGTCATTATTAAGTTATTTCTTAGAAATGTATCTTTCAATTTTGATTTTAATTTCGTGTCAATAAAATTTAATTTGCGTGATTTTATTTCTTAAGACTTTTTATATAAAAAAATAGATAATTAAAAAGAGCTGAAACAGAAGGAGAGAGAAGATACCTTTGTCGCTCGAAAAATCTGCAACTCATGCGAGCGTTCGCATGAAAGCATCTATACATTTTAATCATTACTTACGTTTATTTACATTTATTTATCATGAGTTATTGTTATTTACAATTAGTAGTTAATTCACATCATTAGTCGGCGTTACAATCGTTAATTCACTGGGTATTAATCACAAAAGTCTCAGGTAAGATTCAATAGAATTAATGACAATATTTTCTTTTCAGGATATGCACTGATTAGCAAGATGGAATCGATACGTAAATGTAATGATTTGTCCGATTTCCGTAATAATTTCTCCAATCACGTGACTCTAGTCACTGCGATTTCAAGGGTTTTGTCCATTTATTTTTAACGAGTGAAAGTGATTCTAACTTCACAAAAATAACAAGACTATACTTTCTCTGTACTTTTTCAATATTTCGTCTTTATATTATAATAAATTTTTTTATATAATATCAATATATCTTCCACTTTTATATCCTTCTCTTTGTTTTTAAGAAAATATTTCAAATATTAAAATATACTGAACAATTAATTAACACGTAAAAAACCCTTGAATACGCATAGTCAATGAGGAAATACAAAGGGAACATATTAATAATATGAATGAGGAAATAAAGAAAACAAAAGAGCGTAAACAAAGATTTTTTTTCATAATTAATATGATTGATCTAATAAGATGAATATAATTCAAAATTAATCTTTGAGGTTTTTTTACGCTTCTTCTATTTTCTATGCTAAAGATGAATAAGGAATTCATTTGATTGATGGTGAAACGTGTGAATTTTTACGTTATGAGCACATGATATTTCGTGCGTCGATACATATTTATTGTGCGTGAAAACGTGACAAACGCATTTGTCGCGGTGCCGATGCGTGAATCGCGAAGCGAAAGTGCGAATCACAAATATGTGTGAGATGAGAAATTTGAAAGCTCCGGTAAGTTAATCAATATTTACATAAAATCATTGTCGGTCAAGAAACTTTTAATGCGAGATTAGATTGCACCGGAAGGGATAACTTTCCACCACAGTAAAGAGAAAGATGCGTATAAGAGGGATTAAGAAATTATTTTTTTATTTAGTTATAATGCTAAATATATATTATTATTTTTATTTGTTGCGGTTATCCCTACTAATGCAATTTATCTTATGATAATGAATTACAGTGTCGTTAGCGATATTCTTTCTTCTCGCAAATAACCGTCAATGTTAAGTATGAAGATACAGAAACACATAAAGGGGAACGAAAGATATAGAATTTTGTGGGAAAAACAGAGAAAGAGAGAAACATAAATCTGAAGTATGATATGAATCATTTTTACTGCTTGATGATATGAATGTATGAAAATGATCGCTTACTCTGTGAACCGATCTGATCCTTATTACATCAACTAAATTGTCGTTTGTCTAACGGAAAACTCAATGATTAGGATTATTTACAAAGAGGCACGTTATAGTAAAAATATCTACACGACGCGCGCACAATTACGATGCCACATTTACGAATCGAAATGAACAGGATTTATCTCCCGTTACAGTGACATCGTACTTGTTGCGATAAAAATGAGAATATCTCGATCGAATCTACTTGACACATATAGTGTGAGCACGATGGTTGTTTACACCTATACATAAAAATTCTACACGAATAAGTTATTTCACACATATATCTCTGACATTTATATATATGTATATATAACAGCAAACCGCTCGGTCTCAAATCTATCGCAATGGCATGCAAAATTGCAAAATCGATAAATTCAAATCTCTAATCACATCGACTTTTCATTTCTCAAAGCGAATTTATTCGTGAAATTTGTCAAATCGTATACAAATAATTTTATGGATAATTTAAATTATTTTAGCAGCGTAACATATGATGTTATTACATATTAAATTGATCAAAATCCACATTGTAAAATAATTTTTAAATATTTTCTTTTATTTTTTTAATTGCATACGCAAATGCTAAAGTAAGATTGCACTGCACTGCGACAGATCTGATATCGAGTCGCACTGTGACTACTTGATTTTTAATGGTGGTAGGTTTCACATAAATATTTTTTTTAAATAACAAAAAACTAATGGAAAATTAATAAGAAATATACGAATAATTTCGTTTCTTTCCGATTATCGTAAGTAACATAAATTAATGCCAATCTTACCACCATTATACATTCATATCTAAACTGCATCTACAGCCGCATAAAATGTACAGGTGTATCCGCTCGAACTAATAAGCACAATTCCGCAACGCGATTGCGACGAGCTTATTCAAACGCTCCACATTGAATCGATCTATATGTATATATACATGTGTGTATTTAATTTTAATCAGAAGAAGAAATAGTTTGCGCATATAAATCGACACAATGCGAGAGCGTCATTTAAAAGCACATCGTCAGCGTTGATTATCGCGACAAGTGCTCTTTGCAAAATATTTATTAATACATACAAGTCAAATAACATCCGAAAAGTTTGTTCTCCAAATTTTTGGCTAATTCGACGAACGATCTCTTCTTAATAAAAAATGTAAAAGAAGTAATGAATCTCTGGTATATAAAATATTTAAATTGATTTTAATTTCGATAAAATTTATATATATTTTTTTATTATAATCATCCCTCGATATTAACCAAATCAATCCACCAACAAAGTTTTCAAATATTATTCGAAAACATTCTGTATAAATAGTTTCCAAATTTGAAGCACGTAATAAATATAAGAAAAAAAATATCGAAATAATGTACGTATAAAAATGTACATGATATAAAATAATACAAAAATATACATATGCGTACACGCACAACAGAGACATTGTGCTAACCTCTTTGTCCTGCAGTGCGCCTGGTCGGCCGGACTTAGACTGTGTGTGGTGCGTGAAAAAATAAAAGATGAGATAGAGACAGAGGTAGAAACATAGAAAGGGGGACAGATTAGAGCTTGAATTCTGGGGGAAAACGGGCGGTTCACATGAGGTGAACTCGTATAAAGGGGACTGTTTGATGCGGGGGAATGAGGGGGCATCTTTATCAATGTGAGAGAAAAAAAGAACTCAGATTATTGATCAGTAAATTATTTGCCAAATTTTAATATAATCTTTCACGAACATGTAAGAAGTATTAAATCGATATTATAAAGTTGTGATATATTAAACCGCATTGTGGGATTGAAAAAGTAGCGGCTAGCGTGTTTACAGTAGCGGCAGCAGCAGCAGCAACAATCTCAAAAAATTCAGTTAACAAAAAATGTCGCAGAATTATTTTTTTTATTCTTATTAATATCATCATCATCCCTCATCATTATCATCCTCATCATTATTATCATCATTGTCATTATTATTATTATTATTATTAATATTATTATTGCCGTCCCGCGGTAACTCGTAGCATTGCTTTTGCCTCTCTCACTGGGATCTTCATCGTCGAGTATGTTTTAGTTTTCGTTTAGTTGCTGGGCTTTCATTATTTTATCTTTCTGGGTCAGGGGGTCGGGGGTGGTGAGGCAAGGGGGACAAATAAAATTCGCCGCTCAAAACAGAGACAAAAAATCGCGTGGGGCGCAGAAAAATTCAAAAATTCAAAATAGGTGATCGAGGGCCATCGGGAAAAAAGAACAATGCAAGATATAATACAGAAGATTGCTAGTGAAACGATATTTTGAGCAGGTAAGCTTTGTGTTATAGCGAACACAAATCTCACCTTTGGGTCCAACACCTCACCGGGCCGTAACTTTCCCAACTGTAAAAATCACACATAAGGGTCAGGTGATTGACGTGATTGCTCGTCATCGTGGAGATTTTCTCTTTGTCGTCTGTCGATGCGACTTGTTAACTCTTTCCCTGATATATTTACCGAAGGACGGATGTCAATATTTGTTTCTCTTTATTTTTTAAGACACAATTGACGCGAGAAATAAAATCGCAAAAATGAAAAAAAAAACAAAAATATTCCTGTGTGCTTGCCTGGCCATCTGTTAAAGGAAAAGGAGTGATTCTTTTCATCGATTTAAATTAGGGGCTATTTTGATTAATCGTTCGAAATTTAGCAGAATCTTGGTAAGTCCGGGAAAATGGGGCTTTGAAAATGCTTGAAAATAGAGAAAAAGGAAAAAAATAAAGATAAATCGCAGAAGATAAATACAATCAGGGTGGGGGTTTCGAGGCTAGCCTTACCGACGTTCCGACAGCTTGTGCGTTTGCATTGTTTTACAGTGCATTGCTACACGACAGTGCAATTGGGCGGTGCACGATGCCAGCTGATACATCAGTAAGTTTAAATGCAACCAAATTGATAGTATCATCGTGTGCATGACTGCATGAGAGACATGAGTTTCTAGTCGTCATTCGCAAGAATAATCTGAGAATTGCATCTCGCTTATCTCGAACTTATCTTCTTGAAACATTGCGATCATACGAATCTCATTAATTTGCATTATACATATTATAATTTTATACATATTATAATTTTATTATAATTTTGTAAGTATAATCGTCATTTTGTACAAAATTTCTAATGCAATTGTTATTGACTTTTTATATTTTAGTATTATTTAAAAGATGATCGACATTTAAGTTCGAGATAATCGATTAGAGAAGCAAGGGCGCATCATCAGGTCGCAAGATTATCTTAATGAATAGTTACGTATAATAGTTGTGTATACATTTATAATAAAATACCTATAGACAGATATATAAAATTGATAAATTTTATCTACAAAAAAAACAATAAAAATGCTACTTGAGTCGTAGCTCTTAACTCTTTTACTCTCGTGCGACAGAAGCGTTCGCGAATTTGGCTGATTCGCAGATCAGTATACGTAGCAATAATTCAATTTTGTTTGATAATGATGCATGTTGGCAGAACGAGTGTCTTAGCAGTCGGCAATGAGGCCGTTTAGCTTGTCAAGAGTGATTCAAACGTCGTGTCGTACTGTTTGGGACATTTATTATCGCTGATGTCTGTCTACGGTGACAGAATGCTTGCCAAGACTCAATGATCTACGAGTTGAAATTTAAGCCAGAGAGAGAGCTTGAAATCTTGTAACGCAAATGATTAATCATAAGTCGACGCGCCCTGACTTCCGAAATGCTTCTGTAGTCTCGTATTATTATTAATTAATTAATTAATATTATTATTATTATTGTCATGAGTTGTGAAAGATAGTGTGCATAGAGATTCGGTTGCAACAGATCCGTGCAGAGATGCATTTGATTTTTATGTGCTGATCAAGTCTCGAATTAAATGCGATGAAACATCGAATGACACGTGCGACAGAGTTACACCTTGATCTTTCTCATTTCAACAAACCATATGATACAATATTTTGGGAAAATTATTGGAAAATTATTATATATAAATATATTTTGCAAATATTTATCAATGATAAAGAGAATAATGACACTTCCTCGCACGTGTGACGTATACACGCCGTCGTCAAGAATTTAATCGTTCGGTTTTTTTTTTTGACAATGCAACGCTCTCTCTTACTCTTCGAGTAGATTAAATTATTATCGTTGTAAAGTGAGCCATTAAATTCGGGACGATGCGTGCGAATTTCATGCATCGTATACCGTAAATGTACGACCAAAGTAAGTAAACAGTAGTAACGAGCAGGCAAGATCAGGCGAAGAGAATGTATGTAATTAGATATAATAAATAAATAAAGAGTATGTAATTGTAGATGTCAATTTGATAATAAAAGTATGTTGAACAATTTATTTCCTTTGGAAATGCCTAGATTAATTCTCTTTGCGCGATATTCCGGTGAGTGTATGTGAGAGAGAGAAAGAGAGAGAGAGAGAGAGAGAGAAAGAGAGAGAGAGTGTGTGCGAGCGAGAAAAATAAGTCGAATAAGTGCAGACTTGGTAGTCGAGTAAGGTTGCAGACGAGGCATTCGCTTCCACATTTGTTCTTTCTTTTTAGCAATTTTATCTCACCTTGCGCTCGTCCACCACCTCGCCAGGACGAAGCTTCCTATGCTCCTATGGACCAAATCTCTATTAACCACTACTGCTAGGTAAACTGCAATGGTGTGTGTATGTGTGTATATGTGCACGATGCTGCAACATGTCTATATCGTTTAATATGATCGTTTTAATGGGTCGAAATTCATTCCACCGCTGTCGCGGACGTATCGAAGCTCGTTCCTCTGTATTTTATCTTTATCTTGAATCCGAACCAAGTCTCGAGAAATATATAAGCTAAAATTAATTATATCAAAGGCTGCGCTTAATTTTAGTTACTTTAATTAATAATGTTCTGCTATTTTCGCGAAACATAGTTTTATAGCAGGATGAAACTGAAAATATGTTTATCGTAGTTTTGTGATGCTAATTATAATTCGGAAAAAAGTTCAAAAAAACAACTTTATCTTACATAATATATCGAATATACTTTTCGCAGGAACACTTTCGATAAGTCTCGCGTTCAGCTAAAATAATACCACGTGTGATCGGCAATTATCCGTGTTTCTTCGACGTTCTCTTCAGGAGGGACCGTTTAATTCTTCGGGTTCTCGCTTTTCGCAAAGTGGATGCACACCGATCTCGGACATCCTCGATTTTATGACTCGAAGAGATCGTTCTCCATTTCGTTTCCATTCTCTTTTTTCGTTGCGAAGAAACGCCTCTACTGGTGCTTGATGGGACCCGATTTTTTTTCCGAAGGAAGACGAGGGAGGGAAGGAATATGCTTCAGAAGCTGGCAAGAACTTTGGATCTCTCGCTTGGTTTCAGGGGTTCTAATCTAAATCTCACGCCTTGCTGACACTAAACGCGACGTGCATCGCTCGACGAGCTCGTCGTCGGGCAGATTCACGTCGACGTATATCTATCACTAAATACCATCACGAGTACGACCACTAGATCATCACTGACTTACACTCTACGAAATCCAAAAAAAGCTACAAAGAAGATCCAAGAAGTAGCCGACCAGCAGTAGCTAGTCGTCTACTTATTCGTTCAAGTATTTTACTCATTAATTGTCTACCTAATGGGACTTTATACAAATACACTTTACACTCTGAAATATATTTAGCTATAATATAGTATATTATATTGTAGAAAAAGTTCAGGAAAAAAGTCCACAATTATGAAGTCTACAAATAAATTCACACAAAACATGTATAAAAAAACTTATAAAAATATATAAATTACTCGATCAGGATAAATATGTTTTTAATAAATCAATATTCAATATATGTGTTGTTATATATTATATTAATTATTAATGATATATATTTAAATTTCATTTTTCAAAAAATTATTCATTATTTTTAAGAGTGTAAAGAGTATCCTTTTCAGATATCACCCTTTATGCTTTATGCAATTATGAACCAAAAGGTAATAGCAGATGAAAGAAATTTTATTGATAATGCAATTATTATGATTGCAAGAGAATATGTCAGACACACACAATTTATGTAATATTCTGAACGATGATTTAATATTCTAAAATGAATTCGTTCTAACAACTATTTTTGAACTTTGAAGACTTTGAAATAATTTGTTAATTAATTGGGACAATGTTTGGTGATTTTTGACAAAATCTTTTTAATAAATTTAAAGATTTGATACGAATTAATGAAGTTTTCCTTTCCATAAATATCATGTTTCTGCAAAGCAAATCGGGTGATTTCGTTGACGAAAAGAATGCGACAGAATCCTAGGTAAAACAATCCTACTAAACATTTGATTATTAATTTAAGATACATATGTTATATTATTAAAAAATAGGAATGTAATTATCTTAAATTCTATTTTTATGGATATAATATTTCCATCTGTTATATAATTTTAAATTTAAGAAAGCTAGCTTTGTTCTAAAAATCTATAATCGGTGAGATTTTAAGAAATTAAATTGTTCGATTACATCGAAGGAATACAATGAAAATCTCTGTCGCATTCTTCAGCTCGGTCCCCTATGAAGTAATCTATATACTTTAGTGGTCACGCAATACATTCCGTAACATACCTCGTCACTGATGATCAGGCTGGGTCTGCGACCCAATTCTTCGGGCGGTATGAGAGAACCGCGTCGACTGCCACTACCACTTCCGGGTGCTAAGGAGCCCTTTCTGCTGCCGACTGGCGTCACGTCTTTGATCACTTCGATTTTGGGTGCTTCGGGCGCTTTGATCTCTGGTACTTTCGGCTACGATGATCGAAAATCGATCGATTAACCGCGCATTCTTCTATATAATTTAATCCGTTCGAAAAATTATATAATTGTTGAGAGATAAATTAAAGTTTGCCAAACACATTCGTAGTTTATTTTATCTTTTTTTAATAAACAAAAAACAAGATTTAGTTTTGTAAGTAGATGTACCAAATGATAAAGTATTTAAGATTTATTGGATTTAAATCTATCAATCTCGTTTTTTACGTAATGAATGCGAAAGGAATATATAAATAAAATATATTTGATAAATAAAAATTGCATTTTCCCTTTCAGATATCTAACCATCCATTCACTGATAAAACTAGAGATTAGAAAACCATGGTTAACATGAATCTTTGATTACTTTTCAGTTAATCACCAGGCACACTTGAATAATCCTTTTGTGCTCAATGGAGAATCGCAAGTCAACAAAGATTCAAACCAAGATTTTTACCGAAGTATCGAGTTAATACGGTGACCAAATACGATCGTGTACGTAAGGCAATCACGACTGACCCCTCAATACCTGAATCGCGCTCTCCGAATCGCAAACTCGCGGGGATCGGTCGTAATAAGGTCGAAAATAGCGATCGATGTTTTCCCCATCTTCGTTCACGATGACGACGTCGACGAAAACGAAAGACCGATTTCAAGGGGGGTGATATACGAGCGTTTATTCGCCAAAATAGTTCTGTCGCAAACGCGCACTGCACAAGAGGCATTCATTGCTTGCCAAGGCGAGATTCGGGCCGCCTGATTATTACCTATACTTTTAGTCCCTACTCATCCCTCACCTCCTCACCTTTCCGTTCGGCATGCGTTAATTGCGATTATGCAGGTGGAATAATGATATTTATGGCACGGAGACACTGGTCTTTGACGCGAACGAAAAATGTGAAGATGGTCCTTTGATGGTTGAGATCCCTAACAATGCATGTTTTATCGAAATTTCGGAAAAAAATCATCAAAATTTCTTCTCCAAAAAATTGTCATCAGTCACTAGGTTTCTTATTAGGACTACTTATTTTTAAATATGATTAAATTTTGTAATCGAATAAATGTAAATATATAAATGTATATATAAATGTAAATATGAAATAATTATGGAACAAGTAATGAAATTAAAAGATAAAAATCTTCTTAAGTCTTTTAGTAATACAAATAAAATCTTATTTTCATTACATTGATTAATTCATCAACATGCGGACTTCAATCTAGTACAATATTGACTTATCGACAATATGAACTTCAATTATCAAGACACTTAATATTGAAAAATTAAAAGTGACATAAATAATAATTAAAATTATTAAAATTTGTTTAATATATAAAGATATTTAAAGTCTTCATCAATTGTAGGTATCATAGTATCAAGCCTGCTACGTAAATGTTATATTTTTAGATAATCGGTTCGTGAAAAATTTGCCGTCCTTCCGAGCTCGTGAAACGAACGATTCTAGTTTGCACCTTGGTTATAATTAAACCGCCCGCAAATCGGCCGTAAAAATTAATTATCCTGAACCGCATATCGTGAGCTTCGATCAAAACGTCCTCGACTGACGTGATGATTGCGAAATTCGCAGGATTTTCCGTGCGTATGATTTCAACGATTTGGCAAAATTATTCTCCCTTTGCGCGTTATTAATAAATGATGATATTACTCACCTTAGATTCGAATTTCTGCACCATTTGAATTTGACATCATGAAAACAAAAAACACACAATTAGTCAAAAATTCGGTGAATAAATTAATTTTCACTGTGTACTAGAATTTTTTTATAATTCTACTTTATAAACATATATTTTTAATAATTAATTGAATTTTTAATTTATTTTTTTCTTATCAGTTATTTTTGCTATGTGAAATATATAAATATAAGCAACTGTAAATTAACAAATACATCTTATAAATTGTAAATAAATTAATTAAAAAAGTAAATATATATATTATACACATGATAGAACAAAAAATAATTTATATTATACAATACATATATATTTTTTGTATAATATAAATTATTTTTTGTTACATCATGTCCATAATTTACTTTTCTAATTAATTATATATACATACATATATGCATGTACACATAGCTATTCTGCAATAAATGAGATTAAATTATTAATATTATTTAATATATTTTTAATTATTGCGCAGATTAGATAATGATGTCCATATAAAAAGATTTAATTGCTTTTTTACCTGCGTGGCTGGTCTCTCAAGCTTCGTCTTTTCACGACCCGCAAACTCGCCGAAATCGAATTCCCGAGGTTTTTCAAGAACGGGCCTTTCATAGTCTGGAATCTCCGGAAGTTCGTAATCCGCCTCTTTTGCTGCTTTTGATGCCTTCATTTTCTTTACATCGAGCTTCTCTCCCTTCTCGGTTTTCTGCGTAACAAACAATAAATGATCATAGATATCGTACAAAAATGAGAGAAAGTTATCATTGCATTGATTACGGGCTTGTTTAATTTCCTTTACCCAAGTTGCCAGCAGCAAGTAGAAATAATAATTGCAATCTTAGAAAATTACAAAACGATTATTTTTCGTTTCAAATATAAAATCACAAACAATATATTTTTTTTTAAATATAAGATTTAAAAAATACTATTTTTAACGAGATAAAATAATTTCTGATAATGCAATATATTTATGCATTTCTTTTACATAATTTTATTTTTATTTAAAAAAAAGACTATATTTTCTACATAATAAAATATATTTGTAATACTTTTCCACAAAATTATTTAATAACAAATAAAAATGGAAATAACTATAATTGTATTTCACTTTTTGGTATTAAAATTTTTTTGCATTAATTTTATATTATAATTATGAATCTAAATATTAACAACACAATTACGTAATACATTAGAAAAAAATGAAATTATTTTTAATTGCAGTCTTAAAAAAATTTATAAATTTTTAATAAACTCAATAATTTTTTTTAATGAAAAATATTGTAAAAATTAATTTTTCTTGTAGAGAAATTCTTCAGTCTATAGTGAAATATATAATTATATAATTATATTAATATATATGTAATTATATTAATATGAAAGATAAAGATGCGTTGAGATTAATACACAGTTTTATCATACAGAGTTTGTATTATTATGTGTGTATGTGTTAATACGTAATAGTTTAGCGTGTGAGAAACATTCTTATGTATATAAATGCACAGATTAACACAATCCCATAATATTCACATAGTATTGATATACATTTATTATTAGGACCATATATTACACATATATATATATTTAATATTATACAACAGATCCATGAATTATGAAAGAGATCAGAAGGGTTTAAATAGATAAAATAATGCAGAGAATATCTCCTTCACTCTACACAGAGTAAAGAAGAAAAACAAGAAGAGCATGAAGATAGATGAAAGAGAAAGAGAACAAAGAACCAGCCTTTCCTTTACATCGTATTATTATAATAAAATGAAAATTATGTGTAAATTACAGAAAAGTTAGAATATACCAGAGAAGTAAAAGATGTGAGTGCAGAAGTAAGTGTATAACATTTAGAAATACATCGAAATATATGTACAAAGAATATAAATATTATTTACGAAAGAAAGAAAAAGAGAGAAAGAGAACATTTATAGAACATTGAAATTAACTTTGTTTATATTAAGAGAATGTATGGTGTGAGAAACATCGTTTGAAGTACATACAGAAATACAAATATATTTTGGCGCTGTTTAATTGTACAGAATTAGGCGCCATAAGTCGAAATTTAAAAAAGTTTAGAGACACATAGAGAGTGCAACATAGAAAGATTGCAGCAAGATCTTTGCGTTGATCCCCTTCAACAGGGCTACCTTAAGTTCCATTTTGCTTTCAGCCTGCTGAGGCTGTTTCGCATCCTTCCCAACAGGTTTAAGCTGAATCCCCTGAAAGCTGTCGGTTTTAACTTCTTGTTTCGGTGGAATACGGGGTTTCAATTTGGTCGCAGTGGCATCCTTTGGCTGCATTAATATATTATTTTTAGGAAAAAGGTTTTGACGTGTGAGATAAAGATACTTTTGATAGATACTTTTGATGTTCCGTTTGCGAAGAGTCACATTTTGTACAGTAAAGATACACAAACAACGTTAATCTAATAATTATTAATTTAAGAATACAAAATTAAATTCTACGATAATTGATGAAATATTAAAAATTCGGCACTCGTCCTAATTTTGTTATTGTTTCTACATCTACTAGGGAGCAATATATTGGATATATTATACCGAATGATTGTCCATAAATGCGACAAGAGAGATAAACTCACCTTAAGCTCGACTTTCTCTTGAGTTTTCTTTTCTTCCTCAAGTTGCTATAACAAAGAAATTAATAATTATATTAATAATATTATATTATATTTACACATAAGATACTTTTAAAATAAAAATTTATATAATATAACAAAATTTTCCTTTTCATTAAATTATATATTTATATTAGTATTATGTATTTTAAAAATATGCAAATCATATTACATTTTATATTTTAAAAATATGCAAATCACATTACATTGTATAATTGATTGAGATTTTTAATAATTAATTATTTTTGTGAGAATTATCATAATTACCTTGACAGACTTAAGACTTTTCCTTCCTAGAGTGACTTCTTCTTCCTTCTACAAACAGAAATAGAAACACGTGTAATTTTATCTTTTAACAAAATTTATATCCAACAAAATTTATATTTTAAATCACATCTATATGTATGTATAAATGTTAATCTGTATATGCATATGTGTGTTATGTGTGTACCTTTTGTTCTTGTAATTTATCTGTAGGTTTCATCGCCGGTTCCTCTTTCTACAAATAGGAAAACGTATTCTGTTTCATTGTGTCTTATATTACGAATGTTATGTTTCAAATAATTGAGTTATGTTGTGAAAATGTATAAGAAAGAGTAATATAAGCTACCTTCGCTTCTTCTGTTTTGGATTTAACTTTCGATTCCACCTAAAAATGTAATGTGTAAAGTGTTAAATGTGTTTATATGTACATACACTTTATTTAATTCAAGATTTTATCATCACTGAAGCAATCTAAAACCATGACTAATGATTCAGAATTAACAAATGTAACATGCAATAAGTGTTTTGTGTACCTTTTGTTCGTCTAGCTTAGATTGAATCTTCGGTATCTCCTAAAATTGCACGAATATTTCATAATCGCATTGCCGTATTATAATTGCCGTATTATAATTTTCCTAATATCATCTTTTATATTTCGATCAACATTTATGTTTACCTTTAATTCCTCTGGTTTAGCCTTAGATTTTTCCTCGACCTAAAAATATTCGTGCAATGTTCACGTATATATGTGTGTAAAGTATAAAATGTTTAAAATAAAATATAAATAAAAATAAAGTATAAATAAAATATAAATAAAATAAAATATAAATATAAATAAAGTGTACTACTAAAATATAAAAAATGTAACCGTAAATGAAAGAAATAATTGAAAAAATGTGTAATATACCTTGTCTTTTTCTGGTTTAGGCTTAAGTGTCGTCGCAGGCTAAAAGTGTATGCTTATTTGAGTATCGATTTGCTTTTACCTTGTCTTAAATTTTTCTTTTAATTTTCTTTGTTTATATATGTATTTTATAATTTCTGTATCAGATGTATAATATATGTGTATCGCAAAATAGTACAAGTGTAAATGTACCTTTACTTCCTCCGTTTTAAGTTTAGCTTTTGGTTCCTCCTAAAAGCGTACAATGAGGTATGGTTTATTTTTTATGTCAATAGTATAGATTTATTTTAAAAATCTAACCACTAACTTTGTTACTAAAATATACAATGTGATAAATGTTTTGTGTACCTTTGGTTCATCTGATTTTGGCTTAATCTTGGGCGCTTCCTGAAACGTGTACATGTGTTGTTCAAATTAACTATCTGTTTTTAGTTTTTTTTTCATTATCTATTTTGTATATTATTTCCATTAATCATAAATTGTATATACTTGTGTATACTGTTACAAGCTAATTCAAGTGTAAGTGTACCTTTACTTCCTCTGCTTTAGGTTTAGCTTTCGGTTCCTCCTAAAAGTGCATGTGTAAGTTTAATGACACTTTCTTTTTCGATTTGATCAGTTACGATAAAATTAAGTCTAAAATTCAGTGATAAAGAATGCTATATAAAAAATGTTTTCGTATACCTTCGGTTCGTCCGGTTTAGGTTTGGCTTTTGGAGTTTCCTAAAAGTGTACGAATGGAATGTAATATTGTCTCATATTTGTCCCACTTTAAGCAACTTTGAACCACTTTAAGTCTCTCGTATTTTGCTACTTGTACAAATGGATATTGGTGTAAAATAGTGTACATATAAGTATACCTTTACTTCCTCCGCTTTGGGTTTGGCTTTCGGTTCCACCTAAAAATGTTGGAAATGTGTTTAAATATGAACGGAAATGTTTAAATCACGCATTTATGACATGTTATTATAAATATGATCGCTGCTAATTTCGTGATTTTAGAAAAAGAGTATCTTATTGTATTTTATATATTATGTTTTAGTTATAGCCGTATGTATAATGTATTAAAGAATGACAGTATTAAATGTGGGCGATAAATTATTATGAAAATGTAATAGTATAATTGTTTTGTATACCTTCGCATCTGCCGGTTTAGCCTGAGTTTCCTCCTAAAATGTAGTAATAGTGTTTTCAAAATCGTGTTTGTTTAATGTATAAATTTAAAATTGTTTACTTTTTTCTCAATAAGATATGAATATGATTATAAAATAATTAAAGATTTAAAATAAATTGATCATGCTAGAAAACTTTGTACATGTGCGTATATAAAAGTGTGTTTTTGTGTACCTTGGGTGTTTCTTGTTTTCCAACGGTTTTCGGTTTTGTAATCGTTTCCTCCTTCTAGAAAAATAATTTGTATTGTAAGATTTATATGTGAAAAAGTATATATGTTTATTTATAGATGTATGAACTATACAAATAAGAGAGATAAGTATTAATATAGAGATATATAGATATTTTATAATTAACAAATTTATATAAGTTGTTTTATCTTTTTACTTGCATTTTTTATATAACTTTGCAATATAATGCATAAAAAGATTATATGTTAATGATATATTAATACTAATAATAATACATCAAAAGCATATAGCAGCATTGCAATTGTTAATAATAAATATTTGTCTTATCAAAAAATACATACAAAATTATATAGATATTGTATTTCCTGCTTTGCGAAGTGTATAAAAGTTAGTTCTAATTAATACGTCATTATGTACCTTAGACTCATCCACGGGTTTAGATTTTTTCTTCTTTGGTTTCAAAACTTGTTCTTGGTCCTGAACAATATTTTTATAATCAACAAAACTGTTGAAATTTAAAGAAGAACGAGAAGAAGAAGAGCAATAGAAGAACGAGAAGAAGAAGAGAAGAAAATTATAAAAACAGAAGATATCATAAGAATTATCATAAAAACGCATAACTTGGTAGAAAATGTCAATGCATATCTAAGAAGAAATAGTTTCGAAGATTAATAGAAAGAAAGAAAGAAAAAGAAAGAGAAAAGGAGAGAGAGAGAAAATAAAAAATATGTCAACGATTATAAGCTAAGAAAAGAGAAGAAGAACATTGATTATGTAATTAAACACATATAGCGAAAAGAAAGAGAGAAAGAGTCAATGATTAACACTGACAGATTACGAAGAACATTTTATACCTCAGATCCTTCCGTTGATTTAGTCGACGACCTACGTCTAGTGGATGGCTTTTTCTAAAATATTATGCAAGAATATAATAAAATAAAATAGTCGAAAAATGTATGCCGGCATATTTCAAATAAAGTTTTGTACCTTGGGTATTTTTTCCTTATCAAGTGTAGAATCAGTGTCTTTACTCTAAAATAAAAAAAAGAAAAAAATATGTATATTTATTCTGTATCGTGTATACGTGTTTCAAAATGCATGTGATTGTATATGCAAGTACCTTGGGCTTTTTGAATTTGTTCTCATCTATTTCAGGTTTGGGTATATCGTTCTCCTAAAAATATTAAAAGATCAAGTATTCGAAGAAGAGATCACTTCCCGCAAATAATACATATAGGATAAAATCGAAGATAAGAATGAAAATCGAGGAATATTAATTACAAGTATAATTAATTTAAATATTGAACTTATTAAATCAATATTTAGATGAATGTAATTTATTAAATTACTGTGAAAAAGTATATACCGTGGATTCTTTGAGTTTGCCTACGCTGCCTTTAGGTTTGAAAGTAGGTTTAGGTACAGATGTCGATTCCTGTTGCTATCGCAGACAGATTTTGGAAATTACCGAACATCAAATAAAATATTATAAAATATTCTAATGATACACGAATAATTATTGTATAATTTGTAAATATATACCTCGACTTTGTCACCGTTTTTATACGGCGTAATTTTAGAAGTCCGCGAATCCTAAAATACCGATAAATTATAATTCACATTGCAAGGAATAAATTATTTAAAGGAATAAATTAAGCACAATTCGCATTTGTATTTTGTACCTCTAATATTTTAATAGGTTTAGGTGCGTCATCCTCGGCTGTCGAAGCCCAAATATCCTGTGATTTTATTATTTTATTATTTTAGCACAAAAAATTAACACAAAAAATGTATGACAGAAAAAGATATATGTTTCTATACCTCAATATCATCATCGGATTCGTGTGTTTGTGGTTTAGTGATAGGTAGAGAAACATCCTAAAAAATTAAAAAAAAATAAATTGCTTTGAGATATATGCATATTTTACAATTAATTATCTATCTCATCATAATGTGTATGAATATGTGTATGTGTAAATATGTTTGTGTACCTTATCAATTCTGACAGAATTCTGTTCGCGCTCGATAGATTTCGGTGCCCATACATCCTAAAATAATACGTCAATTAATATAAAAAAAAATTATAAAGTTCGTGTTTGTGTGATATGATGTACACATGTATTATCTAACTAACATAATTGTAATGTGTGTAGTAAGTTTTGACATCTCGGTCGAGTGGAGGTTTGTGTGATGTGTCTGTGAGCTTTGCGGTGTCCTAAAATACCATATGTATTCGATTAAAATGTCCTACATATGTGTAAGAATTACATATGCATTTGTGTTTGTGATGTGTATACCTCGTGATGTGAGACGTAGCTATCGTCACGTTTTTCTGATTTCGGCACCGGTTTGTCCTAAAATTTTCACAACGCAAAAATCTCATATGCATAAAATATTATAACATAAAATTTTTTAATAACAAATAATTTTGCATTTATCTCGCATATTACATTTAAAAAAAACAAATTTTTTTAATTTCTATAATTTACTATTGTCGTTTTCAATCGAGAAATAATAGAAATAAATAAAAAATTTAATTAATCACAATTGTGCGAATATTATCTATTTCATCGTATACAATTATCTACCTCATTATCTTGCGTAGATTTGACTTCGCGCACTTTTGATTTATCTTCAGGTGAGCTATCTACATCAGTTCGATCATTAGATTTGGATACACGTCTCTTAATTTTAGTTATCGGTATACCCTATAATAATATTTTTATGTTTGATACTTTATAAATGTATATTCAGATTATATGTGGCAAAATATTTTATATGGTGTACCTCATCATTTTTATGCGGTTTAGGTTCACGTTCCTTTCGTTCGGACCAAATATCCTGAAAGTGTCAAAATTAAAAAAAGTATAAAAAAATCTGTACAAGACGATATAATGTGTATGTGTAATGTGTAATGTGTACCTCGATTTCTTTATTGGATTGACGACTGGATAATTTATCTTTAGCTTTAGGCGAATCCTATAATAATATTGTGCTTAAACTACTGTGTTTTCTCATAAACTCACAATCTATAATAATAACTTATAATAATGTCTTAATGTACCTCATTATTTTTGTGTGAACTATCTTCACGTTCCTTTCGCTTGGACCAAATATCCTAAAAATGTCAGTGTTAAAAAAATATGTAAAAAAATTACAATACGTAAGATCTAATGTGTAATGTGCAATGTGTACCTCGATTTCTTCGTCAGATTGATGACGAGGTGATTTATCTTTAATTTTTGGCAAATCCTAGAATATAATATTATATTTAGAATATTACATATATATTCTTGTAAATTCGCGCTATGTGTGTGTGTGTGTGTGAATGGTACGATATTTATTTAATAAATTAATTTACATTGTCCAATTTTTTCAAATCAATATTTTACGGCCTGATTGTCTTATAATATTAATATTTTATATATATACAATATATATGTATGTATGTATATGTATAATGTATATGTATATATATTAAAAATATATGTAAAATATATGTAAATGTATGTATATGATGAATATGTTATGTACCTCAATTTTGTCATCAGATTTGTGTGAAGGTGTTCTGTCTATATCGTGTAGATGTGGTTTAACTTTTAATAATTCAGATTTGTGGGGTTGTGTTTTAACCATGGGTGTATCACGTAGATTTTTTGGCGTTTCATCTAGTTTGTATGGTTGTGTTTTAACTGTGGATGTTTCACTCAAAGGTGTTTTATCTTTTGATATGCCCTAAAATAATATTAAAAATATTATATTTTTTCTTTCTGATGCTCTCCTTTAGTTCAGTTTATGTTAATTATATACATATGATAATTAATTAATAAATTTATTCGCGTACTTTGTCGTGCTTCTTGGTATCTACATCGCGCTCTTTCGGCTTTGTCGGCGAAATGCTCTAGAAATAGCAATATATTTTGAAAAGATAAACGTAATATAAACTTTATAAATTCGCTCTATATGTAATTTCATATACTCCTTATATACCTCAATCTCTTTGTCAGATTTCTGCGGATGTATTTTATGTTCATGTGTGTCACGTGGAAGTGTTTTATCTTTTGAAACTTCGTCTATTTTATGTGGAAGTGTTTTATTCGTAGATATGTCGTGCAAGTGTATTTTTTCTTTCGGAATATCCTAAAATAATATATTTAAAATATTATAAAGAAAATTTTGAACTACTTTCGAAAAATATTTGTAATTTAAATATATCTGCATACTTTGTCAGGTTTTTTAGAATCAATATCACTCTTTTTGCTTGCCCAAATGTCCTAAAAAAATTGATGTTTTTATAAATACGTAATTTATTCCTATACGATAATACGATTTCTGTACCTCAATTTCTTCGTCAGATTTCTGTGGACGTATTTTATGCGTGGGTGTGTCACGTGGAAGTGTCTTATCTTTTGAAACTTCGTCTATTTTATGTGGAAGTGTTTTACTCGTAGATATGTCGTGCAAGTGTGTTTTTTGTTTCGGAATATCCTAAAATAGTATATTTAAAATATTATAAAGAAAATTTTAAACTACTTTCAAAAAATATTTGTAATTTAAATATATCTGCATACTTTGTCAGGTTTTTTAGAATCATTATCGCTCGCCCAAATGTCCTAAAAAAATTGATGTTTTTATGAATACGTAATTTATTCCTATGCGACAATACGATTTCTGTACCTCAATTTCGTCAGATTTCTGTGGACGTATTTTATGCGTGAGTGTATCACGTGGAAGTGTCTTATCTTTTGAAACTTCGTCTACTTTGTGTGGAAGTGTTTTACTTAATGTGTCACGCAAATGTGTTTTCTCTTTCGGAATATCCTAAAATATTTGATAATATATTTAGTTTTATAAAGAATTCGTTATATATAAAAAGAAATTTGAACTATTCACGAAAAATATTATAATTTAAACTTGCACTTTATCATATTTTTAAGAATCATTATTATTTTCTCAAAAATCCTAAATAATGATTTTTAAAGATATATAATACATGGCTTGTTAATTGTGCAACAATACTATTTTTGTACCTCAATCTCTTTGTCAGATTTTTGCGGATATATTTTATGCGTAGGTGTGTCACGTGGAAGTAGCTTATCTTTCGAAACTTCGTCTATTTTATGTGGAAGTGTTTTACTTGTAGATGTGTCGTGCAAGTGTATTTTTTCTTTCGGAATATCCTAAAATAATATATTTAAAATATTATAAAGAAAATTTTGAACTACTTTCGAAAAATATTTGTAATTTAAATATATCTGCATACTTTGTCAGGTTTTTTAGAATCAATATCACTCTTTTTGCTCGCCCAAATGTCCTAAAAAAATTGATGTTTTTATGAATATGTAATTCATTCCTATACGATAATACGATTTCTGTACCTCAATTTCTTCGTCAGATTTCTGTGGACGTATTTTATGCGTGGATGTGTCACGTGGAAGTGTCTTATCTTTTGAAACTTCGTCTACTTTGTGTGGAAGTGTTTTACTCAATGTGTCGCGCAAATGTGTTTTCTCTTTCGGAATATCCTAAAATATTTGATAATATATTTAGTTTTATAAAGAATCCGTTATATATAAAAAGAAATTTGAACTATTCACGAAAAATATTATAATTTAGACTTGCACGCTTCATCATATTTTTAAGAATTATTATTATTTTCCCAAAAATCCTAAATAATGATGATTTTTAAAGATATATAATACATAGCTTGTCAATTGTGCAATAACATTATCTTTGTACCTCAATCTCTTCGTCAGATTTTTGCGGATGTATTTTATGCGTGGGTGTATCACGTGGAAGTGTTTTCTCTTTTGAAACTTCGTTTATTTTATGTGGAAGTGTTTTACTCGTAGATATGTCGTGTAAGTGTGTTTTCTGTTTCGGAATATCCTAAAATAATATATTTAAAATATTATAAAGAAAATTTTGAACCATTTTCGAAAAACATTTGTAATTTAGATATATTTGCATACTTTGTCAAGTTTTTTAGTATCGCTCTTTTTGCTCGCCCAAATGTCCTAAAAAAATTGATGTTTTTATGAATACGTAATTCATTTCTATACGACAATACGGTTTCTGTACCTCAATTTCTTCGTCAGATTTCTGAGGACGTATTTTATGCGTGGGTGTGTCACGTGGAAGTGTCTTATCTTTTGAAACTTCATCTACTTTGTGTGGAAGTGTTTTACTCAATGTGTCGCGCAAATGTGTTTTCTCTTTCGGAACATCCTAAAATATTTGATAGTATATTTAGTTTTATAAAAAATCCGTTATAAAAAGTAAATAAAAAGAAATTTGAACTATTCACAAAAATGTTTTAATTTAAACTTGCATACTTTATCATATTTTTAAGAATCATTATTATTTCTTCCAAAAATCCTAAATAATGTTGATTTTTAAAGATATATATAATACATGGCTAGGTAATTATGCAATAATACTATTTTTGTACCTCAAATTCTTCATCAGATTTTTGCGGATGTATTTTATGCGTGGGTGTGTCATGTGAAAGTGTCTTATCTTTTGAAAGTTTGTCTATTTTATGTGGAAGTGTTTTACTCGTAGATGTATCATGCAAATGTATTTTTTCTTTCGAAATGTCCTAAAAATAATAAATTTTGTACTTTAGTAAAAAAAAAAAATCCAGCTATTTCGCGAAAAATATTTGTAATTTAATTAAAAATTTTTAAAAATTAAGAAATAAATTAAAAATTTATCTGAATTTATATCGCGATTTCTATACCTCAATTGCCTTGCCAGATATCTGCGGATGTGTTGTACTTATCGTTGTATCATGTGGAAGTATTTTATCTTTTGATTTGATTTCAAATTTCTCTTGTGCATATGTTCTGTTTGCGGGTGTGTGAGGTTTGTGTGTCTTGTCTGGTGATATATCCTAAAATAATATTAATGTTAAATAATATAAAAAAATATATGCTTTTAGATTAAATGTATATAAGTATAATAGATTCGCATACTCGGTAACGTGGTGCAGATTCATTATCATATTCTCCCAGATTATGAATTCTCCATGCATCCTAAAATTGATAATGTATAACGCGTTCATAAAAAATATACAGTTCTTATTATATAACTCATATGTTATGTGTTTAAATATATACATAGTTTCTTTTATATACCTCAAGTTCATCATCCGAATCGCGCACGTGTGGCTTAATCGCAGTTTGAGGTATATCCTAAAAAATTTATTTGAATGTTATTTTTATTCCAAATATTTATAAGAAACGTTCCTTCTTTTTTTAGAAAGACTATATTAAATAAAACATGTATGTGCAAATTATATAACGTGAAACATGCACCTTCACTTTACGATCAGTTTCATGAACGTACAAAGTTACTTTTGAACTTGGTTTCTTTCGAAGATATTTCGTCTTTTTATATCATATATCTTAAAAGTCGTGCAATGAATAATGCAATGACAAATGCATCACGTACCTCGTATTTTCTTACCGGTTTATCCTTATCGCGCTTTGTCAATTTAGACGACCAAATATCCTAAAATTACGCAGTGTAATGTATGTTCTAATAAATAATGACATAAAAAACACAATTGAGAGTAGTATGTGTCATCATGTACCTGAATCTCTTCCTCGGGTGCATGTATGTGTAGCTTGGTCTTCGGTGTGAGTGTGTTCTAGAAAGATAGCCATTTCATATAAAAAAACAATAAAAAATAGAATAATTTATGTAATTAAATTATGTATAAGAGTACTTTATTTTCAATTGTTCGCGAAATAGTTCTTGACTTAAATGCAGATAAATTCTGTAACAATATGGCATAAATCTTTCTGGTATGTTTTTTTTTGCGCACGAGATCTACAGCAATCTCAAATTTCTAATTTCGATTTCTAAAGAATTTTTATAAATAATTGTATCCTAAATTCTGTGTTACATATTTAATAATAAATGATATATTTCATAGAATATGAATAAATTATATCTTTATGTTATTTTAATTAAAATAAAATAGTAGTAAAATAAATATTTTATAGATTAGATTAACACAAGCTGCTCTAACTAATAATAAGTATCAAATATCCAGCTTTCAATACATTAAAAAATAGTTGATTAATATAAAATATTAAATTTCTTCTTACGTCGATTCTAAGAAGGTGTAATAATTCACTCATATTTTTTATACTTACTTTGTTTACCAAAAATCATAATTAATGATAATAATTAATTAGTTAATCAACAATAAAATATTATGTTAATACCGTGTAACTTTAATTGAAAAAAACTTTAAGATACATACATATATATATATATATATATATATATATATATATATGTATATATATATATATTTTTTTTTCTCACCTTTTCGACGGTTGCTTTCTTTTTTTCTAAGGTAGAGGATCGTCTGCTTTCCACTTTGATTTCTTCCTCGGTCTAATAAAATAAATTAAAATTTAATATAAATAATTTTATAATCATACTAATATCGTATTAATTTCCCAATGAATAATCGATATTTTTTAATTTTTAGCTTAGTAAAATTAATTAGAAGAAACTTTAATTATTATTAAGAACCATTGTATTTATATGATAATAAAATAATTGGATCTATTATTTATTTGATATTATATAACTAATTATTTTATTCAAATAATAAAATTGAATTTTTTATATTATTAATTTATTTTCAAAAAAAGAAATGTTGTGAAATTGTTTGTAATTGTTCTTGGCAATGTCTGTACGTGAAACATAGATATATTTATGTATATGTATATATGTATGTATATGTGTACCTTCTGTATAGAAAGACGTCGTGGTGTCGCAGTGTCATCATCTATCTGTATCATGATAACAAATTAAATAAAAATATAAAAAAATTGTACATTAGAAAGAAATATTTGCATCTAATATAAAATGAACTTTTGCACATTTCTAATATTATATTATATTCTAATATATCTCATACCTGAGTTTTGATAAGCGAACTGCGACGGCTTTCTACCTTGAGTTCTTCCACCTAAAATATAACAATTTATTTGTAAAACTTTTCTTTACAAGATCTTTACAATTATTATTTTAAAAAACATATGATTGATGCTCACTCTGCTTTCTTTACGAGTTGCTACAAGTTTCTCGGATTTAATTTCTTCAGATACCTATATAAATAATATCATATATAATACAAAAAATTAATTTTCAATAAATAGAATTGTGTGATTATGTGATTAGTACGAAATGGCATATAATGATAAGAAAATGTAAAGAATAAATTATATTCACCTCTTTGGATTCGGGCTCTTTTTTCTTTATAATCTTTTTCTGGGGAAAAATAATTAAAATTTTAAGAGACAGAGAGACACAATTAGAATAATAATAACACAAAATTATATTTGTAAAGATAACTGCACTCACTTTTTCTTCTTCCTTTTTATCTTCAATTTTATCGGCGGGTTTTTTCTAGAAACAAATAATATAAATAATATAAGTTATCACGTATTATTTCTACAATAATATTAAGAAAGTTAAACATTTAAGAGAAAGAAATACAAGGAAAAAGTAAATATCAAATTATGTTCTTACTTTAATAGATTTCCTTTCCTCGACATTATTTACGATTTCTTCATCCTTCTACATATGCAAAGAAATAAAATAATGTTAACAAAGTATTTTACTTATGTAATATTTTCGAATATATAGTAATATCAGAAATACAAAAAGATCGCAGTACAAATACAATTTAAAATATTTTCATTAGCACACACATAAAGCTCTAATATGCGCCTCTTTCATGTTTGCAAAATTTTTCATGCAGATAGAAAAAGAAAGCCAAGCAAAGATTCGGATAGTAGGATTAAATTTTGTATAACACACAAGATAAATTTAAAGGAACCAGCTTCTGGGATATAAGGAGAGATATGATTTCTTACACTTTTCTAAAAGCTTTCGAAAACTTGCATTTTCTAAGCAAAGAAAAATAAATATTGAAGCAGTTTCTAACAACTCTAAACGTGCGACCGAGAGACTCGTTCGAAGAAACACAGCGAATAAGCCGAAATTATAAATGGATACTGTGAAAAATAAGATAATATAAGCAAAACCAATAGATATTAATTGCATGAGGATAATTTTACAGCTGCAAAATAAAATCTCCGATCTCATAATCAAAAGAAAAATTGAAGAAAGCTGAAAATAATTGCGGCATTTTACACACGTTTATATCTTGCAGATTGACGAAATATTTTGCCAAAAGCTACAAGCCGCAAATTGCTAAATTCGTTCGAGCAGAATTATTTTTCGAGCGCATACATTAAATTTAGCCAAAACCAAGGTTTCGATTTCACACTCACCTGTAAGATCTCCATTTTCTGAAACAAAATATATTTATTTTTCTTTTAATATATACATTTTTTTTGTATTTTAATATTTCATAATATTTTATATAATATTTCTGTACTTTTTATATAATACTTTAAATAATACTTTTTTAATTATTAATATATAATAATTAACAATTATAAATTAATCATTATATATAATTAAAGTCTAAAAATTCATCTACTGCGTATCTCTATGTACACTACATTTAATATAAAAAACTTTTATAAATATTCTAATGCACACAGTACATATAAGCGACAAGGTAAAGGTATAACAAATGACAGTAGAAACAACAAAACAAAAAGTACGGCCCATGAACAGAAAGATCTAAATAATGCAACACAATTATTATCACGATGTAATGTGTTCTGACTATAGTGTACTGTTCTTTTTTTCATAGAAAAATCTTTTACATGATTTTTCTGAAAAAATTAAAAAGAAATAATTGCATCGTACCTTCCCAACCTCTGGTTTATAGATACCATTCGGTTTCAGATCGGGCTTATCCTTAAAAATAACAAGAAAAAAATGATTTATCTTACGGAGAAAATATGCACATACTATGTAATGACTTCAACAACAGTTTGTAAAAAAAAAAAAGTTTAAATAAATTCATATAATTATGTAGCATAAAATAAGAACTTTATTACTAAAAATAATTGGCTCTTATTGCCAAAAATAATATATATAATAATAATATTATTATAAAATTATGTTATCAAATGAGAAAGAATGTTATATAAATTAACAAAAAGCATCTATCTATAGTGTCAGTGTATGTTTGTGTATAGTGTATGTACCTCGACGCGAGAGATTACTTCAGAATCCGATTCTTCGAGAATAGCTTCTGTGCTGATAATGCTGGACTCAATTACACTCACCACTTCCTCCTCCTCCTCTTCCTCCTCATATTCTTCTGATTCTTCACTCTCATCGTTCAAACTTATTACCTTTTGTCGAGACAAGCATTTAACAATATAACAATTATCGCGTCGAGGAGTCGAAAGATTGATCGTTTTTTACAATTTTACGACATAATAAACACATTACTTTAATGCGATTTTAATATATATTTAAAAATCAATTATCGATAAATAATTACCTAACAATATTAATTGCGAAGATGACGTATCTGTTTCTAATGAATTTTGCAAAACGATCGATCTTTCTGCATCTGTATCTTATGTTGTTTGTAGCCAGTGTAAGAATATTTTGTTAATCACAAGGAAGTATATTGATGGAAGGAATAAGGGAGCAACAGAAAATTAAATAAAATTTTAATTAATCTGCTCATATAATCGGCCGCTACCTTCTCTTTCTTTTCCTCTTTTTTCTCTTCGACTTTCTTCTCCATCTTCTTCTCTTCCTCTTTCTTTTCCTCTTTCTTTTCGACTTTTTTCTTTTTCTTTTCTTCCTCTTCTTCGTCCTTCTTCTTTTCCTCTTTCTTCTGTAATTTAGTAAAGGGTTTGCATGCGACATGGGGAAAACATATCTCATTCACGAATGACCATAATTGTTGCGAAAATATTGGTTTAAATATTTACATTAAAATTCTATGTTTTAACTTCAATCATTTAATCAACATGCTAATTTTTCATGAGAGGAAATTTAAATTATTTTATACTTATTTACAATACATGATTTTTCGGGCTTACTTCAAGCAAGGAGTGATTCTTATAATTATAATTCAACATGCCATCTTTTACGAAAAGAGCTAAAATTTCCTATTGCTTATACATGTTGGATTACGAATTCACATAAAGATATAATAGAAAAGGAGAACAAGAATTATTATTCATATATTAATACAAATCGATATAATTTACGATTAAAATAATTAAGAACACATAGAATTACTTACTTTAACGACGAGTCGGGCCGACGATTCGTCTTGTCCATATTCGTTACTCACGACAATTTTATACGTTCCCGAGAATTCCGTCGATGCCGAAGTGATGGTCAGTTTCATGTCCAGGCCATTAAAGGAGATCATGATATCCTTCGACGCTTTGACAACTGTCGAATCTCTGTATTTGTATTATAACATTATAAAATAACCGTGAAAATTTCATAACAAAATTTATATTCAATTTCTAAAATTGAATATTTTATATATATATGTATTACAAAAATATCCTATTAATAAGAAAAAGACATTATTTTTAAATGCATACCTGTACCATGTGATAGTAACTTTCCGATCTTGCGTTGAAAGAATAGCAATAAGTTCGACCGTCTTGCCTTCCTCAACAGTCTAAAAATACAAGATAGATATTAATTTAAAAAAAAAACAATTTTTATTCTCGTGGTAGATATTAATTAAAAAATGCTATAAGTAGTACAGTAAAAATACTTACAATTGATTTGAGACCGGTAGCAATTTTCGGTTTCTCTCCTTGATCTGGAATTTCTGTCACTTCCACTACTTGCGACGTAGCTTCTCCCTTTTCATTGCGTGCTACTAATTTGTACACGCCTTTGTCTGTCACCGACATTTGTTCGATTTCGAGTTTGACGGCAAATTCACCCTGTGTTTGAAAAAATTATTTTATCAAAACTCACTCATCAAATAAGTTTTTTAATTAATGATGAAGTTTTTTAATTAATTTTTTAATTAATGATTATAATATAAATAGTTACACGCGATGGCAGTAAAAATTTAAAAAAATAATTTTGTTTTTAAACTGAGTTTTAGATTTAAAAAAAAATCTTTCTAATTACTCATGATTTTACTAATTTTATTGCAATATAGTTTTATATGATAGGACTTACTTCTTTGACTTGTTCGACATGTAACTTGTGCCTGCTGTCCTGTTTAACGGCTTGAGTCTCCTTGAACCAGGTACAATCGGGCGCAAATTGAGAAAGAACGTGACATTCAACTATCACAGTCTTCTTCTTAACGATTTTCACAACTTTCGGCTTCTCTCTAATTACGGGTATAACTGAAATCATAATCAAAACGATAATTAATATAACTAGTTAATTTAAAGAACAAACAAAAAACAGAAAAAACTTACTCTCTACGTTCAACGTAAGATTAGCGTTGAGTTCACCGAGTTCATTCTTAATGTTGCACTTGTAGAGGCCGGAATCATCTGGTCCGGGGTCGTTCAGAGTCAATTTGATGTAATAAATATCTTCTTTCTCCTGGACGATACTGATGGAGATCTTCGAAGACTCTTTTACCACCTTGCTAGCGTGAGTCCACACGATTTGCGGTTTTGGCTTCGCCTTAACCTTGCAATCCATAACGACGAGCTTGCCTTTATTTTGTGACTGTATCCGCGGTTTCTCTACGAATGTCGGTCCGTCCCCTTCCGGTTCCGGTTCTGCTTCGATATTCAAATTTAGATTGGCGTTACTCTCGCCGTACTCATTCTTTACGTGACATCTGTACGTCCCGCCGTCCGGTGCTGACGGATCCTGTCATTGCCAAAAAATAATGTAGAATGATTTCACTGAGAACTTATGAAATACAATTAAACCTGTGTAATATCACATATAAAAATATTATTTTTTAATTTTATAGAGAAAAATTTATATGTATTGAGGTTCTAAATGTTTGAAAATTTACAAGAAATTTATTTTAATATTTATAGTAATTAAAAAAAATAATTAGAATCATTTTCAAAGAAGTCATGTTCAAAGAAAGACCTTTATTTCCATGATAAGCTCGTAAATGTCTTCCTCGACCGTCTTAGTCTTGATCGAGATCTTCGACGATTCCTTTACTATATTGGTGCCGCGGAACCACGTGACCTCCGGCTTGGGATTTGCCTTACACTTGCACTTCATAGTGATCAGCGTACCGTTCTCGTTCGGGATGATGCGAGGTTTCTCGACGAAGGACGGAGCAAAACCCGCGCCCTCCTCTGCATCTTGGAAAGATCCACGGTTAGACATCGTCGACGAAGATACGCGCGTCGCTTCCAGATATTATACCGGAAGCGCGATCTCCGTCACGATCGCAAGTCATCGATGACCCGCGATCGCGCGATTCCTGATGACGTTAGTTGTGTTGTTGCAGCTTAATGAGAGTTACGAAGCAAACTTACAGAGACTTTCACGATTGGTTAGCAATAGCGCGGCTGAGCTTACCTGATAGAACCGATTCATCGCAATCGATACGATCTATTCATCGAAAAAAGAAATCACTTGTCGTCTTTATGAAGCGCGATCATGAAATGTATTTCGCACGAAGGAGTCTCGAGGAAAGTCGGCGGGATTTACTATGGACGAAGTCGACAGAAGGAATTTCATTGTCTAAACTGTTTGTAGCTTCGATATTCAATTTTTCAAACGAAAAAAATATGTACGAAAAATAAAATTACTTCAATTATATTAAAGTTGAAGAAATGTAAATATCGAGCTCTTTCTAATTTCAAAACTCGCAATAATTAATTGCAATTAAAAACTCGATGATTGTTCTTGAACAGTTCGATAATGTGAAGAAGCGATCACGTGTTTAACACGATAAACTTGACAAATATTAAGATACGATCAATATTAAGATACGACAATGAGAGTCCTCCAGGGCGCTTCGAGAGGGACTTGCCTTGGAAGTTGAGGGAGATGTTGGCGTTACTCTCGCCGAAGTTGTTAAAGGCGTTGCAACGGTAATTTCCACCGTCGGCCTTGGTCGGATTCGAGATCTCGAGGGTCAGCAGATACGTGTCCTTGCCGGTGGCCTTGCGCAACATTTTCACGCGCTTGCTGTCGGTGATTGCTTTGCTGCCCTGGTACCACGTTATGTCCGGCACCGGATGTGCCTCCAGGATGCACTCCATGATGAGTATGTCGCCCTCTTGGCGGATCGTCGGTTTCTTCGGAAAGCGCGGCGGCTTACCATCCGGTATTCTGCGTAAATCGACACGTCAGAAACGTCGACTCCGCCATTAAACGGACGAGCGGAATGTAAAGTCTTTTTGATGGATGACGTCGTTTCTCGTCTCTACCGTTCCACCTGCCACGCAATGCGGATGTTCTCGAAGACGCGGCGTGATGTTACGAAAAGGAATCGCAAGCTCTCTTTCTCTTAATCTGTCAAATTTCTTAGTCAAATAAATTTATATTTTTTTAATTCAAAAAGAGCTTGCAATTTTTGATATATCTTATACAAGAGCATTCGCAAAAAAATGTAAATGTTGTCATAAAGAGATTTTTGAAAACTTGTTTGGATAATCTTTAAAAAACCTAATAAAGTGAAAAAAATAAATGTTATACGAATGAATATCTGTAATATATTCATAATTTGATCAAATAACTTTCAGCTTTCCTCGTAAAATCGTAAAAATATTAATATTTAATATATACTTTGATATATAATAAATTGTACAATATTTGGCAAGAATGTGCAATTAAGTGTAATGGATTAAATTCTAACACCTATATAAATCATTAAAAAAGAAGATAAAAATCTAAAGAAATGTTTAGACATTATTTTTACTTCACTTTGCCGTAAATTTTATTTCGATAAAAAAATCCATTACACTCGAAAGAGACTTATAACAACCCGTTATTCGTCACTTTTTGCGTTGCAATTAATTCGAGCCTAATTAGATTAAAATTAAAATTATCGTTCACTTTTGTAACCGAGAAAGTTACAACTTGCAAGTTTTCATCACGCCGCGTGGGAAGAAGCGCGCGGTTCGCAGGCGGCGTGGCAGGGCAGTATGTCAAGAATAAATTTCTCTCTTTATTTTCCGATGCCTACTTGAGCTTGTCTCCACCCTCGAAGTTTAGATTAATGGTCGCCACTCCTTGGCCGTGCTTGTTCTTTGCCACGGCCCTGTATTCGCCTGCGTCCGCTTTTGCCACATTGTCGATCCTCAGCCTCGCAAGATGATACAGCTTCTGATCGAGCTCTAGAGATGTATTGAATCGTCCGCCTTCTTTCACCTCTTCGGTACCGTGATACCTGCGTGATCGTCGTCAATATGCCAAGTCCAAGTATCCGTTGAATACCGATTTTTCCATCGCAAATCGCGAACGCGCGCTTAGAAGTAAACGTACTCATTTGTAAACTTTGAAACATCGGAGAGAAATCATCAAGATCGTTTCGATATATTAATATATCAATCATCTATAAATACGAAAATTATGTATGTTATATTTAATGTATGTTATTTAATATGTTATATTTTTCTTTTCTGATCTTTAAATATCTTTAATCCGAAGATCTCTTTTTCCGACGATGAGTTTTCAATGTACTTCCTCGCGCGCATCGCAATTTCAAATCTTACCACTTGACACTCGGTTTCGGATCGCCGACAAGTCGGCATTCAAAGGTGATGGTGTTACCGTCATCGGATTGTCTTATCACCGGTCGTTCGGTAAAGGTCGGTTTAATACCGTCTTCAGGTACGGGTGCCTCATCGCCTATGTTCGACACAAATGATCGACATATCGAGAATTGTTCATACATCTTCTTGCTCGCTTATTCAAACCTTTCGCTGCGATTGATTAATGTTAGATTCGCACGTCATTATACGACGAAGAGAGAATTTTTTTTATATTTATTTTAATTTTTTTTAATTTTTAAAAATTACTTACCGTTTAAATAGATTGTTTGCATTAAAGAAAAATAAAATATTAGAATAAAATTCCAAAGAAATCAATTTTCCTAAATTTCAGAAATGATTTAGCAGCGAAAAGCTTAAATATACGAAGCATTTGACAGTTCGATGCGAGATCAGGAGTCACGTATCGATTTGTGGCGCGCTTGAATACTTTCTTGGAATCTCTAAGATATACTATAAACATTTCTGTACATAGAAAATAATACCGCAGTTTAATTAACATTAAATCTAATCAATATTTTACATAATCATACCGCTGCATGTAAGAAGTACGCTTTTAAGGATCACGATCCTCGTTGAGACCGACACCTAGTAAATTAGGTTGCTTTCTCTACTTCTCTTCTTCTGTCTATTCGCAATGTCTCGCTTTTGGTAGAGTATAAAATAGTGTTGTCCAAGTGTCACCTGCTCCATTTTTCTTTCGCACGATTTTGACGCTCGCGGTTAGATAAAAATAGGAACACTGCACAGTTATGCACAAGCTTTCGTCAAACGCTGTTTGCGAGTGAGTGAGATGGGAGTGATGTAATATGTACATATATCATCGTATAAAATCGAAGTATCCTATTAATTGTGGAAATTTAATTTCGTCATTCTGACAATTTTTAAATCTATTTGTATCTGACTAAAAATCGACCACCATGGAAGATATGTGTTGTGTCTGAATGTACGTTAACGTTGGTATTAATCAGCGATGTAAATATTTATAGTACGACAAAACACATAAAAAGTTTCAAACATCTGTTTTACTTATAAAAAATCTCTACGAGCGAATTAGAATGAAAACTACTGAAGCACGTGACGAAAGACGGATGTGAGTATACATATATACAATATTAGAGTCGTCATCGTTAAAAAACTACATGGATATCTCGCTATTCGTAAAAAATATTTCCATACTTGCCATGACTTTTTTTATTATAATTTGATATAATAAATTGTTATAATTAAAAAATATCCCTAAAATACATTCTCTTTTTAAAAGTTATATTTTCAACTAATAAGATTACAAAACTTAATCTTGTATATCTTTTACAGTGGTATGTGTGTCTCGTATATAACTATATTAAAATTTTAACTTGCAATTATAATAAAAATATATGATATTTTTTACTACATTAGAATTAAAATTGTCTATAAAGAAATATATGCAAGTAAGGAAATATATGTCATTAGCGGATCTAATCACAGAAATTCTGTGTAATTGTATTTGTGTGTACATGTGTGTGTGAGTGAGCCTTAGAGTGGCGCATCCGTCCACTGTGAAAGGGTGACTTCCTCGTCAACACTCACACACGACACAAATACGATCGTATGAATAGAGAGAAAAGATGTCATCGAAGCAACCTAACGAAGCGTCAATATGTAAGGCTAATCTGTTATCGCATCTCGTGCATAAATAAATACGTAAATCTCGTCTTAAAATGCGAGTGCACGAGTAAGTCCACTGCTAATCCGTACACGCGAGATGCGATTTGAATTAATACGTGATTGAAGCAGTAGTATACACGTTATTACGAGTAGTTGATTATTCTGATCCGCTTTCTACGCAAATTTCAACGGTGCAAAATTCGTGAGAGACAAACTATAGTATGTTCTCTCGCAAATGTCATTTAGTCCATTAAAAATCAATCAACGGGCTGTATATCGTGGCTCGCGTCGAGCCGACATCGATACGTGCTCATCGCTCGACCGAGACAAACCATTAAAAAATAAAGACATTCCGCATATATACAATAATTACAAAATAAAGTAGAAGAAAGAGATTGTTGAGAAGAATGGAAAGCTGATGGAACGGAAAAAAATTAAATAATATAAACTGCGGATATACATGTATATACATACATATTGGTGTGACATAAGTGTTGACATAAAGGAAATAGATAAATAGGGCAGAGAACTGAGATGAAGAAGAAAGTTGGAAATGAAAGAGATCGATATACATCCCGAGTGAGAAAAGAATTGAAAAAAGGCACCGATGATACGCTTTATCTCCCGCTAAAAAAGCGGGAGAGACTAAACAAAATGTAATCTTGTCTTTAGAAATTTTTACTATTAAGTAGTCTAAGAAATTTATTAAATATCCATTCAAAAAGTTATTAAAATAATATAAAAAGGAATTTGTAGAAATTATTAAATTGTAGCGGAAATATTTCAATACAAAAATTAAATGTTTTGAAAATTCAAAGTTAAACTTGAGAGCAATTTTGCAATCTAAATAAAAAGTTGTTACTCATATAATACTGTATAATACTCGTCGAGCGTATACTTGTAAATAAAAAATTAAGCAGATGGACGCAAAATATAAAAACGGATCATCGGTTGAAATACATAACTTTACGGTTATTTATCATAAAAATAGCAGATACTTACTGTCGAAATTCAGGGAAATTGTAGCGTTAGATTCGCCAAGCTCGTTCTTTGCTGTGACCTTATATTTGCCAGCATCCTCGACGGTCACATTTTTTATTTCCAGAGTGGCAAAGTACGAGTGGCCATCTTTATCGACGGTCAGCTGAAACAATTCAAATAAAATAAATGTACAATAAGATTATCAGCATTCGAATTTTCCTTGTAAGAAAATTGAAGAATTAAAAATACATCAAGAAGCTCTTTGGAAAAAAATAAACACAAATCATGAGTGAATAATTCGCAATAATGATATTATTCATGAGTCTTTCCTGAGTTTATATATTGTTATAGACTTAGGAAGAATAAATTCGCATATAATCAATAACGAACCTTGTGCCTTGGCGAATCCTTGACCATGTTTCCGCTATGAAACCATGTAATTTTCGGCGTGGGATCGGCTGTGATACGACACTCGAAGAGCAGCCGTTTGCCATCGTCCTCTTGCCTGATCGCGGGCTTCTTCGCGAAAGTCGGTGCAATACCGTCAACTTGTCTGTAAGCGCGAGACAAATATCATGGACTCTGAAATAATTCTCGCGCCAATTTATAAGTCGTTAATGCGTTAATCGTCGCGCTGCAATTGCATCGCGGACCAATGCAAAAAATTTAGATTCTACGTCACGTGCGCGTTTCGTACATCAACAATTTTAATCGATTTCTGGCGCAATCGATAACACATCGGTGAATTAAATAGCGTAAAATCACATAGATTGTTACAGAAAATCGCATGCCTCATAAAAATGGTATATAAACTGGTTAAAAATTAGAATACTACACGCCTTGGTTTATTTGACAGAATAATTAAATTTTTTTTAAGTTAGATAAGTGATGAGGTAAGAAAGATACCGATGCTTGGCAAGGTTTAAGAAATAAGAGAAGAGCGGCTTGAGATTCTGTTAAAACATTTATCGCGACTTTCGCGAATTGCTGCCAGGAATAACTTTTGTTTTGTTTAGTCGACGTTTTCTGATGGAAGGAGGCTCGTTCAACAGCTCGTTCTGATGGTCATCCGACAGTTAACAACCACTTTAAAATCCGACTTGGGTACATTGCCATTATAATCGATATTGCTTTCTTTCTCTCTCTTGCCTTTTGTTGATAAGTCAATGTTTCAAGTATCTGACTAAGACTTTTTAGAAGATCTAAAGTTCTGGATTTGATATAAGAGTTCTAAAATAATTTTTCTACAAAATTTTTCTATATATTTTCCAACGCTCTCTTATTATTCTTAAAAAAACGAAGATCAATATTTAAATGCATATTATTAAGGAAATCATTCAAGAAATCATTATTTTATATTGATATATTTCTTAGTCGGTTATTTATGACTCGACTTTCAATCTTCAAAACTTTCCTGTAACAATGTTACTTATGACAGTTGAAAATAAAATGACAATTGTTGAGACTATCATTTCTAATTTTTTTCTTTACAGAGGAATTGCATAATCCAAGTTATAAGATCATCGGTGTTTATTCACGCAAATTGGGATCTAGAACGAGAAGCATGTGCTTAAGCCTCGCAACACGAGTGGACTATAAGTGCATCAGCACCGGCGCACGTTGCGGCTAAGTTTAGCGAAGAAATAGGGTGTTTCCTCTCGACTTTCACCGTCGTTAACCGATACACATATATCGGTACATTTTCTTACGATTCAAACTTTTATTTTCGATCAAATGTTTGTTTCAGTAAATTTGCAGAATAATAAGATTCGAATACGTTGATTCTTGCCAAAGTTTCGCAAGTTACAGTCGTGGATGACGCTTTCCAATTATTCCTGCAGTTATCCAAAATCTTTCCTTAGCTTCAGCATGGAATGCAAACCGTAATGCGTTTTAGGAGACGCGTAGAAACGAAAAGCCTCGCGTTACTTTTAGAAATTCACGGGAATCACGTCTGTCGATGCGATCCGAAAATATAACTTCTCATCGCATCGTCGCTGCCGGCTGCGACTCGAGGGAGAGAGAGAAAGAAAGAGAGAATCTTCAAGAACGCTCCCGACCCAGTTTCGAATTATCTTCGAAAATCGCATAAATTGCATCAAAATACGGGAATAACAGAGAGGCACGCGAAAAGAGATTTGACTGATAAATGCTTTCCGCTCGCAAAGATTGCACAAAGATCTCGTGATCCAAAACAGCTGCGCCGTAATAATAAATCGTTGTTATTATAATTAAACTATCGCGATGAGACAAGATATTTCTTGAGTTATTTTATGATCGCGCGATTATTAAAGAAAATGTTCTCTCTCTTCGTTTACAAAAATATAAGATATATGAAATAATATATAGTTTTCTACAAGTAAACAAAGAGAAGAAAAATTCATTATACATACATTACTTATTTCCTAAAAATAAAAATGTATATTAAATTTTTACTAAAAATTCATTATATATATGCTTTACGAATTGATCGAAATAAATATTTTCAAGATTACTACTCAACATTTTTTATAAATTTTTGAAATACAAAATATGATTTTTCATTTTCTCATTTCGTCAGCTGTAGTATGATCAATCTTTCATCTTTTTCGCCCTCGATTATAGGTATGATGTACTATACAGATCATAGTTTGCATGCGAGATTTAGTGGCTTCTAACTCGCAAGAGACAGCGTTCGAAATAATCCGGCCACTTTGCGGTTGAATCGCGCGCACGAGGCACGAACAGTGTCCAAAACTAGAAGACCTTAATTCTATTTCTATCCGCGTTTCGCGTTCGCGGTTCCATCTGCGTGGGCGGATCGGTAAGAAACAGCCGATCACGTCGTCGGATTCAAACGCTCGGCGAATCGTCGTGATTTCTATCGAATTGCTTTCGAACGCGACCGAAAATAGCAGGCATACCGCGACGATTATTCTCAGTCGGATCGATTTAACGCTTACTCGAACGTTATCGGCAAAGAAATAGCTCAGCAATCAGCACCAATGAGGAGTTGAAGAAGTTAAAACTCTCTTCATGTAAACCTCTCATATCGAATACATTACGTTTTCCTAATTTTATATCAAACTTCCAGAATTTTTTCAACAAAAAAATTTAAATTCGACGTTTCTTTCGAAAGATTCGTGAAAGATTAAACCGAGATTTAATGAAAAAGCTATTTAATGTTAGAATTTAATAGGAAGATTTAAAATCGAATATTTGAGAACAGTTGAATTTTATAAACTTTAAATGCATAGATTATATTATGACATTCTTTAGGATTTCCATTACACACTTGGTATTCCTTCTTATTTAAAATTGATGTAAAAAGAGTAATGTTATCAAATTATATTAAGAATTTAATTATTGACAATCACATGTCAATCACAAGCATACAGCGCAAGCACACTCACCTCCTCCCGATAGATTGATCGGCAGCTAAAATCATAAATAAAAAACGAAAGACAACGAAAAAAAACGCAAAAAAGGAAATAAAGCAAAAATATAATAAAATAATAAAAACGTATTAATTCGTAAAGCAAAAGCGTAAAACTAATTAAATAGAGCCTGGAGAAGCGACAAACGAATCATTCTCTCGAGATGTAAACTTTACTGACTTACTTCTCTCTAGGCTCATCCATTGCTAGAAAAGATATAACGACGAAATATTAATCAAAAAACGAATTTAAAGAAATTGCAAATAAAGAAAATTATGTATTCGCAAATATCTATCAATCAAAAAGATATTGAGATTTTTTTATTTTACGCATTTAACGTAAAAATAATTCCGACATTATTTTTACTTAAAAAAATTAATATTCTCGTTTTAAACACTACAATTAGCCAGTTTAAATTAACTTTTATATAGAATCTCCTTTTTTTTAGAATCGGAAATATATAAAAACAAATATAGATTGGCCACAAGTGGAATATGTCGCTCAAAGATTAGATAATTATCTTTATATCAATATTATAATAATATTGAAAATATTCGAAAAAATATTACTAGACGAGAAATAATCAGTATATGGAAACTTACGACTAAAGTTGAGGTTGATGGAGGCGGCGACCTCGCCCATCTTGTTCTTCGCCTTGACCTTGTAGAGGCCGGCGTCGGTCTCGATGACATCGTCGAGCTCGAGCACCACCAGGAACTTGTTAGTTCCGACGCTCTGCATTTTGAAGTTGGTCCTGTCATCCTGGCTGAGCTCGGTCTCGCCGCGAAACCAGGCGATCTCGGGTTTAGGCGAGCTCACCAGCTGACACTCGAATATCAGCCGGTTGCCGTCGTCCTCCTGCCGCAGCTGCGGCTTCTGCGTGAAGCTGGGCGCGAAGTCGTCGGCGACCCCCATCGTGGAGGCACGCCTTCGCACCTGTCCCTACACACCGGGACACCCGGTCCCGTTTGTGCGATCAAGGGAGGAATCTGTTTCCTTCGCCTGGCTCGTCGGTTCAAATGGCGCCGACCTGCGGCACCATCCAACCTGCTTTCGCGGTTTCTTTTTGAGCTTGATGTCTATTCGTCAGTCGTAGACTTCTCAGAATACTGAAAGCAAAGATGTAAAACATATTATTTAAAAATAAAAAAAAAGATTAAATAAAATTTATGAAATAATAATGCTGCTTTTAATATCAGTTAAGAATAAATTATTCTAGAAAATAATAAATAACAGCGCCATTTTTTATACGAGTAATTTTCAAATAAATTAAAGAAGAGAAGAAGAATAGACGAATGGAAGAATTATGTTTATTTGTTTTGATAAAAAATTCGATATTCTGTTAGAAGATTCATTCAGTCATTCATTTTTTCTTTTATTTCTTATGAATTCTTATATAATTATAATCTAATTGTAATTATTAATTAATAATTAATAATTATAATTTGAATTATATATATATATATATATATATATATACACATAAAATTAAAATAATGAAAATTTAATGTTCATTAAAAATAAAATATGATTTTGTCATTTATTTTGATTTCTGATATTTTACTGTCGAGATCACTCATCTGTTTTGCTTGACACCTTCGCTATTTGCAGTTCGAAATTTGACAACATCAATATTTCGAGCCTCCTGTTATCGTGGTTCAGTAAACCTTGGCAGCTTGAACTGCTGTCACCTGTAATTGCCTCAACTACGGCTATTTTTATACAAATGCCTATATTTAGTCTTCTTTAGCATTACGATCATAGCACCGTAATAAAGTTTCTATTTTCATTACTCATTCTGAATGAATAAGATATAGGATCTATCGATCAGAACAGTTTTTAAATCTCAATTATTACGCAAACTACGGAAAAAGTCAGCCATAAAATTGCGATGAAGTTAAAAAAAGATCGCTAAGAACAAAGCATGTGTATTCTGTTTAATATCACAATAAAATGTACATCTTGAAATTCGACTATGTTACGATACTCGATAGTTAAATCATAGGAAATATTTAAATCTCGGTTGTTGCTAAAAAAATCCAGCCGTACGAAAATAAAAGAAGATAAACATTTCGAAGATATAAAAAAATATTAGTTCTTAAAAAATGAGTCATGCATTATTTTTAACATTGCAATAAAACGTTCGTCTTGGACGTCAAGATCGACTTTGCTGTGCAATAGTCGATCTCAAGGAAAAGGTTGCCAGGAAATGACGAGATGAAGCAGCGTTACAGCTGCCGACGATAAAAAAACGTCCAGAAATGATTTATCACGTGTAATAAATTCAAAATACGCATTTATGATTACGTAATCCAAGGAAGTACGGAACTATCCGAAATCGCTCTTGGCCGTAAGATGCGATCTCGCGCTTACAATTTTCAGTTACTGCTCGCGAAACGCGAATCCCTCCAAAATAATACGACAGTAAATAATCCTCGTGCGTGCTAACCGTTCCGTAAGGTTTATAGAGCGAATAGAGAACGCTCCTATAACGATATATTTTCCTGAGCGAGTCTGTATTTTCAGATCTCTCTGGAAATGGCGAAAACAGAAGTTTTCCGAGAACTACGCTATGGAGTAGCCATGTGCAATAATATCATTTCATAATTATATTTTGAAATATACATCTAAGATTAATAATCAATGGTAATTGGAAAAACAAGTTCGATATTATAAATACTGCTTGCGTAAAAATATATCAAACGTATCGATGATTGAAATTATTAATTATAACTAGATATCAATTTGTTTCATCAATAATAATAATTACTTTCTCTCTCTCTCTCTCTTTCTTTATCTCTGTCATTTTTACACTTTAAAAAGTATTAAGAGGAATAATCGTAATAATGATACGCAGAGAGACGTAAAGTCTCTAAAGAGACGAATTGCAACGTATTTTTGTGTCAATCTAATAATAATATCGCGCGCGAAATATTCGGGTGTGAACGACGCCTTCTCTCAAGCGCGCTGCGTCGAAAGGACTTCATAATTTATGAATGTCAGGCCTATTTTCGTCGAGCCGTTTGAATCTTCACCGATGAAGAACCATTAGCATCACCGCGTTTAACTGCAAATTGAGCGAGCAGCGAGAACGGCGAGTTTTCTCGCGGAATTCGCGCGAGCGGGAGTATTTTCCCGCGACGCCCCAAGGCCGAGGGAGCGAGCCGCGCTGGGTGACGTAAGGCTTACTATTATTAATGCGACTCTTGGCTCGAAAATAGGTTGGGCCAGTTATCTTGGTAATCGGTTATTATGTTTGGCATCTAACCGTGGAAGCCGTGTACATTTGGGTCGCCGATACAACCCGTCGGATGTAATATGTTGGTTCGCTCAAATCCGGACAATCGTTTCTTTGAGACCTGAGATCGACGCACGACACCTCCAAGTGCCAAAAGTGCAAATCAACTCCTAGACAATCGCCAGCTACGCGCAGTGTGAAACTGATTTTCGCGTGATTTTCGTGACGTATCATACGACGTAGCTTGACGTAAGATAACACTTACACCTGTTTCCTAACGTCTTCAGTAAGCATGTAATTAATATTTTTTAACACTGAAACGTTTCATTCCTATAATTACACATCATCGTAAATCAAAAATAATAATTCCGTCCAAAGAGTCAAAACTGAAATTTTGTGTTAATTTCGAATATGATACATTTGAAATTAAGAAATAATAAACTAGGAATAATGATTTAAATTCGATGAAATTTTCAAATGTTCTTTAAATTTGCATCTAAAAATAAAATCTATGAATAAATCTTTTATATTCAACAAAAAATATCTAGATGAAAAAAGGGTAGTAATATTTCGAGAATTTATGCATAAATAAATTTCAATAATAGCGAGTTTAATTGATCTTAGGCAACTGTCATTTGTACAATTTTCAATGGCTGTCATAAATGTAAAATAAGGTTCCTCTTGGATATGTATGATGTAGAAGCTTTATTACTGATAAATAACAATCGTTTCGAAAGGTGAATTAGTTTTCCGTACGCCCGCGCGCTGGGAAAAGACTGCCAACTATAAAGGTAGACATGACACAGTATCTATCCTTCCGGTAACGTGAGATCCACATAATTGGTCGGCTGCCACCGTTCAAACCACAAAATTGTGAAACAAATCATCCGATTATGTCAACTCCAGCCAGGCAATGGAAATATGATACCTGGCTACTCGCTCGTGCTCAACAGTGCCAAATAAACAAGACATTATGCATAAAAAGAGGCTACGAATTTGAAAAAAATCAATATTTCATATATCAGATATTCAAGAATTTAAAATTATCTTCATTATTGTTTTAATTATTCTTTTCAAGAAGAGAATTCCGAGGGAAGGGAGATAAACTTGCTTAATCTTTAATCTAAAATCGTAATCAAAAATCGTAATAAAAGAGACTAATTAATGCAAGCACGAAATTTCATTACTGTATTATAATGTAAAGATATGAAATATATTGTCGACAGCGCGATTCTATTCAACCAGTGGTTGATCGTTTTAGATGAGAACGAACAGATGCACGCGAGAAGGAGTCTGACGGATCGGCGAAATGGCATACAAAACGGATGGGGACCGGGTGTTACAACGTCACGGTAAGACTTGGCAAACCGTCTCGTATGCATTCCCGAGATTACTGCACATCGTAATAGCACGCTCGCATTCCGTCTCTTTCGCCGTCTGATTTTCGCGTCGTGATTGTCATCCAACTGATTGATTTTTCGGAAAAGCGGAAAAAACAAGTATAAACGTTCACCAAGAAAATTAAATTTATTATAAATCACGCTTTGAACATTGATATATTTAATTAAAATTAATTAAGTTAATTGTAATTGTAACTAAATTCTAATCAATGTTCAATCTTTTTATTTCTTTAAGTTTGCATTTCCTTTTTAATTCTTGTCAAACGTGTTTATTTCCCTTGATTTATATATATAACATTACTGTTCTTTAAAAATTAATTATATATTATATATTATAAAAAAATTTAAATAATATAAGACGTATTGCATTTCTTTTACAATCAGACTAAAAAAATCTCAGAGTGCAGAGTCATGCATATTATGGAAAGAGAAGTCCTTGTTCTTTCCATAATATAATCTTTTAACAAAAAGATATTATTTACAACAATCTTTTAACAAAAAGATATTATTTACAACAAATAAGAAAGAAATATCAAAGAATGTCTAAACAGAACTTCAAAAATATCATTTTAAATCATATATATCATATGTAAATTTCAAACAAGAAGCGTCAGATAGATAATATTTAGAAACGTAATTCGTAAAAATATCAATCGAGAAATATACTAAATTCTTGTGATATAGATTGTTATGAAAAACATTGTCGGCATCTTCGACTGACCTAATATTTTTGCCGACTATATCGAAAGTGTTGCTTCACTTTGGCATAATTCTGCCGGCTATTTGTGATACAATACATATTTGATGACACTGTGACCCAATAAATAAGTAGCACATTGCCATTAAGTATATAATAGATACTGATCTAACGAATAAAATATCTGGAGTTGCAGTTAAAATAAAGATAAATACACAATTTATACATCTTGTTTCAAAAAATATGTGCGATAATAATTAAAATATTCTGACTAAGAAAGTACAAGCAAGAAGATGGTAGATAAAAATATAATTAAATTAAAAATATATCAATATAATCTTGTGCTGAGAATAAATGTCCATATCTAACAATGAATCGGCTTATTTTTAAGAAGGCGTAATTATTTCTGGCAAAGCTCTGAATCACGTGCATCGAAACAATTTCTTTTCTTTGCAATCCTGAATTTATCGAGCATCACATGTTTACGTACCTATTCTAAAATATAGCGCATGAAATAATGGCTTAGATATTATAAAATTTGATATGACGTTAAAATAAAAATAAATTTTTGTCAAAATATACATTCATACGACTTTGAACGAAAATTACTAACATAAGCATAGATAATCTTATATGTATAGCGTTGCATCTATTTTAATCAAACTAAATGTATCATTTATAATCGTGACTAACCTTCAGCAATCACGTGAAATGAATAATTGGAAAATTTAGCAATCTTTATAACATATATTCTCATAAGAGAATGATTCATATTTTGAACAACATACTTTTCTTCAGAAAGAAACAAATATATAAAAAAGAATTGTATTTTTATCATTATACAAAAACATGATAATAATAGCATCTTTTATAAAAATTAAAGTAAGATATTTTAATTATTATTCTTAATATCAATCCTTATCCTTCTTAAATTTTTGCTTCAATTAGTACATCATACATTTGATTTTTAAATAAGAAAGATCAGATTACACTAATTTTTTTAAATAAATCTTTATTTGAATATAATCCAAATGTCGAGATCTTTTCAAGGATTTTAACAAGAAGCTGTTGTTACGTAAATAGCGATTCATTACTTCACACTCAAGTTACATCCGGAACTAAACTATTCGCGAGAGTTATAATTATTAGTCGAGCGATGCATTTTCGGAGGCGCACTCTTTCCTGTCTATACTCCTGACCGCGTTACTTGCGTCGTACCACGATCTATTTTCGCCGACTGACTCAAACTGAGTCGGCAACGGTTGAAATCACCGATCGACATCCCGATTTTTTTGCGATAAAATGCGAGAAATTGTATAAACAGACGTACATATTCGACTTTTTGGCAGAACGTTGCAAAACAGTCGTCAAAATAATATTTAAAATAATGTTGCAACATTGAAACAGAATTCACTTGGATTGTTTATAATATGTTATTCATATTGATAAAAAATAATATCTTAAAAATAAAATAAAAATTATAAATTGTTTAATTAAATAAATATATAAGTAAATAATAACTAAATAATATTTTAATAAATATATAAATAAATATATACAAATAAATATAACAAAAATAACATAAATATAACAAAATTATTTAATAAACAATAGAAGAAAAAGAAATTAATATTAATGATCTTTTATAACTATCTAATGGAAAATGTAGAGGACAAAAAAATATAGAGGAAAAAAGAAAGAGAAAAAGAGAGAGATAAAAATATCTCTATACTAATCCTATTAAAAGGATCCCATCATTGCGTAAAATTGGCATTCATATCACACGTAAGATATTATAATCTGATAAGTTTTCAAATAATAAACTAAAACATCCTCTTTCTTTGACGTGACGAAAAATAAACACGTCTCTAAATCTAATGATACTCGAACATTAGAGTATACGCACAAAATGTTTCGCTTCAGCTATTAATTTACGGTGCTTCGGAAAATACGTTTCTCTCACGAAAAGTATACGCATAAAACTCATTCGTCAATCAACAGAGAACCAGAGAAAACACGATAATATATGATCGAGAAGAACACTCAAACACAGCTCTAACATTTAATATATATATAATAAAATCAATTAAATTATTCTAATATATTTCTTGTTGTAAATCTAATTTTTTTTTATATTTTATCGTAAAACTTCAAAAAAAATTTTAATTAACATTGATTAATTATGCGTAAATAGACAATTGACAAATTCGTCGGCTTGACTCATTGAACAATGACGAGTATAAAGCCAAAAATAATACATCAGTTAATTCATATATTGATCACGACTGACAATGAGTTTGACAATCAACAGGTGAAATGTGCCACTTGGCCAACAATATGTCCAGAAATACATCGATATATACGCAATCACATCGAGTGATTAATCAATTAATATTTATAGATAATTACAAATGAATATTTTTGCATCTATAATAAGATCAATTATTTGAGTATAAAATAATTTAAATAAGGGAAAACGTTTTTCCCTTATTTAAAGAGAAGCTAAAAAATTTTTTAAAATTTAAGTCTTAATAAAATCATCATTAATATTTACAATTATCAAAAAGAATTAGAATTTTGGCTAACTGTTTTACGGGATAACTTAATTAAATTTTTCTCGCCAAATTATGTTTTCATGTTATTTTTACATATATTTTGTATCAAAAATAAATATAGGAATTTTTCTCTTCGAAATAGAAAATTATACACACCTATGTCTTATGTTTAAACCTAGATTTTAATTTTAAAATTTTTTAATTTTTTCGTCTAATTCAATATAATATTCAATTCAATATAATATAATTTAATAATTGTGTATAAACACACATATATTTAATATATTAAATTATTATCATGTGAATCTCGCACAGTAAAAAATAAATCTACTCCAAGACTGATTTAATATCGATCTAGTCGGATTTCCTGGATTTCTTCAAGATGCGCATATCGATTCATCTCTTTCTCTTTCGTGCTCTTATTCGACCAATTCTTTTCCCAAGATTTGTCGAATTTCACGGAAGATATTTTTAAATCGCTCGAGCACATTCCTGAATTCTAAGCGTTTGTAAAGTTAGTAGGAATAACTATACACTCGTTTACAATGGCGAGAACAGCGAGAATTAATTGTGTGACATTAACATCCCATTTTTACAGAATTTCTATATAATAGAGTTTCTTTTTCTCTTCCAGAGGGTTTTAAAACTTTCGAAACATTGTAAAATAAAATAGATATCAACAAGGATTTAATCTTCGAAAATAAAATAAAATATCAATAAAAATGGAATAAAATATTAATGTACTCAAAAATACTGAATCGATTCGTCTCTATATCTTCCTCCATTATATACATGTCATTATAATTACGACGATCGTAATTATAATGACATGTATATAATGGAGAAAGACATAGGTAAATAGGACCTATCATTAGAGTCTCTTAAAATTGACGCATAAATATGAGCTGCGAAAGATTGTCAACGTAAAGATGAGGCGGCAAATGATGTGTTGGACAAAGTGTTGGACGGTACGATGACGTGAGGATGGATGGAAGGATGGATTGAACAACGACGGGCGAAAAGATGGTCGTCGGAACGACGAACCGCTCCTCCTCACGTTACGGGCTCCTAAAAATAAGTGGACTCCGAGCCTAGATACCTAGATAGTAGTCTACGAATAGTTGGCCGCGCCGCCACGACGGAACTCGTGGCGATTAGTCATGTGAAATTGTCGAAAGCGAGAAATCCGTCTAGACTGAGAGTTTATCAGAAGAAAAGTTTAAATTTCGATATATATTAAATTTCGATAATTAAATTCTTGCAACTTTTGATTATTCAAGTAAGCACGAGAAATAATCGAAAATCGGATGAAGAGAAAATAATGAAATGCTGGAAAACTATTCAAAAGAAATGCGAATGTTAGTTAAAGTTACTATTCTCCTTATTTGAACGCGAATAAGTTTATGATTTATGATTTTATCTAAAAGAATTACTAGACAAGATGACAATTTAAGAGGTGCTATGAAATGTCAGGTGATGAAAGATTGTCTTGTTTTCGTAATTTACATTCTTTACTTAACATCTCTCTCTCTCTTTCGTTCTTCTGATCCAAATAAAGTTATATAAAAAATATATGTATAATAAAATAGAATAAAGCAAGATAAATAAAATAAATTGTAAATTCTATATTTTTAAAAAACCCATGATAAAATATATATATGGAAATTTTGTATGAATTCTCTGAATTAATATCAATCTTTCTATTTTATAAACACGTAATTTCTACATAAGACCTAGCAAATTTTACAATTAATACAATTTTTTTTTAATTAAAAATATTAAAAAACATGTAGATACAGATGATAAAATACTTTTATCGTTTCAAATGTAGAACTGATTTCAGAATATACTCAAATTAATTTTATTAAACGATACATTACTAAATTAATAATATTCAAACTTCAAGCCGATTTTATTGATATACTACTCCTAGAATCCCTGGAGATAAGCAATATTCAATATTTATATCTAAGACTTTTATTACATAATTATAAAATGTTATTCATTATCATCGCAAAGCGAATAATAACTATCTATGGGAGAATAATTAAGTGATCTATGGGGATAACCAGCATTAATTGTGTCATGAGAGAACGTGACATACCTCCTTAATTCACTTGTCCCTTCAATTAAATACGGCGCATCACTTGCGTGGGTGAGCGTGCGCGAAACCGACAGATAGTTCGTCACTTGTTGCTCACACTTCGACACTGATCCACACGCGATCATTACCAAGCGATCAGAATGAAAGAAGGGAAGTGGAAAAGGGGTTGCTGAACACTCTCGGGCAAGATATGGAGAAAGTCGCACTGATACGCGCGAAGTAATACTCGCGCACGCTCCCTCGCAGCTACGCAACGTCACATCCGCATCCAATCAAATCCTCATCATCATCGAGACTTACTTGAAGATATCCCAGGGAGAAGAAGCACGTTTCCTTCCAAGAGAGAGAAGTTTCCTTCCTTTAGCCGAGTGTTTCCTCGGCGACACCTGCAACGGCGAGTAGTCGCTCTCTTATTCCTGGATCACTCCCAACCCCCCCGAGGCAGACAAACGAGACGCACACACTCGACTCGAGAATTCTACAAGCTCGCGCGAGAACAAAACTTGGGAAGATTGCGAGAGAAGCTTTTTTTTTCTTTTTTTTTTCTCTTAGAGAGATTCGATCGTCTTCGTCTTCGTCTTCGTCTCTGGTCGTTGTCGTCACTCGTCGTGCGGTCGCTCGTCACTGTCTTGCTCCTCTTGTATATCTCCCTTGTCCCTCTTTTTTTTGCACGAAGTGTCTCTATTCGGCCGTCCCAATCGCCGGGGCCCCGCGCGCCAACTAAACGCGCGAGGTGTCGCGATCTTACTTCGAGGTTCGAGTCTCACCCACCACCTCTCGTGACCATCGCTACCACCACTGCCAGCATGCTCTCAACCAAGAAATCTCTGTCTTACATTCCTACCAAGTCACATACACCTACACGCAACGTTATTGATATAACCACTATTTGTCTAATGGTGTATTCTATGCTGAAATCAATCGATAATCTCACTTTCCCGATTTCACTTTCCTGATCAATCATCCCATACACTTATAATTTGATGAAATTTAATTTTTTTCGCTTTTGACATTGAATTTAATTTGGCTGCCATGCAAGCAAATTTCTTTTGGTCCGATTATTATTAAGCTTTTCACGAATATAAGCTATTTATTAAGAATAAAAATAACTTATAATCGAAAAAAATCCTTTTTTCGACAAACAAACTGCGCAAAGATAATCTAATTGTTGAATAATTCAATAATTATTGTTATCGTTAATTTTTAAATCATTTCTTACCTGTCTGAATTTAGTTTTTAATTTAAAATACTATTACTTCTTAATTCAAGATACTTTCTAATCTGTCCTATGATTTGAAAGTAACCGACGAAATAAAACAAGGATAAAAATAAAAGGCATATTATATAATCATGAATATACAGTGTATGACTATTTTTATACGAAATTACGGCGCATAAGTGATAACAGTGCGATTTAATTAGATATATCTTTCTCTTTAAGATAATAGCATTTCTGGTGAATAGCTGTTATAGTGGTGAGAATATCACGATTGGCACACTTTCAATTCTGATTCTTAGAAATCGAATAGTGATATCGATTCAAGTGCTAGTTCAATGTGATGTTAAGAAAATTTATGTCTTTTTTTGCCTACAGATATGTGTGATTTTATAAAGTCAATCAAATAAAGTCTTTCAAATACTTTTTATATATATCCATAAATTTTGCAGCTAGATGAAAAAAATTCTTCTGAAAAGATTAATTGATATATATGTATTTTAATAGAAATAATTAAAGAAGATTATTAGATATTTTTGTAGCTCGATATTTAATTCCATCATATCATATCATATTACTTCGCATAATAATTAATTATTCAATAATTGTTTTTATATTTATATCGCGACATACGTACATCACAGATATATATTCGAGAATGTATTCAATGATTGTATTAGAGAGAAAACATGTCATCTCTTTAATAAATATAAACACAAAGAATACTATTTGTATCATTTAACTGAGTCATCTGATATTTATTCGGCATTCAGCCCTATGATCCGCAATGATTGCAAAATGTCGCAATTTATCGCAGCAATTGTGCAATTCGTAAGTAAGATATTCGCGAACAGATTCACAATCAACGCATACGAAGACTAAAAAGTATTTATTATATATTATTTATTCTTCTTTCAATCAAACGCGCGCGCGTTCAAATAAATTTTTAATAGCAATATATTTGAATTATCTCCTGAAAAAATAAAGGAGCATAAAAGAAATTTTCCAAAATATTAATACATCATATTTAAACAAATATAATTCGGCAAAGCAAACAATTTTACAGGGCTCTATTTTGAGCATATTTACTATGAAATTGCCAAAAAATTTTTGAAATTTACACAAAAAAAGTAATATATTCCAAAGTAAATATACTCCAAAAAAAAGATGAGCTTTAAATCTATTACAGCTAATAATATTTCTCCATATTGTCGAAAATCAACATCTTTGAAAATATTCGTACTTTACGCGCTTGACTCTGGGCGCGTGTATGACGCTAAATTATTTATAAAGATCCGAAGTTACTCGAATCTTTTTTTAACATTGTACTTATATATAACCGTGTGAATACACACACAGCATTACGTTTTAGCACATTGACGCGACTCCGTCATTACTCGTTCTATTTCTTGTCACTGGCGAATTTGTCATATGGATGCGGCTACGCGTCGGCAACGAATCTAAAAATGAACCCGCGCTATCGACAGCAAAACTAAATGACTGCCGAAAAGTCACCGGAATGGCATCTCTCACGTTGGCGTCTCGCAGTGATGAAATTAGATAGCATCGCAACACTGACATGTATAATGCAAGATATGTTTTCTCTCATCTGACAATGAGTAGAAAAAAAAGATAAGAAAAGAATAAAAATAAATTGCACATGATGATCAAATCTGTTCTCGAGTTTGTTGAGAGAGACATACGAAATTGATGGTAGAAAATATGCGACGAAATCTTATTCGCGATATTGCAAAACTATAGTTAATTTTAAGTGCTCTTAATCTGTCAACATCATCATATTAAGTGTATCATTATAACTAATTATATAAATTATATATATATATATATATAAAACAAACATTTTTCATAATTACAAGATTTCTTGAATTTAGAATTAATTTTCCAAAAATAATTTCAAAGAAAATTATCATTTAATTCAATTTAAATTTGTCAATGAAATTGAAATTATCATAAAACTATCTATAATCCTCTACAAGCTATATTATATATAATTAATTTGTTTTGAATGATTTGCTATTAGAGATTAATTGCAGATACAGTGATTTATTTGTTATTGAACAAGATCGTCGGTTTACTTTGGACGGTTGACATATAATAATCACTCAGCGTATAACAGTTAAATAGAAGAACAAGGCGAAACTATGTAGTATACATGAAAGTATTTAGTGGTATAACAGAGCTGCCAATTTAAGAGAAATAGGAAGCATACGCACACATATATGTATTCGTACATATATATATATATATATATATATATATATATATATATATTTAATTACTATTAAAAATTATACATTATTAATTTAAATTAATTTATAAATTGATTTTAATTAATTCGAGCATCGTTTATATTTGATAAAAATATTACAGATTTATTTTACAGAGATTTTACAGGCAGACAAAGATAGATGTATAATTTTTATCCTTAAAAAACGCCATGAAAATCTTGATGTACCTTTTTGTGTCTTGATGTTTAATTACAGCAAATTTAGATTTCTCCTACTAGTCTCCTATGAGCGAAATTACGGCAATAATTCAACGTTGAATTTACTGTGTGAGATGACTATATATTCTGACAATTATATTTTCTCAAACCAACCGTAAAACGTTACAACGAGGGTCTTGAGCTTGAGACGTATAATTGAGTTATCTTTCTTTTTCTTTTACGATTAACCCGTCGTAGACTGGAGACAGAGCCATGTGTCACCTTGTTACTTTCTTTAGTCTTGCTATAACGACGCGACGACTCGAAAAAAAGCGACAAAAAGCTTCTGCTTTAAGCTCGTAAGATAATTTAATAGGATGATAGAGCATACACAAACATAATTTAGACTATGAAAACAGAGGTGATTCGAGAGGCCGCTGTCAAAATATGTCACTGATTTTTATTTAAATGCTTGATTTCGACAAAAATAACTAGAAATTTTTCAAACAAACTATTTGATATAAAGAGAGTTTAATAAGAGATAAACTCTTTCTCTCTCTTTTTAAAAATCGAAATTTTAGCATTAAAAATAAATGTTTTTTATCCTTATGATACTTTAATATGACTATCCAGATACTAGATCGTAATTCTTTTAATTTGTTTTATTCGGCATATTACAAACTTTTCGATCTCGTTCATTTATATCAATTTGAAGAGATTGAATCACGTGGCTATGTGTATTATAAATAACAACAATACGCACTATTATCCAATTCATCCAGTAAGTGCTACACGTGTTATAACGACGTTCTTATTGTTCGTTTAAGAAAGAGAGAGCATTGAGACAGTTGGAAACTGGGAAAGAAGAAGAATAAGAAGAGAGAAATCACCAAGGAGAAGAAATCTCACGTGAAGCATCGAGATGCGACTCTCTTGGTTCTGGCAAGCCGAGCACTTTTCTAAATATATACGATCATCCCTCACCGGTGAATCTATCTTTACGTATTAGAATCTATACCTAACGATTCTATGAGTCTCGCTTTTCCACAGCCGACTTTTTCAAAGCAACAAATACGCTCCCAATAAAGAAAAAAATAAAAAAAAAATTTTTAATATTTAAAGAACATATTATACTCGTATATTTTATTATATGTAACGTGTATTAAGACAAAGCATTCGATTTAATTATCTTTCAATTAATTAGAAATGAATCGATTATGGCAATAAACCGATTTTTCTTAATTACAACAATTTCTTTTAATTAGTTGAAAATAATTGTGTATCTCAAATTAAAAATTAATTAAAATTGAGAATTTGTACTTTGACTTTAATTAAAAACCTAGATATTTTTAAATTTAGTTAATTTTTACTCATGACACCTCTATTTTTGCCAGAAGATAAGAGAATAGCAGAAAGAAATTATCAGAAAATTTGCGGGCGATCATTTAGACGGCAAAAATAATGAAAAAGTACTGCGACGAGCAGCGCGATGTAGATTCTTTGAATCGTAATTTTTTCTTCCAAACGAAAACACTTTAAGCAATTTGTTTAAATTTCCGAAAAAAATACAATTTCGAACGTGCTTCGTTTCATCGGAACGGCGGAGTATTAATATCAAATTCGACGCTGATCTGGAGCTGATTTATGATTGAAAATACAGAACCCGCTAAAGAGAAACAAGCAACTAGCGAAGCGTAAATCGCGCTTTCGCAGGAACGAAACTAAGAATGGCCACGAGAGTCAAGGCGCGAAAAATGCCAAAGGAGACCTTGGCAATTAACGCACGCGTAAATAGCATCTTTCATTTTCTCTTCCACTGAATGCATCTTAAATTTTACGAAAAATAAAATCTGAAATCTGAAGCGACATTCAACATCGTCGGAATTTTTTATATATCGTATGCAACGTTGATGCAACTTGTATTTTCTCACTTGGACCAAATAACATAAGCGTGACGAATACGAGCAGAGCGTGACCTTATTTTCACGCTTGTTTACATTCGGTTTACTTTATATAAAAATGTTATTATATAATTTCACATTGAATTTTGAATGAATGTTCTCTCGCAGAAATTTATATAAATATTTAATTAAAAATAACTTGAGACTAAATATTTCTCGAAATTATAAAAATCATATTTTTTTGCGAGATATAATT